GCGCATTAAGGGAAAAGTCACAAGGACCGGTCGAAACACGTCCGCAAACCCAGGGACCACTTATAAGATCCTCTACGACCACAAACAAGGATTAACGGAAAAGTCAGAAATATGGCAGCTAGTCCGTTAATTTCCGCTTGGGCCGGCTTGCGCCCAAGTCACTTCGAGTTGGCCCGGGAGCAGTCGCCTTTTTCCGGGGTCGCCCTGAAACAGTTGCCCTGGACCGGTCGCCGGCAGGGACCGGGACAGGCTGGTCCCAGCCTGGCGCGGTTTGACTCGATGTATTGGACTCTCTTGCAGAATAGATCCAGGGATCCTCTACTACCACAAGGATTGACGGAAAAGTCAGACAGATGGCAGCTCGTCCGTCAATAACCGCACGGGCCGGTTTGTGCCCAAGTCACGTTGAGCTGGTCCTAGAAACAAGGCCGTCGGTGCCCCTCAACCGGTCGCAGGGAGTGACTGGGACCTGGGACCCTGTCCAGTGTCCTGAAACACGGGTGCCAGTCCGGAAAGGTGTCTGGAGCGGTTTGAGGTGGCACCACAGCACCCGATACCAGCGGTCACACCAGGACTCGATTGTGGGACTGGCTTCAGTCCTGAAAGCGGCTGGCCGACCAGTCCCAGGACCGGTCCCAGGACTGGTCCCAGGACCGGTCCCAGGACCGGTCCCGGGACCCGTCCCGGGACCGGTCCTGGGAATCCACTTTTTGTGCGTTCGGGCGTGCCCCCCAGGGACTATCATTGATTCCAATCACTTCCAGTTGCATCCCACGCCGGTCCTCTCTGCAGGAGGCTGGGACGGGAGGCAGAGGGTCGGCGGATTTCAGGCTGGTGAAATATTATGATTGACCTTTGGCAACTTACCCTCCAAGCTGGGTCAATTGAAGCGAACGCAGGTTTTCTAAAAACTGCTTTGAGGGGTGTTTTCCTTTGCAGCTTCTGAACGGGACTTTGAGGATGTCGGAATTGAATGGACGTGCAGAGAAGCAATCGCTTCCCGCAAGGAACATACGTCTTTCAACAAGGGTTCGTGCATTTTCATGTGGATGGCTTGTCTTTTTGGAGTTGGTACCCTTGTTTGGAGGGAAATTAAAAGGGACATCGAAATCCATTTTGAGGGTCCCCTAACAGAGACCCATTGTTGGTGGCAGGGTCTATGGACCCCTGAAATGCTTCCATTCGCTAAATAATAGTTGTTGATTTTCCGTTTCGGTATTCAAGGGAGCCTATCATTACTGATATTCTGTTTTTTTCCAGCGGACATTGCAAATGGAAGATGGGTGGTCCCAATTTGCTTTTCAAACACAACCATAGGGTACGGGGTACCATCAAACAAACACCCCATCAAAGCAAGGGTGTTTCACTTGTTGCATTTGCGTTGATATGTTTTCCTTGGTGGGCCGGGGTGAAGATTCCAACCAAGACGGGTTCTCTTCTTTTTCTGCCTTGCTGGTCATGTTCCCCAGTACAGGTCAACCAAAATGGGTACGGATTAGGGAGTTCTTTGGGTAACCATTCAGGTGGATTCATGTCCGCTAGAGGTTGCAGCTCTTAAACTTGAAGCTTCCGGATCTGAGGAGAAGCCCTGGTTCCCTGTGGGTTCAGATCACTTTTGGGTTCGGCCCGCCCAGAGGGGAAGGGTTCTACGATCCGGTCCTTCTGCGCTCCATCTGAGGGTTTCTATTCAATAGGAGACCCGTTTTGTACGGTTTAAACGCAAACCAAGAGGACACCGTCTAGAATGTGGTCCCGAATTTTGAGAAACACCATTGCTTTTTCTTTTCGAACGGGCTATTGGCTGCAGCTGCGAAAGGATTCTCCGTCCGGGCGGACTTGTCGTGTTCACACACCGCACCACCATCTGGGACGAGAATGAGCACGGCGTCATCACTGCTGCTGCTCGGCGCCGCACTGGTCGCCTTCTTGGGGAAGGAAGTTGGAACCCCGAAGAAAAGAAACTCATCATGTCGCGAGGTCACGATTTTTCACACCCACCTTGGGTGGTTTGCAATCCTATGTTACGAGCTTCTGGACAAAGCAGCACTCCAAAAGGAAGCTTACTTCAAATTGGCAGAGGTGACACGTAAACATAAGGGAAACATAGGAATTATGCTGGCTCTCTCGTTTTGGTGTTTGGGCTAGCAAAGCCAATTGCAGAATCGACCGGCGACCTTTGGCTGTAGCGATTGTTCTGTTAGTCAAGGTCCAGACAGCTAACAGTGGTATTGTGTTTGGGCAAGTAACACCAGCCAAACAAACACACGCTACTCTCTCACAATGATCATTGCTGAGTTTGGATTCAAAGTACACCAAGAGCCCATATTGCTTACAACAACTCAGTTGTTCAATTGCTCCCTTCTTCTTTTTTGTTTCGTGTGTTCTCCACTAAAGCGGCTTACCCCATTTTTTGAAAATACATTTGGGGTAGACTCTAAATATGGTGTGTTCTCCACTAAAACGGCTTATATAGCCCATTTTTTGAAAGTACATTTGGGGTAGACTCTAGGTATTTTTCGGTACTTTTCAGTTGGCCCAAGCAAATTGGCTAACCCGTGCATCCACGCAAGTCACCTCTGGCGCCTGAGGCTGCTGAGTTGGAGAGCGCCAAGGTGTGGAGACAGCTCTACAAATCAGAGGCTTCCGCGTACATGCCGAAGAACACCGTGCCGGAGGAGGCGGCAAAGCAGCGGCTCGGCGGAATCTGGAGAGAGACCTCCAAATGATTTTTGCTCCTGCAATAAACGGAAGGAACCTGAAAACGTTCCTCCTTCCAAGTTTGGTCGTGTTGTTGTTTTCTCTCTTTTGTTATTTTGTTATTCTCTCTTGTTTGATTTAACACACAAAACAGTCGTTTCCCGTGTGTTTGCGTGTTTTTGGACGCTGTTGGAGTTGGCAGCGCAAAAAGAAGAGGGTCCTCCAACATGGAGCGTAACGACAGAGCCCTTGGGCTTCTTTTCCGAAAAGCGTTTGGACAACGCGTGATTGTTAACATGGAGATTCGGATCCTAAAAGAGCTGGGTTTTCCTTTTGGTTTCCCTTTAAACACGGGAACCCTCAAAAAAGAAGCAGATGCCGCTGTGCCCTTGTGGTCAGCCCAGGATTTATTACCTGGTCTATGAGGCCTTGTGACAGACTGGCCAGTCCTTTCAATAAGACAAGCCTGCTTCTTGCCTCACCTGGAGGCAAAGCGCGTTCCAAGAGATGGAAGAAGAGCCTCAAGCACGGAAAAAGGACCTCTTCAATTTGTTTGTTACTTGCCGGCGCTCAGTAGGAATTGACCTTGCGGGTGTTGGGAATGAACCGGTTTTGGGGAGTCCCTTTCAGGAAACCACCAAGGATGGTTTATGGGGGTCATTCCATTTCTCATTCCCTGCCTATCGAACCAGCAAGACTATTCTGTGTTGACATGTTTCTCATTTTAGGGTCCACCAAAATATGGATCATCAAAAGCAAATTTCGCGGATCAAAGCTTCTGCATGTTTTTCTTTTCGTGGATGATTGCTAGACTTGGGCTTGTCTTCTTTACTTTTGGGTTGGGTTAGGTCTGGCCCAGAGAATCGGTCTTTTCAGTTTCCCTTTCAAGCAGCATCAAGTTCACTTTGCAGTTGGATACATCTAAGGTTCCAAAATAACCAGTAGTAGTCCCTAGACTGGGGACATGAGGGGACCAACATGTCAACTCCGGGGCGAACGCTTCCAAGCGATTCCCGTGGATGGGAACCTCTCCTTAGGCGGGGTTGCCTTTGGTTGAAAACCCCCCCCAAACCCAAAAGCACCCTCCCCCCCAGCTTTATTGAAAGACCCAAACTTGAGGGCACTGAAGGTGTGAGGTGTGTTGGGGTGGCAGCTGGACCCTCAAGCTACCCTGTTGTACCCCAAGGAAGGCTAAGACCCAATAGCTCTCCTTCTGCGGGAATGGACCAAAGGGTATTTACGTCCACCTTGAGATAGTCCCAAAGTGAACCCTGCCCTGGGATTCAATCCATTGAGTAAAGCAATGGGGGTTCGTAAAACCAAGGAATGAGCTGTCATTCTTATGGGGGCTGAGAACCCTAGAAAGGGGACTCCGCCCACCATTTTGGATGGCAACATGGCAACCCCAGGGTTGTTGAACAGACGGCCGTGGCGGGGGGACGTCCGTCGTGACCACGCTCATGAGGACTTTTGGTTCGGGATGGGGCGCCTTTGTAAGTGACCACCGGTTGCTGGTGCATCCCCGCATCGACTTCGGCGTATGGCCGGCTGAGCCTTGTTTTGGTCAATTTGGGAGCCCAGTTGCCCAGAGGTGCCCATTTTTCCAAATTTGTTTGGGGAAGGGTTCCCCTTTCAAAGCATGCCCTTTTTTTCCAAAGGCTACTGGGCATTTGAGGGAGTGTTTTTGGTTCAGTGGATGTGAGGCATACTCAATTCGGTTTGACTAACTGAGAGATCGACCTACAAACCAGGCACGATGAACAAAAAATACTGGAGAGCTTTGGTGGGCTAGGTTATGGGGTGTTTGTTGGACCTCTTGGGTGGAAAACGTGCTGCTCGAAAGAGGGACTAGCTTACGTTTGCACCTGAACCAAACGAACAAGTAGCGCAGGGGGTTTTAGCTTGTGTTGTACATGTGTGTGTTTTGCCCAGGCGATGGTGTGTTTCTCGCAGAGCCAGTATATTTAGAGCTCAAGCCTAAGTGGCCGAACGGGCGCAATGACGGCCGTTTTTTGTTTTAATAAGCCGCGTGTACCCACCATAGCCCTTAAAAAGTGGTTGGTCATGACCCAAAATATTGGGGTCATGGCGGTCATGGATCTATTTTCTTCCCCAGAATTAGTTCCCCTTTTTAGTTTTTGTTGCTTTTTGGGGTCCCCTTTGTTCTCCACAAACCAGGCACATATATATATATATATACTTGCTGGGGTCCTAATTCCAGCCAAGTTTTTTAAGGGTCAGCAGGAGACTCCAGGTAGTCTGAGACGGCCACTCGGGGCCCGAAAAACCGATCGGAGACGCAGGGCCAAGCTGTCGCAGATCGACTCCATCGCAGAGGAGCGCGTGGAGCAGATCGTTACGCCCGGAGCCCCGAAAGGAGGCGAAGGGGCCGAGTGGTTGTTCAGTGGCACCAATTATTTGTTTATTTGTTTTGGGTGGGTGCCCCACTAAAAATGGTCTTCCCCAAAAAGGGTTCCCTTTTTTTCCAGGGTCACTGAACAACCGAGGAACTAACTTACCTGTATATAATGATTTACATGTGGGGGTTGAACAATATATTCCATTTACGGCCCCCAACTGACCAAGGGTAACTTTTCCCATGTGGGAAGCATCATCATTTTAGTGGTTTTCTCCAATGGTCATCCCATGTAAAGGACCTTTTGATCAACCCCCATATATGTATATCTTTAAAGTCAAAGAGTTGCATGCGTAGTAACTGATCATTTGGAGCCGGGAGTTACATCAAAGCGCAGTCCCGTGGGGGGAAGTAACTTATTTGCCCAGGCAAGCAAGCGCTTCACCATGGTTGTTTGACGTTGTTTCCTGGCATGTTTGTTTGTTTGTTTGTTTGGTTGCTTGCTTGCTTGCTTGCTTGTTTGTTTGTTTGTTTGCTTGCTTGTTTGTTTGTGTGTTTGTTTGTTTGTTTGTTTGTTTGTTTGTCTGTCTGTCTGTCTGTCTGTCTGTCTGTCTGTCTGTCTGTCTGTCTGTCTGTCTGTCTGTCTGTCTGTCTGTCTGTTTGTTTTTCTGTTTGTTTGTTTGTCTGTTTGCTTGATTGTTTGTTTGTTTGTTTGTTTGTTTGTCTGTTTGTCTGTCTGTTTGTTTGATTGTTTGTTTGCTTGTTTGTTTGCTTGATTGTTTGTTTCATTGTTAGCTTGTTTGTTTGTTTGTTTGTTGGTTGGTTGGTTGGTTGGTTGGTTGGTTTGGTTGGTTTGGTTGTTGGTCGGTGTGCTTTTTTGTTGGTTTGTTGAATGGCTTGTTGGTTTCTTTATTGCTTGCTGGCTTGTTTGTGTGTCTATCCGTCCATCTATCTTGTTTGTCTGTCTGTCTATCTGTCGGTCTGTTTGTCTGTTTGTTTGTTGTATGTTGCTTGTTCATGTGTCTGTTTATTTGTTTGTTTGTCGGTTTTTTTTGCTTGCTTGCTTGTTTGTTTGTTTGTTTGTTTGCTTGGTTGTGTGTTGTTTGCTTGTTTGTTCGGTTGTGTGTTTGCGTGCTTATGTTTTTTGTTGTTTTCTTTCGTTTGTTTGCTTGCTGGTCGGTTGGTTGGTCATTTGATTGGTTGGTTGATTGGTAATTTGATTGTTTGTTTGGCTATTGGTTGGTTGGTTTGTTTGTTTTGTCTGCTGGCTGTTTGTTTGTGTTTGTTCCCCTCATACTATGTCGCCTTCAACCAGAGAATAACTACTAAGTAAGCCATAGGCCCCCCCCGGAAAAGCAACATCTACTCGGACCCCATGCCAGAATCTGTTTCGAAAACGGATATAATTCCCAATTCCCCGCTAAAATAAACTCGGAACCCAGCCCTGGAACACGGTGCGCTGCCTTCGCCAAAATTCAGCCCTCGGGCCACTGGGTCGGCCACAAGATCCGCTGCGAGGCGCAAGATGATCCCGGAGCTCTTCCGCAACTCGATGGGCATTGGTTTGCAAAGGGGTTGGTTTGCACAAAGCCGGTCAAATTCACCCTTAAAACCGGTCAAATTCCTCTTCAGAACCAATCAAATCCACCCTAAAACCCGTAGAAACCAATCAAACTTCCCTCTGGAAACCTGTCCAACTCCGGTCAAATCCCCCCAGGAGCCGGGCGGAGGGGAATCAACGGGTTGATGCATAGACCTTTTTTTTCTGCATTTTCCCGAAGAAAGTCACAAAGGAGAGAAATCAGTGGTTGGTTTTCCAGACCCCCCTATGTAACACCTAGCAAAGGGGGGGGTTAGCCCTCATAAAGGGCACTTCCTTCTTCCAGAATTCTTTTAAGGCGCTCTTTGATTCTTCATGGGTCTGCAAGCCTTTGGAATGGTAGGCCACTTCCCACCCGAGTCCGCAAAGTCTTGTATGTTTCTTTGTGGCTCAGTGCAAGCGAGAACAAAGCTGTCTAGTCCTTGCAGTGCCAGCAATGTTTCTATACACTTGCCTGGTTTGTTCGAGATGTATCTATTTCTCCTCCCCGAGAATTGCATTCTGGCTACAGGCTACGGTATTCAAACAGGCCCAGCGAACGAAAGCTTCATTATAGGACAGCCCATATTTTGAAAGGATTGCCAGATGTCCATGGGACTGCATGACTGCATGTTTGGTGGCACGAAGGGTTTTGGTTTGGGAGAGAAAACCCATGAAGATTCCTTGGATCCTTCCTTGCGGGGTGGATAAGAACGACTTGCCCGGAATACGCTACCGACGCTATGTGGGTGGTGCTTCAGGAACACCAGGGGACAGGGTGTTCTGGGGAGCGGGTTGGGTCACCTCGCCGCAAGGGACTCAGAATTGGTAAGGAATTTCCCAGCACCCTATGTGTTTGGTCACCTCGCCAAAAGGGACTCAGAAATGGCACGGATTTTCCAAGCACCCTATGTGTTTTTAAGGTTGCAGGCTGTTTCAGGTCAATCTGCGAGCGTGCGTTGACTGTTCCAGACGTCCCTCTAAACCCGTTCGGCGGCCTTCTGAAGGCAATCCAAGTCGATGGCACACGCACAGACATCGAGGTAGTAGATGGCCATTGTTTGTCCCCTGTCTTCCGCACACATTTAGCCCAGTCAGCCAAAACACCTTTAGCTGATGCAGAGGGTCCCCTTGTCGGGTGGTTTGTATCCCCTGCCTGTCTGGTTTTGGGATGCCGTATGTTTTCGCGCGTAGGCTGGATGAAGTACATGAACGACTTCCGGGAGGCAAGCGCTTTCGGCCCTTTCGCTCGGTGCGAAAAAAGCAACCGCCGATTGCTTCGAAGGCCGCAAGGCAGCGGACGGTTTATTTTCTTCTTCTTTTTGAAGAAGGATATGGATGGTCAAGCCCAGAAAAGCGTGGGTCACATGAAGTCCTCGACCTTAGTCACTTAGTTTGGGAAGATCAGATTGAAGTAGTGGTATTAAACAAAGGTTTTAGGACTTTGTCTGGCCAGTGCACTTACGAAGTGAGGTTTTAGTCAAGATTAAAAGGGATCCTCTGAAGGAAGGCGTGACCATGGCCCACACATCGAGTTTTGACCATGGCTCACACGAAGACCCGTTGTTTGCTTGCAAGTCAGCAAGCGGGGGTTGACCAATATTCCGTTTGGCCCCCTTTTAAAGTGACCATGGGCAACTTTTCCCATTTAACGGTTGCCAGACCAAATCTTGTTTTGGTGGTTTCCCAACCAATGGTCCTCCCGTGTACAAATGGGACCTTTTGATCAACCCCCACGTGGAAGCAACATCTTCACAGCTGCACACGAGCTCATCGCGGACAGACAACACCTGCCAAACGGGCAAGGACAGGGTTATCTTGCGTTTGCTTGAGAAGATGTGGTCGTTCCTTTGGTTTTTAAAGGAAGCAAACAACATCACTACCGGAAATATGATTTCTCATCCTTCTCCAGGGGTCGAAGAAGCAAATGGAAGTTATACACGAAAAACTGTAGCCACCCACCCGAATTACGGAAGCCACACTACAGGATCTTCATTAAGGAGCCCGGACAGCGGGCGGTGTGGACCCCGTGACTACTTCGCTTCGAAGGCGATTCCCTCAATACAGAGCATGGGCCTAAACCGCACAAAAAAATCAGAACCATGAGGGATTTTTGCAGGATAACTAGGTATCTCAGGTAACCCCTGGTTGGTTTGGATTCGGAGTTGCACCCCTGGCGTTTGTAGAGCTAACAACTAGAGGGAGGCTCTTTTTCCCGAAAGCATGGCGAAGGGTTCTTCCGCTGGGTTCACTTGAGTTGTTCTCATGAGAGTCATTACAAGGTGTCATTGCAAGGAATCATCATCATGAAAGTCATTGCAAGGAGTCATTGCAAGGAGTCATTGCAAGGAGTCATTGCAAGGAGTCATTGCAAGGAGTCATTGCAAGGAGTCATTGCAAGGAGTCATTGCAAGGAGTCATTGCAAGGAGTCATTGGCAAGGAGTCATTGCAAGGAGTCATTGCAAGGAGTCATTGCAAGGAGTCATTGCAAGGAGTCATTGCAAGGAGTCATTGCAAGGAGTCATTGCAAGGAGTCATTGCAAGGAGTCATTGCAAGGAGTCATTGCAAGGAGTCATTGCAAGGAGTCATTGCAAGGAGTCATTGCAAGGAGTCATTGCAAGGAGTCATTGCAAGGAGTCATTGCAAGGAGTCATTGCAAGGAGTCATTGCAAGGAGTCATTGCAAGGAGTCATTGCAAGGAGTCATTGCAAGGAGTCATTGCAAGGAGTCATTGCAAGGAGTCATTGCAAGGAGTCATTGCAAGGAGTCATTGCAAGGAGTCATGAGAGTCATTGCGAGCTGCGCATGGAGTCAAGTGCAAGTTGCAAGTGCAAGGAGTCAAGTGCAAGTTGCAAGTGCAAGGAGTCAGGTGCAAGTTGCAAGTGCATGGAGTCAAGTGCAAGTTGCAAGTGTAAGGAGTCGAGTGCAAGTTGCAAGTGCAAGGAGTCAAGTGCAATTGACTTGCGAGGAGTTAAAATCTCTTCTTAGGGCGGCGGGGTAGTGCCGACGACACTACACGAAAATCGACCCTCTGCGGGGATCGGCGTGGTCGAGGTGCAAAAACCCATGGTTTTGCGATCGACCCTCTGCGGCGCGACCCTCTGCGGGGATCGGCGTGGTCGAGGTGCAAAAACCCATGGTTTTTTGCGATTTCTAACTGCTCGCGCGACCCTCTGCGGGGATCGGCGTGGTCGAGGTGCAAAAACCCATGGTTTTTTGCGATTTCCAACATGCCCGCGCGACCCTCTGCGGGGATCGGCGTGGTCGAGGTGCAAAAACCCATGGTTTTTTGCGATTTCTAAATGCCCGCGCGACCCTCTGCGGGGATCGGCGTGGTCGAGGTGCAAAAACCCATGGTTTTTTGCGATTTCCAACATGCCCGCGCGACCCTCTGCGGGGATCGGCGTGGTCGAGGTGCAAAAACCCATGGTTTTTTGCGATTTCCAACATGCCCGCGCGACCCTCTGCGGGGATCGGCGTGGTCGAGGTGCAAAAACCAGGTTTTTTGCGATTTCCAACATGCCCGCGCGACCCTCTGCGGGGATCGGCGTGGTCGAGGTGCAAAAACCCATGGTTTTTTGCGATTTCTGTGCCCGCGCGACCCTCTGCGGGGATCGGCGTGGTCGAGGTGCAAAAACCATGGTTTTTTGCGATTTCTAACCTGCTCGCGCGACCCTCTGCGGGGATCGGCGTGGTCGAGGTGCAAAAACCCATGGTTTTTTGCGATTTCTGCGGTGCCCGCGCAACCCTCTGCGGGGATCGGCGTGGTCGAGGTGCAAAAACCCGGTTTTTTGCGATTTCTGCGGTGCTCGCGCAACCCTCTGCGGGAATCGGCGTGGTCGAGGTGTTGTTCGAACTGGTCCTCGGGAGTTGTCTCGTGGTTCGCGCGCCTGCTCCCGGAACCGGCGGGTCGCGGGTTCGATTCCTCCCTGGTCCGCGGGCGGGCGTCGCAAGATGCAACTTGCATTTTAAAGCAACTTGCGCAGAGCAACTTGCGCAGAGCAAGTTGCACAGAGCAACTTGCGCAGACCAACTTGCACCGACCAGTTTGCGCAGAGCGCCTTGCCTAGAGCAACTTGCGCAGAGCAACTTACGCAGAGCAACTTGCACAGAGCAACTTGCACAGAGCAGCTTGCACAGAGCAACTTGCAGGGAGCGCAATTTGCACAGAGCAACTTGCAGGGAGCCACTTGCAGGGACCAACTTGCCGGAGCAACCTGCGCGGAGCAACTTGCGCAGAGCAACTTGCACAGTGCAACTTGCGTAGAGCAACTTGCGCAGACCAACTTGCACCGACCAGTTTGCGCAGAGCACCTTGCCTGGTGCTGTCTCGCGCTTGCTTCACAAATGCTTCGTGTAGGGATGCAGCGTTGGGCCGACCTCGCTTGCGATGTTCTGCTTTCGGGCCAACCGTGGTCTAGTTTTTGTGAAGTAAAAATACAATAGTGTTGATACCCTATCATAGTGTGTCACAAGTGCAAAGTGTTGGGTTCGGAAAGCACCAGATCTTGATGACTGGGGTTCGAAGGAGTGGCCTAGAAGCTGAGCATCCGAATGTCACAAAAAACAGAAGCCGAGCCTTGCACTCGACCGAAGCTACCAGGACCACGAGGTATGATGCTTTTACTCCCACTCGCCAAGCCAAACAATTTGTGTGGCCCCCTGGTTTTTGTTTTAGTGGGGGGGTGGCTTGGGGAGAGCAGAAACCAGCTTAGAAAATCCTTCTGCTCTTTGCCAACTGTGGATGGACGAATCCATTTCGCACCACGAGATGAAGCCATGGTATTTATAGGGGAGCCCTTCCAGGGTTTCCAAACGGTGGGTCCAGTAATTGCATGTTGCGCTTGATTCCAAGTTTGCAGAGGAAACTCCACGCGCCCTCAACCCAGGGTGAACCCCCCCTGCTTTTTAGTTTAAGAGGGGCCAAAACTGGCACCATGAATTTACCATCAAGGTCACCCCCGTTCAGCAGCAGACAGGGAAAGAACCCGAGCTGACTTTAACCCCCACAAACCGTCAAAATCATGACCCCAGCACAAAGGACACCATACTGTGGATTGGCAAAATCCATATGCGCCACCGTTCAGAAACCCTGGTTTCTGATTCGATTCCCCAACCTGAATACCAAGAAACGTTATGGTTTCACCACCTAAGAAACCCTGGGATGATTCGATTCCCACGTAAATACCGATATGTTTTGGTTGCAATTATTTGTGGTGCGATGTCTGGATTTCGCAGAACCATCCACAGGGCTCTACAGCTGTTGGGTTGGATCTTTAGACTTTAACTTGTTGGATTCTTCTCATGTTTCCAATAAAGCCAGCAAAAAGTGGTTCACTTTTTGGATTCCCCTCATATTTCCTTTTAACCAGCAAAAAGCGATCCTCACTTTTTGCTGGGGGATCTACAGCACAGTTTCCCCTGGTTCTGGGAACGGAGGTTCATCCATTTGCCAAGGCCCTGTTACCAAGCATTACAATGGGGCTCAGGGTTGTGGAATCACTCGGGGTTTATTCCCACTTCTGTGCTACAAGGGCCCCCTATGGGGTGTTAGTCTTTGGGGTGCCCTTTTTGTTGTATCACAGATTCGTGGATTCCATTTCAACCACAACCCTGGGGCTTCATAAAGCACCCAGAGACGCTTCCACCGCTTCCACCGCTTCGCCTCGCTCACCTCGAGGCCGAGTTCAATCAGCATCTGCAGCTGCTGGGCCAGGCGCGCGTTCTCGCGCTCGCGCTCGCGCTCGCGTCGCCTGGGGCGGCTCGGAGCGAGGGAGTTTTCGACGGCCCCTCGGTGTCTGATGAAGGCCCTCCGGAAATGTATTGGAGAAGACGTCTCTTGATTCTGTAAATACCTGAGTCAGGGTCACTGAGTACCTGAGTTGGCTCTCTGAATATTTTGGAAAGGACTTCTCTTGATGATGCTGTAGATATATTTGTGAGTAGCATGATTGCTGGTGATGCTGGTGGTGCTGTGCATTGACCATGATGGCAATCAAGATGGATATTATGTTGAGAACGACAAATGTCAGCAATAACCAACAAAGATGTCCCTTCCGCCTATCAACAAAACGGGGGGTCCACACCCCTCACAAACAAAGAACCCCTGCGACAAAAAAACAACACAACTAATTTAGGGGCCGGTTTTGAGAGTGAAGAACAGGTTGCTTCCGAAGTGTAATTATCAAGGTGGACGCAAAATGTAAGAACTCCTTCCTGATGTGTTTTTGTTTAAAGTGCGGGATTCCAACAATTCAGGCATGGCACCTTTCGAAGATTGCGCAATGGAGAGGGACACAAGGAACTGGCTTGCTTTTGCACTGGCTCGGGGCCCCCAATACGACTGGGGTGCGACCTGGTGGGACATGTCCCATTTCGTACTCCGAGACTTCTGTCTCTGAACAAACACATCTATGAAGGGGGTCTTTATGTTTTTGTGGAAAGGGATTACTCAGATGACAAACATAGCGGCGAGGATGATGATGATGATGATGATGATGAGGAGGAGGCGAGGAAAATGATGATGATGATGATGATGAGGAGGAGGAGGAGGAGGAGGTGGAGATTGTGTCGGCTTTTGCGACAACGGCATCCTTGTTAGTGATGATCAATCAAGCAGGTAGTTTATCCTGAAGCTACAGACATTGGCGTCCATCGAAGAATTGGTTCTGCCGTTCTGCCCCTCCTTCTTGGATTAGCCCCCGCTCCGCCATACCATGACTCAAAAGGCTTCATCATACTACTCAAACCAACAGCGCCTCCCATTTTAGGTGGTTTCCCTTTGCTTTCCCATTCCTGCAAAACCCAGCCGAAAAGCAGCGTAGTTCACCCAGTCGCCGGCTAGGAGCTCGCAAAGCAAGAGGCACGGTTCGGCGGTGTGTTGGCAGAAATCAAACGAGCAGCGGTCGATGTGGGCGGCTCGTCTTTTGTTGAGGGTAGCCCCTTTTGGTGATTTTAGAGGGAAGCCACACCTGTGCCTGCCCACCCACCCATCCTCCCACCACCCACACACCCACTCATCAACCCACACACCACGGACCTCGACCAACAAGCGCCACCTCCCACCAGCTGAAAACGTGAATGTCCCCCTTCACCCACCCCTTCACCCACCCCTTCACCCACCTTCACCCACCCCTTTACCCACCCCTTCACCCCCACCCAACCCACGCGCTCCTGTTGTGGCTCATGTCATTGTTCAGCCAGCCTTTTGATGTCGGCGGCTATGGATGTCGAGATGATGTGGGGTGAGTATACGGTCAGCCTGCACGGCAGTGTGGGGCATGCGGTCCAACATCCAATCGTCTACCGTGCATTTGGAAGGAACATTCAGCACTTTCTTGAGTTCTTACACAACCAGAGGGTCGAGCCCGAATGCTCTCATGCCCGGTAAGTGCGCCACTTCACCGCTCACATACCTCACAAGGGGTTTCGGGTTGCGACGGGCCCAATGAGTACACCTCTTGCCTGTCCCCGTGATTCCGTTTCCCTGGTCAGTAGGTATCCCAAGGGCCTTGAACACCAAAAGGAACGTGGATTGAAGGGTTACTAAATAGGCGAAGAGACGGGGATTTCTTGGGTGTGTTACAGGGAAGCCAAAGTGAAGCCACCCCTTTGGGTCCATTTAAAGACAGACCCATGTCCAGCCACACCTATAACCCTACGATGTTTTTCTGGCAAGGCGCTGGAGAAGGAAGACGAGGCTGGGGCATTCATTGGCAAAGATGGCTTTCACGGAACTCTTGATTGCTATTGAGACTTGGCTGTGGGTCAAAACCAGTGGTAGAATTTTGGGGTAGGTACACTAGGTGCACCACCCATTTTAGTCTAGTGGGGATTGGGATGTTCACTGGGGGTATGGGATTTTGACCCATGGCCACTTTAACCTGTTGGTAGAAATCAAGGGGTTGTCCATTCAACCGACACAAATAGACTTGTTGCAGAGGGGTTCGCCAGCAACCAAGTAACTTGCCCCAGTTTTCGGCATCTGCAGTGTGCTTGCTTGACTTGAGCCCATGAATCAAGTTGAGGGGGCTACCCAAAGGAAGCAGGAAGTGGCAGCGATTGCGGCTGGTGTTTTGTGAAGTGCTTCTCCCAAAATCATTATATGTGTTGCTCAGACGTGCCAACCATGAATCTGACCGTGACTTCAAGGACCTTTCCTTCAAAGGCCCATCCAACGCGGTCAGAGGCTTTGCCTGGGGATCTCATTCCCAAACAATTTCCCAGCCCACAATATTGTTTGTGCTGCCTTTGCAACAAGGAATCCAATGCATGTGGCGTGTGTGCGCGTCGAAATTGGACTCCTGGAGGGTCACTTGTTGATGTTGGAGGAAGAGTACACCAAAATACCTCCAACAAAAGTGCAAAACGGCACGGCAAAGCCCTTGTGACGCGCTTTCGGAAAAGCCTTCTAAGAAGTTGACATAAGTGTCTCGAACATTTTGATTGGTGATGGGTTACGGGCTTTTTGAAGTATCACGGTATGCCACGAGAGTAGACTGTGTGTCGCTGATGTAGCTCCTACCTTCCGAGTCGCGCGGGTTCAGCGCTTCGCTCGCAAGGACTCGGAGCCGGTGGTGGATCTTGAGAAGGCGTTGCCGGGAATGCGCAGTCGGGCAACTTGACGGGTTTGGGGACCCCCCCAAAAAAGGGGGGGGTGTATGGTGGACACCTAGGGTTTATTTGGCCTGCTTCATGTAGGGTATTGATGATTTAGGTTTCTTGGCTGCTAATATATTCTCACGAGGGGGGGGGGGTCCTGCTGCCAGAAAACTGGTAACACGGCAGCCAAAAGACGGTTGGTTTGCGATATTATGTTTGTTTTCGTCCGTTCCCAGTAGCTATGACGTTGACCTCGTGTCAACCACCGGGCAAACCACAAAGGCCGAGTTGGACAAATTCCAGAACAAGGCGTGGCTAAAGGTCATTGAGCTAGAAACGGTCCTTCGTTCAAACCGTGCCAAAATCCGGCGCAGCAAGAAGGCTCGCTTTCGCAAGACTGCCAACATCATAAAGGTGATGAAGTCTAAGAGGCGCAGAGGCCCTAGGCCATAGTGTCGTTAAGTTAGTTTCCTTTTTTCAGCTTCTATGTTGCGGGCCACCTCGTAGCACACGACATTTGGATGAAGCTGAAAACAGATGCGAGGAGCCCTCACGTTCAGGTTCCATGTTAGGGCAATTTTGTGGGTCGACTCGCGCGCATTCACTCACATATTGCCCTTTACATGTTCCCTGCAATATCTAGGGTTCTTCCGCGATTGTGGGGGTAAGGGGTAATTCAATCCTTCTATGTTTGTCCGTGAATGGAGGTGACAGGTGTTTCCCCAGGAAATTTTGCCCTACAAGTAGGAGCTTCTATGTTAGGGCACCTCGTAGCGCAGGTAGGGACTTCCAATTTAACGCCAGGGAGAGTATTTCCCCCAATCCATCGACAACCGGAGTTCGGCATTGCCCATGTTGGGCAAGCCCCTGTAGCGAGACCCCGATCTTGGAATGACAGCCTGGCTCAACTGGGGTCTCCTTCACAACCATTTTGTTTCAGGGTAATTAGACTAAATATGATGCAAACTCTGCAAATAGGACTGTTGCTGTATCCCAACTCTGAACCGAAGTTGAGAGCCTGAATGCCGACAGGCATTTGCTCTCCCTTGGCTTCCTCGGGTTAGTGTGCTCCAGAAAGCTTCAGATGACAGGTCAAGTTGGCGTCGGGAAATAGTTAATGCCTCTGGTGGCTTATGAGAACCGGACCCCCAGAAAGTGTTGAAGGGCCCTAGGAAGGTTCTCCGAACTTTTCCTGGCCTTTAGTCGATAGTTCAGCATTGGCAAAGGCTTTCAAGCTGACTCCTGGACCAACTGATGACAAGTTCACAGGTTAGCAAGTACGGGGGCCAAAGACGAGCTTTAAGCGATCGTGTTTACTAGCGTAAACAACAGGGTTGGTTTCCGGGCCTCGAATGTCCGCTTGGACGTTCAACTGCGTCAGGCAAGTACTGGCATAGACCACGCTTTAACAGGAGCCAACCCTGGTTAGAAGCCACTCATTCTGGACCAAGCTAACCTAAAGCACGAAGGCGGCTGCGATGCATGTTCTTGCAAAGTGGCTTGAACTTGCTGCCCCATAGTTGTAGTTATCAGCTACTCTCATGGGCCGGCCCAAGACCGGCACTCAAATGGTTGTGCTTTTCAAGATCGGCAGTCCCTTCAGGAACATCTCTTGGAATTGAGCTTCCTAATTTGCATTGAGTCTGTTTTTAAAGCAAAACCAGGGCACCCTTTTGAGTAGATTCACAGGGAAACCGACATGAGAACAGGCATATAACAGGCATTTAAAAGCCCAAAGCTGGCTTTGGGCACACCCAATTGCTCGTGACCTCACACTTGATGATTCCGTGTGAGGTTCGCTTGAAGAATAGGGCCGAGAACGCAGAGATGGAGGCGGGGAGTGGGTTTGCTTTCCACTCCCAGGGTCATGGTGAATTGTTGGTGACAGGTTACCACGTTCTGTCACACCAAGGGAATCACTTTTGAAGAAGTAGTGCCACATTAAAGGAATTCCCTTTGAATTGAAGAGGTAGTCACGGGAAAACGCACCCCATTTGGGTATGTTGCGATTTCGTCTCAAGGTCGCGGACCCTTTTGGTGCTTTGGTCTCAACAGCATCAACTCAGGCTCATTTGCGTGAGCTCTTCTGGCGGATGCCTGAAATATAGGTGAACCAACCACACTCAACCGCAAGACCATGGATGGCAAATTAGGGGATACCTTTTTTCCTTGCTTGCAACATTTCGGGCATCCACTGTACTGGCCAGGTGCAGTGTTCTTACTCGTGTTCTGTTGTCTCAGGGTGTCAGGACGCACCAGATGACTTGAAGGGCAGGTTTCTTACTCCTGTGCCCATACCCGTAAGTGGACTCGTTCCACGGGCTGCTTGGTTTGACAAACACGACCTTCCACTTGAAAAAAACAGTTTCTCTTAATTTGCGTTTCAGAATAATTGTGCTGTGTCCACTGTTGGTTTTAAAGGGAGTCTGTCACTATTGGCAATGGATCTATTTTTCCCGGGGCTCAAGCAAATGGAGTTTTTTTGAAGGTAAGACGTTCGGCTTCTTGCACAGATCTTGATAACAATCTTGTCTCTTTGTGGCAAGCAAAAGTCTCGACTTGTCTGTGAAATATCGACTCGGGAAGTCAGAAACAAGAACCCTGGCCCAAGGATGACAGGGTGTGCTTGGACCCAGGGATCATTGACAAGACAGAGACGAGCTCGCCTTGAAGTAAAGCTAGCGGACCCATGATCAAGGTCCTTTATTAAGCGATTCCCTTATTTCGTGGTTGCCTCTCGTGGAAAGTGGAAGCAGCGGGTTATTGCGTGGTTGCCTCTCGTGGAAAGTGGAAGCAGCTGGCTACCTGGAGTCTCCTTCTGTCCCTTCAATCATAGGAACATCCATGGCCGCTTTCTTTTGGTTGGCCTTCTGTTTGAAGTGTCAGAAGGAGACTCCAGGCGGCACTGTGGACCCCCGTCTTTTTCTAGGGGACACGTGGGGATCTGCATCCTTACCTGACTCGTGGCGCGGCCCTTCGAAAGGGAACCCCTAAGCAACCGGCGGGGTGTGCGCACTCCGAGTGTGGCTTGAGCTGGAACCACCAACGGTGGACATGAATCCCTTCCTAGATCATGATGATTGCCACAGGAGCCCCAAGGAAGTAAAATCGCAAATTCGCGTTTCCGAAAATTTGCTGGCGCGATAGGTAGGGAAAGACCTTCCGGAGGTTGGGAACCGAACCAGACGTGGATACCTGAATGATGTTTAGCAAAGGACCCCCAATGAAGAATATCAACCTTCGGGGTGTTGGGAATGAACCGGAAGCTCAAAGGAAATCAAACCGAGGTCCCGGTTTTCCTCGGCGTCATGCCATGTCTCATTTCCTGCCACTCGAAGTAACCCATCCACGGTTCCCATTTGGAAGCCATCAGCTGGCAGTAAAATCAGCAAACTCGGCTTGAATGTGGCTGTGGCTATATCCGAGCCGTTTTCTAAAATGTGGAGCCACTCCTGGATATTAAAAAGAGTACTACAAGAGTACTAGAACAAAGACTGGTGAAATCCAAAAGCGCAAATCCAACCGTTTTCTAGAATGGATTTATTCGCCCCCTGAACAATTTGTGTGTCTCAAAATGGGGGGGGGGTTGTGGTTTCCCTTTCAGCCAAGCCCAACAGGGTAATGTTGACCCCATATTAGTCAACCCCACTTCATTAACCGGGGTATCCCCGGGTTTAGTGGGGAGTCATCAAATAAAAACTGGGGTTGACAAAAGTATGAGGTCAACATTAGTGGGTGTTTCCTTCTTTAAGCAAGTCCCCTTTTGTTTTGGCTTGACAGGACACGAAAGGGAAGCCAAAGGGAAATGTTCACCATGGTTGATTTTTCCCCGACTTTGAGACAAACCCATTATCCCGAAAACAAGACACGCCCAAATGACGGCCCTGGCCTTTGGGGCCGAAATCCAGGTGGACACCTTGCGCCAAAAGCTGCAGGAAGCCCAGGCGAGCGGCGAGTAGACAAGAGATCTGAGAAGTGAACGGCTGCTTCTTCAAATCGGTGCGTGTTTCGTGGGTTTGGTTTCGGTTGGTTTGTTGTTTTTTGTTTGGTGTGTACGTTTTGTTTGGTTTGTTTGTATGTGTTTGTGGTTTGTCAGTCGGCTTGATTCATTGTTTGATTGATTGTTTGATTGCTTGTTTGTTCATTGGTTGGATGGTTTGGTTCGGTTTGAATTGGTTTGTTCTTTGTGGTTTGTCGGTTTGTTTGTTTGTTTCTCTTGTTTCTTTGTTGTTTTGCTGATTTGTCGGCGTGTTTGATTGTTTGACTGTTGTTTGTTTGTTGGTTGGTTGTTTTGGTTTGGCTTGGTTTGTTTGTTGCGAGTGTCGCTTTGATTGCTTGTGTGATTTGTGTTGGTTTGTCGGTTTGTTTGATTGTTTTTAATGTTGATTGCTTGTGTGTTTGTTTGTCTGCTTGTGTGATTGTTTGTCTTTTTGGTTGGTTTGGTATGGATTGGTTTGGTTTGTTATGTTTGGTTTGTCGGTTTGTTTGATCGTTTGATTGTTTTGGGTTTGCTTGTTGGTCGGTTGGTTGGTCCGGCTTGCTTTGAGTTGGTTTGTCGGTTTGGTTGTGTGTACGTTTGTTTGTTGCGTGCTTTTGTTGGTTTTTCGGTTTGTCAATCTGTCGGTTTGTCGATTTTGTTGTTTGTGTGCTTGTTGTTTGTTGCATTGTTTGTTTTTCGGTTGGTTGGTTGGTTGGTTGGTTGGTTGGGTGGGTGGGTGGGTGGTTGATTTGGTCTGGTTTGGTTTAGTTTGGTTTGGTTTGGTTGTGTGTTTGTTTGCTTGCTCGCTTGCTTGTTTGCTTGATTGTTTGTTTGTTTGTTTGGTCGGTTGGTTGGTTGGTTGGGTGTTTGCTTGTGTGTTTGTTGGTTGGTTGTTTGTTTCGTTGGTTGTTGTTTGTTTGTTGTTTGTTGTTTTGTCGGTGTGTTTGTTTGCTTGTTTGGTTGGTTGGTTATTTGGTTGGTTGTTGTTTGTTTGTTGTTTGTTGTTTTGTCGGTGTGTTTGTTTGCTTGTTTGGTTGGTTGGTTGTTTGGTTGGTTTTGTTTGCTTTCGTGTTTGTGTGCTTGTGTTAGGTTGGCTTAAAGGAACGCTGAACTCTGTGCGTTGTTTGGCTTTTGTGCCCTTTGTTTAGGTTGGCATACAGGAAAACCCAGGTTTGATTTTGGGAGGGCAGCTTTTGTTGGGTCTATTTCAACGGGAGACCAAAAGGAGAGCCACTATTCCAACCAGGGAATCCCCTTTTTTGGACAGGGACGCTATGTGAAACCCGGAGGGAACCGAGCATTCGGAGGGCCCCCCTTTTTCAAGACGCACAATTTCACTTCAACCACTAGATTGTCCCAAATGCTGTCCAAAAGGCAGTGGCTGAAGGGGTACTGGTTCTTGTGTGTGTGTGGTGTGGCAATGGTTTTGTGCTTTGGTTTCTCTATGTTGCCGCATGGTACTGGAAGAAACTTTGTTTTGTTCGTTCATGTTCCTAGTGGTTTATGAAGCTTGTTTCGTTTGCGGTGAGCTATGAGCTCATCCAACCTATGCCACAAACAGCTAATTGTGGTTTGTGCAACTCTAAGATGGTTCCCACTGCCCCATTCACTTCTTCCCCAAGGAAACGCGGGGTTATACCCCTTGTAGATGTTTGCTGGATGAGGTGTGAACAGTCATACTGGAGCTGCAGTCAACTCCAACTGAGCTGGGAATGTGGAAAGCAACCCCCAAAGTTTCACAAATCGTAGCCTGGGAGACTAATGTTGACCCAGGATTAATAAACCCGTCCCATTTATAAGGGGTGTTCCCTCCAAAAGTGGTCTGAATCCCCACTACAAGGAATTGGACACCCCCCTATTCATCAACCAGGGGGTCAACATTATGCTGAAACCAAATCGTGAAACTAATGTAGGTCCCCCAGTGCCCATTCGCCCTTTTTTGGGGGTTCCCCTACTAAAATCGACAGAAAAAAGTTGGCACCCTTATTCTAACCTCTCCACTGGAGGACCTAGTAATCTATCCCCTTGTGCTTTCCTTTGCCCTCCATGCCACGGAACCCTTCTTCAGAGGGCGGCAGGAGTCGCGCGTCGCCGAGCATCAGCCCGCCTTGTGGTCTCCGATGTCCCAAAAAGGAAACCGAAGTGGAATTGTTCAAGCTTTTCTGGGGTCATTTTTTTGACGATTTCCAGGGGTTATGAAAGTCAGAAGCTGGGGAGGTTTCCCTTTAAACCACCACTTGGGGGTGACTTTGATAGTGGTGAAATCATGGCGCCAGTTCCTCCTGACCATTTTTGTCTGTTAACCCTTTTTGCTGTTGGTGTGACTTGGTGGGGAAACGCCTAGAGGGTAACATGGGAATCCACTCCTTTTTCCCCCCCAAACCACCGGGCCCCGGCTCACGATCAACGAGGGGGAAGCTGTCCAACTGGGCGGGGCAAAATATGGTTTAAACATCGTAACCAGTGGTTTTAACATGTTTAAACCAGTGGGTGGCCCCACCCTACTGGTACTGTCCAACCCGTTTCCCTTCGCGTGAAGCTGCAAGCCAGCGGGCCGCTTGAAGCCGACGGCTTCGGCAGGTTGCGCAGGACGCGCTGACGAAGCTTCTCACGGATCGGCCTGGGGCGTCAGACTTGAGAAGACGGTATCTTCGGTGGGCCAAGCTTGCCATAGGTGTCCTTTGGTTTGGAGAAATGGCTGTGGATCAAAACCAATGGTACCATTTGGGGGTAGGTGCACCACCCATTCTAGTCTATTTCAGTGGGGATTGGGGGTACGAGGTTTTGACCCATGGCCAAATAGATGGGCTCCACTGATCTTGGGACTTAACGATTTCATTTACCAGGAGAACCCATCTATCTTTTCTTTCTTTTTCAAACGCTTGCCCAATGGCTGGTGGTTGGAAGAGAGCCGTTACGGAGCTGGGGGTATCAAGTTTTGCCTGTGAAGAGGAGCTAAGGAGCTACCAGGAGTGCGAAGAGATGGTACATAGTATAGACTTACCCCCCGAGCTCCTGGACTTTACAGTCCACTTGTTGGGAAGATCATTTTAGTGGTAAACAACAAAGCAAGCTGAGTTTTTTGGGATGGGGTTTCTTGGCTTGAGTTTTGGGGGTGTTTTTGTTAGTGATGTTTGGGTTTAAACACCTTCCTCAGGCGATAAAGCACGTTTCTTGCTGGCATGGGCTTAGGCATCCCCATCGGCAAACAGTCATCGCCCAAGAATTCTCCTACCCCCTAGACACTTCCATTTGCTGAACATATTATGTGTTACTTCCCCCTGTTGGTGTTAAGGGGAATCGACAGGGGACAGATGTTGTCATTTTTCCAGACGTATCCCCACGTGCAAGAAACGCTTCTCATCCTTTGATGAGCCCGGGTCAAACAAAGCGCAACAAACACTGCGCCTCCGTATGCGGATACGTCCCCTATCACAAATAACATATATATGTCCAGTAGTGAGTTCGGTGCGCTTTAACACCAACAAGGGCGAAATAAGGAAAATATGTTTTTGTCAGCAACTGGAAGCACCACTTTTCGTTGATTCGAATCTGCAAACCAATCCAAAGAACACAGTGATACCCATAGAAGCCATGAAGACGCACCTCCAAGCTGTTGTTGCAAACCGCGAGCGGGGAACCAGAGGAAGTAGTCTAAGCCTTGCTGTCAGCTTCTGGAAAGAGGGTATCTCAAGGCGTATGAATGTCAAAGCTCGATATGAGTATGTGTCAAAATGGGAACGCCCCAGAAAAAGTGGTTTTCCTTTCGGCCGCCCTTGAAGCCAGGCTAAAATCGAGACTCAACCGCGACAGCTATGCGGTCCATCCGCAAATCCTGGGTCTGGCGGGTGGTTTGTTAGCTGAGATGGGGTGCTCAATAACCAATGATTTTCAGTTTTTCCAAAGGGGGGTCAAGATATCATCCCTCTTTCATGGGGGTGCATAAGTTTATTTGGGGAATGGATATGGTTCCAAAGCCACGTGCTCCGCGCGCAGAGCGCAGTGCGCACCACTGGACCGGACCAGAGGCGAGCGGAGATCCCACACGAGTTCCGTGCGGCTCGGGACGGAGCCTCAAGCCTTGAGGGCAGGGTCCGTCACGAAGGCGATCCGGATGCCCTCTGCCTTTTTAGCTTTTAGTTGGTTTAGGGCGGGGTTGGAGTTTAGGGGGGAGTTCCACTAAACCACTAAAAGCGCTTTTAGCCTTTGAGTTGGTTTAGTGGTTGGGTTTCCACCAAACCACTAGAAGTGACACTTTTAACATTTGATCTGAGAACAGCCCAGTTTATGCCTTCAATACTGCGGTGCAATCCTGAGGCAACCCAGACCCATTTACTCTGCAAATGAGCCTGGAACTTCAATTGGGTGCCTTTTCTTAGGGCCCCAAAACAGACCATGTGGTTTTCCTTGTGACCCTGTAAACAAACCCCCAAAGGGCTACCTTCAAAACAGACACACTCTGAAGATTATCAAGCATTGTTTCAATGCGCGGGGTAACACAAGTCTTTGAACACCTCACGTTTGTTGAGGCAAACATCGGCTCGGGGTGCCATCAAGGCTTTGCGTTGGTCTGAAGATGACCCTGATCGGGGTAAGGTCGCTTTTAGAATCCTGTACGGCAAGCATTCTGAGTTGGTACCCCTTTTGTGTGGTGGCACAAAAGGGGTTTGCTCCTGGGGACGTATTCTGCAAATGGAGAGCAACCCACTTCATTCAAATTGATCGCATGGAATCCACGGAAATCCATGTTGGAACCTTTTGGGGGCTGATTTCCAATCAAGCCATACCTCACGGTTCACCCATAGAATCAACAGAGCAGGGTTCAAAACCTTGTACTGCGATTGAAAGAGGGTGGTAAGGGCTCCAAACCCCCGGGTTGGATCTTTAGACTTTAACTTTTCGGATTCTTTTCATTCTTCATTGCAAGAGGCAAAAAGTTAAGCTTTTTGCTGGGGGATCTACAGCACCCAAGAACTACGATCTGGACGTCTACAGACTCAGCTCCGTGGGACATCTGTCGCCAGGACGGCATCACCTCGGAGGACTCGGTCAGCTTCTTCGCCTCTGAGTCTCCTCTGCCCTCCAAGGAGCCGCCCAGCTTGGAGGACGTGCCGCGCGGCAGACAAAGCGGAAAGCAGAAGCGGGAGGTGTCACCATGCTACGACAATATGGGGTTTAAGGGGGTGGGAAAAATGGGAAGTTGGGTTCATGTCTTTTTTTTTTCACCATGACAATAGTTGACGACTACATTAGGCGTTATATCGAAGTTGCCCCCGGACCTTTAAGACAGGACTGTTGTTTTTGTTGACAAACCAACCCCTGCAAAGGTATTTGAAAACGCACCCATGTGCCCATCTAGCTGCTGAACCTAAATCTGCACCACTGCTTGGTGCCTGGTGACCTCCCATTCAATCGCTGGGTTGCTCGTTGAACTGTGGGAAATCAGTAGCCAATCCCGACCATGCGGCTAGTCCCTGACATCTCAAACACCCGCGGCCCTGAAACAAAAGTTCGCACAACGCTCTGTTTCAAAGCACATCCTAAGCCAAGCTGTTGGCACATGAGCGAGCTGCCCGAGTGGCAGAGGCACAGAGGGGTAATCAAAGTCGACAGCCAGTTCGTCAAGCGAGACTCTGTCACTGTGCTGTCAACGACTTGCGCACCACTCAGTGACGGAGACAAACTGGGGGACAGGTTCGGCAAGAAGGGCGTGGCCAGCATGATGCCAGCCACAGATGTGCCGCGGGGAGTTGACGAACAGGGCGAGTGCGTCATCTTCGTCGTTCGCAGCAGCACGAGCGAGTGCGACAGACTCACACTGGCTTCAAAAGCGTGCCGGCGTACAATGTTGACGATTGTATACAACCCCAAAACCTAGCTGTACGTTGTTGGAAAGCAGGTTTAGGGCGAGTTTCCGTATCAAGTTCGGATTCGCTTCCGGGTGTAGCCATTGGGAAATCCCACCGTATTATAGAAAGTGCGACGCTCCATCAACGATATCGGGCTCCTCTAGAAAAAATGTGAAGCGGGCATCAAATCTTTGGGGTTTACTTTGAAGAGGGTTGGTAGACAAGTATTCACTTGGTGGCTTCCAGCCATCCTCTTAGCTTTTTAGCCTTTAGTGTTTAGTGGGGTTTTGTATTTAGCCCACTAAAAGTTCGCGGGGGATCTGAAAGCGGACAGCTCAGTTCAGGGCTCCCTGGGGGTACCCAAGTGGGGGCGCTTTCAATCAAAAGCCCAAAGGAAACAGCTTTTTGCTTGTGGCGCGGGGCGGGGCTTTCCGATTTTGACACTCTTGTGTGTGTTTTGGACTCAAGGCTTGGGCGTGTTCAAAACTATTTCTGGGGCTCCATCAACTGAAAGGGGGCCCAAAGCAAACAATTCCAGTCCATTTGATGTTGGGTTTACATGCGCGTTCATAAAGGGTTTTCTCAAAATAGGGAACAGGTGCTTTGGCTGGGTTTAAAGGGGCGCTAAAGGGGTCCCTAATTTTGAGTAACACCCATAAAGGCAGCCTCTCAAAGAGGGGGTGAACACTACTGGCCGGAGATCCTCTGTTTTTAGCCAACTCGTCGGGGTCGGGCAACGCAGATGATGTAGTTGGGCCACAGGCAGTGACCATTCAAGACAAAGCGCGTGACCCCATGCCCGAAGCCGCACCTTCAAAAGTCCCGGGAAGCATCCGGACCCGTTGAAGAGGCCCGACTGGCGCCCGTTTTAAACGGGTCATTGGAGGATTCCTTTCAGTTTACCTGACTGGGGTTGGTGTTGGTTGCAAAGGTTGGCCGGTAATTTGAACGACAACGTCCGACTGTGATTTGGAATGATGCTCATTGTGTCCGTCGGTCGTCAAATGAAGGCTGCCAAGCCTCCCAGCACAGCCAATGGTCACTCCAATGCCATTGTTCACCCGAAACAACAACTCAGTCGAGCTCCGCGATCCGGGGGCACCAACGAAAACATGAAGTTCTTCACCAAAGGCTTCTCAATTTAGTTGGCGAACTGAATCAGTAATTTGCCCAGAGTCATTTATGTTTCCACAAGCCAATGCAGCATTTGTGTTCCAAGAACCATGGACGTGTGCCTTTTCAAGAGGACTGCAGTCCTTAAAATGGGGGTGTCTCTTTTCGAGGGTATCCTTCTTTGTTTGGGGCTGGTTTCTTCAGGGAAACCCAAAGGAAAACCCTGTTTCTTTCAGCGAAAAAGGACTACCCACACCCATTTTGGGGGGTCCCTTGGGCAAAAAGCCAAATTGCTCCGAGTATTTTTTCAGCCCAGGCGAGCCCGGCGCAGGTCACTGGCAGAGGAAGGGCCGGGCGAGAGGGCGAGGGCGAAGCGGGCCACTCCTCGTATTGAACGAGTTTTGTTTTTCCGGGGTCTCCTCCATTGTTTGTTTCTTCTTCTGTTTTTGGGTTTGGGGGGGGGCCAGACTCCTCCAACAATTGGTTTGCGTTATTTTAGGGCAGACAGAATATGAAGCAGGCTCAGAACATATTCGCTTTGGACTGTTTTGCGGACTTTGGGGAGTGGCTGTGACTGTCTGGTGGACTTTGGGTGTGAACCCAATGTTTTCACATGGGGGTGATTTGGTGGACGTCGGAGTTAGGGGATTCATGTCCACGCACTTGGCCGATTGAAATCAAGAACCACATGTTTCTGGCCTTTGTAACATACCTCTTGCAAAAAAAACCCAAGGCTTGCTGATGTTCATACCATTGTCTCCAAAAGAGGGGGTATGAAGCACAGGCATTTCCGCCAGTAAAATGTCAGTTTTACATGTCCAGCCAAGGTCTGCTAGACCTTCGTTGCAGATTTCTGGGTGCTACATGGCCCATATGTGGTCATTTCCCCTGCAGGAAACCCTTTTGATGGCTTTATTTGTCCAGACCCCACATCTCACTTGCTGAGTTCCATCACTTTGGAAGACCAATTTAGTGGCCAACAAAAAATTGAACTTGTTTGGCCAACCCACTCAGAAGGGGACAATTATCTTCCTTGTGTTTCCCCCCCACACAGCGCCAGCCAAACTTTCCTCAGAGCGCCTGGTAGCTTACGGAAGTGAGATATTCCGCCAGATGTTCATCTTTCCCCCAGTTTGTTGGACAAGGCCTGCGACTGAATCCACTTTGGGGTGTCGGTATCTTCCCGGCAACCATTTCAGAGACTGGGGCAGAATTTCAACCTCGAGTCATCCCTTGGTATGAACCACAGAAAGAACATTGCTCCGTCTAAGTTTGAAGGCGTGACGATCTCATTTCTGGAACCCTGTCCAAATCAAATCCCCTTCAAAAGTGACCCTGACAGATGTGACAAGGAGTTGTTCTCAAGGAACCCTTTGTTCCCAGTTCACTGGAAATGGAAGCAGATGTCCTTGTTGGCACCCGATGAGAACGCGGGATTGCTTTCACAAGGGGACCCCCCGTGACTTCACCGTTCGCGATTCAGGGATGTCAGGAAGCCCTAACTGCGGTCCACGAGCCGAGGATTCAATCATAAAGGTTTGGCCAACAAACATTCACCTACCATGTCCGCAACATACCCGAGAAATGCAAGCTGACAACATATTTTCTCGTTTTGAGACCACTAAGAACCAGATCAGACACCGGGAGTGGTCGTCGAGGCCGTTGTGACAGAAGCAGGACAAGTGTTCAAGAACGCAAGCCAAACTCAGCGAATGTTGCGTGCAAGACGCTCCACACGAACTTGCTTCCTGGAGAAATGGACTTGATACTCTTACAAACATCTCGAACTGTTTTGGCCAATCCTCTCAGGAATTGAGGACAGAAGCAGCGGGTGGGTTGGGGGTATCCCTGAAATCAATGAAAGCCTACGGAGAGCGACAAACAATGAGAACCATCTAAACCTCCTGTTTCGCGCAGCATGAGCCACTGTCAACATCATAGCTGTCTGCTGACTGTGAGTTCGCTGGAACTGTGGTTTAGGGTGATTTCTATTTGGGTGTGGCTCAAAATTCAACAGGAGGGGTTACGCAGGTATTGGTCAATGCTTCCACTTACCAGGCTTCCATTTTGGTACCGGTTTTTTGAGCCACAGTCATTTGTGATCACCAATCTTGTTTTTTTCTCGGCATCGCCCAGCGCGGCGGGCTCACCCGTTGTTACAGGCGCTTGGCCACCAATTATTAGGAAGGAGATGTCCCTGAACAGAGTGATGAGCTGGATGCGCTAGAATCAATGGGAGTGTACATAATGCATCTGTGCATCTACGCATCTATCTCCCTGTTTTTTTTTGTTTGTTTTTTTGTCTGTCTGTCTGCCTTTCTGTCTGTCTGTCTGTCTGTCTGTCTGTCTGTCTGTCTGTCACAGTATGCACATTAAATGTGTGGCGGGGCTGGGTGGGGTGTGTCGCCTGTGGTTTGAGCCTTGCGAAGGAGATGTTTCCCAGTGTGACCTCATACCTAGACCGGCTGGGCCCCCAGAGGCGCTGTTTCAGTGGGACTCAAATGAGGCAAAGAGGGCTCCCTATATTTCCCTGTTCATTCGAAACACCGTGTCCCTGAAACCACCATTGCTCTCAAAATGCTTTTGGGGATGATGTCCCTTTGAGCCATGGCAAAATCTTTTGAGGATGTCACTTCACTGAATGCCAGGGTTTTTCCTTTTTCGGGCACCTGGGACCCGTCGGTTTTCGCCAGTGTAACACTCAGTTTGGGGTCCAACTTCAGGCCTTTAAGCCTTTTTTTTCTCAAAACCGAGGAACCCCCCTCCCCCCCAACAATTTGTGTTTTTGTTTGCTTTTTTTTTTGACTTTTTGTGTCCTTCAAAAACATGCAAATACGGGGTCTACTATTGGGAGAAACCCCCAACTCAAGAATCGGTCAACAGGCAACCCCTGTTGAACCCCCACCAGCTTGTTGCTGTGACCCTCCGTTTTCGAGCAGGGGGTTGTCCCCTTTTTTCCTCGCGCGGACACTAGTTGCTCGTGAAGAAGAGAGTTGCCTGAGCTCATCGATGAAAAGCGAGCTAAAATGCCCCTCTTGGGTCCTTGACACAAGCTTAGAAATGTCTGTGCCTACAGTGCAAGTTGCGCAGTTCCTGCTTTTCAGGCGCTCAATGGTGAACTTGGCCTTCATCATGTTCCAAGTCATTTGCCCGATTTGAAATAGACCTGTGGTGTCATCGGTGAAGCAACGACTCCCTTGTTGCAAGCCCAAAGGTACGGCTTAGTGAAGCAGATGCCACAAAATATTCCAACCCATGGCCAAACATCATCCCCTTTACTCACGCCACATGGGAATTGTAAGCCATCCACAACCCGGTAAGCTGGGGGCCCCCGGATGTGTTTCGAGAAGATTCCAAGCTTTATTTGAGCGACCAAGAACGGAAATGCAACTGGCTGAGTAAGTCCTTCGGAGGCTTCACGCGCCAAAGAATTTGCTGATTGGCATTCTGGGTCTACCCGCAGGCTTTATACAGCGCCAACAGCAACCGCTGGTTAGCATCCTGAGTAGGCTACCTCCTTGCGCCCTTTTAGCCAATAGAATCGTGTTGCTAGAACCAAACGTCGATGTCTAAAAGCTTTCTGGGAACAAGCTTCACCTTTTCGGCCAAGATCAAGAGTTGTTCTCTTCTTCTGGCGAAAAGAGGTTCGGTGTGTGAAGCGGGCATGTGTATCTTTGAGGGTACCTCTTTTGTGTTTGATTGCTTTTGCGTTTGATTTAGACCTCTTTTTTGTTTTTTGCATGTGTGTTGGAGGGTACCTTGTTTTTTTAGTGTTTGGTTGAAAGGTAAGCCGAAGGGAGCACTATGGATTTTGGTCCTATGTTGACACAGACCCAAATTTGCCATGGTAGCCAGTCCCTGGGTGAAGGTGGCCACATCTCCCAGCCAATCCTCAGGGCCTGTGAGAACCTTCGGATGGGATCAGAGGACCTCTGGGTGTCACGTACCTCGTCCCTCACTGGCCCATCTGCCGGGCTAAAAAGCGACGATGAACAGTGCTGCAGCCACCTTGAGCTGCCGAAAGTTCGCAAGAGCCACGCGAAGATGCTGGATGCATTAAAGACGGAAGGGCGTTGACAGCCCTTTCTCAACACCTCCCTCCCCTAACCCCTGTTTCCAGCAAACCACATACGACCTCTGGGAGGAAATCAGAGGGAGGGCGCCAGACAGATTGAAGGGACAGCCTGGAGGCGATAGCCCCCTATTAATAGGACGGATTCTACTTAGATCCGGGGTCAACACTACTCATTTAGAATACACATTGACCACTGAGATGTTTGTCACTGGCATGTGAGCTACCACTAAAAGGGTCGGTACAAGGGACATGTATTGGAGTGGAATAGGGTCCAAAACCCGCAAAAACGAAGGCGAGTCTTTGTAACGAAGGCTTTTTTATTGTGAGTAGTCCGCTTAACCAATAAATTGTTTGCATTCCTAGCATTTTAGGCTCTGAGTGTTTTGTTTGTAGATCAGCATCGGCAATGGCGGCCTTTACGATTTGGGAGGAAATCAGGTACAACACAGGCTCATTCGCTCCGACCAAAGCTCTTGTAATGGAATTTTGCACAACAAGGCAGCCGTCTTGTGAATCTACCCGGTCTGTGGAGCAGCTGTATAGCATAGTAGCCAGATTGCGCTTCATCTTCGCTGCCGTTGTGGCTTTACCTCGGATAGAGCACTCTGAGTTGATGGTCCAACAAAGCTACCGTCTTGCGAATCTACCTTGTCTGTGGAGCAGTTGTGTAGCATGATGGACAGGTTGCGTAATCTCCGCTGCCGTTGTGGATTTAATTCGGATAGAGCTCTTGAGTTGATAGTCCAGCGAGGCTACCGTCTTGTGAATCTACCCTGGGGCAGTTGTGTAGCATGGTGGCCAGGTTGCGCTTAATCTCCGCTGCCGCTGTGGCTTTAACTCGGATAGAGCGCAAGAGCCTTGGAAATTATGTGGATGTTGCTTGGCAGAAAGCTGGGCGCGAGCTGGTACGAAAAACGAAGGCTGAACGAAGGCAAAAACGAAGGCTAATTTCACGAAAATTCCGTTTCGTGGTCATTGGCTCAGATGAGGCACCATTGCAACTCGATTGCGAGAACGCCATTACCAGGAAGCACCAAAGCCAAAAGCACCGTCCCAGCGGGCGAAGGGACATGCAAAAACGGCCTTTGCACACTGTAGCAAGTTTGTGCCAGCGGGACGAGAAGCACTTAGCGAGCCATTTGGCCAAGAAGAAATCAAAGTATGCGGCTTGCAAAGAACAAGACGCTGCTAGTGACACGAGCTTGTGAAAAGGAGCCCGCTCAAAAAGATGGGTGGGGAAGTTTGCCATCTCTTTTGAGCTAACTCAGCGCTATAAGAAGACATCATTTAAAACCCGCTCGTAGGGCATGTCTGCTATAGAAAGATTTCTAGCGAGGAGAGCCCAGGGTGCCTTTCCCAATGGCACGGCCACTTTCGGAGACAGACTTTTCGAACGTGTGAGAAGAGCGATTGCGTTCTAGCGGGGAGAGCCCAGGGTGCCTTTCCCAGTGGCACGGCCACTTTCAGAGACCGACTTTTCGAACGTGTGAGAAGAGCGGTTGCATTCTAGCGGGGAGAGCCCAGGGTGCCTTTCCCAATGGCACGGCCACTTTCAGAGACCGACTTTTTGAACGTATGAGAAGGGCTGTTGCATATCACATGTACGAATGACGAAACGGCCTCAAAAACGAAGGCGAGTCTTTGTAACGAAGGCTTGAGAGATATTCCAGTTTCGCGCATTAGAGTTTTGGCGGTAGCTCATGTATTGTTTATCTTGCTCCAGTATCTTCAAGTCTTCCTTCTTGTTTGTAGTATTTTCCTCTGGGGGGCGTCAGGCAACCGTAGTTGGTGATTTGGACTGGCGGCTTGGGGATTTGTAGGGGGTAGATGGGCACTCCTTAACCACCAAACCACCAACCCAAGCCCCCACAGAGGGAAGCAGAGTAGAAGGTAAATGGGGTTCCCAGCCAACCTCCACACCGCCAAATCCACCAAGTCGGCAAGCCAAGCCTGGCTCGTTGGAAGCTGAGGCCTCCGCTTCGGCCGGAAACGGAAGGCTCCCCCGCGGATGCCGAGGCGGATGGTTGGTGAGTCCTTTTCCGTTTTGCGGAGGGGGGGCTCTTTACAACAATCAGAAGTCTGGTGAACGAGGCACATGGGGCCAAACGGTCACCTGTTTGAACAGCCCTTGCCGCTATCGATCCCCGAAGAAACAAAAGGGCATAATATACCCTCCTGTCCACTAACGTGGAACCTGACTGAGGGGTCTTGGAAGACCATTTTGCTTTAAAAGAAACCATGTGGTGGATTGCATAACTGGGAAAGTGGCCTGAGGTCGGCCACAAGGGCGGTCTTCAGGTGCCTTTTGCAGTTTCCCTTTTTGCAGTTTCCCCTTCAAGGTCTAAGTCTAAGAATCACCTTATATCTTGGTGGTTGCTAGCCATCCGGTGCCTTAGTTGTTTGGCTTTTTAATTCCTGGACTCCCAAACGAGCACAAATTTCCGCTCGAAGGAAAAAGTGCCCGTTTCTCCCAAAAGCGCTCGTTTAGGCAAAATGCGCTCGAGGCCAAATAAGTGCTCGAGTGAGCGCCCTTGCTTGCGCATCATTGCATGTTGGAGGCGCCAAACCTCACACAACCCCATCAAGCGTGCCTCAATATGTCACATTTGTGCACAGTGGACAGCGCATCTTCATTTTCGAGCACCTGGATATCTTTGCGCGCTTTTGTTCGCGGGACAACGGACCCGCTGACACATTTTAGAATTGCGCTCGGTTGCGGGAAATTGCGCTCGAGTTGCGGGAAATTGCGCTCAAGGTTGCGGGTTGCAAGCTCCCCCCAAAATGCCAAAACGCGTCAAGTATGTGCAGGTTTGTTAGGCTTCCAGCAAACACGCATTTGTTGCCCGAACAGCACAGCTCGAGCAATTTCCTGCCCCACCCCCTGCTACGCGGAGGGTGTGGGCCCTGGCAGCACAACTCACACGCTCCACAGCATCTAAATCCCATGGAAGTTGATTTCTGCTCGAATTTCGTCTTTTTCCTAAAAAGTGCTCGAATAAGGAAAAAGTGCTCGTATAAGCAGAAACTGCTCGAAAGAAGGGTTTGCCACACATTTGTGCTCGTTTGGGGGTCCAGGTTGGTTTAGTTGGGGATTTCCGTTTAACCCACCAAAAGTGATTTTTTTTAGCAGGGAATCTGAGGGCAGCTCAGGTAGTGAAGGGCACCCTTTTGCTAAAAGGGTACCCTTGCCGACCACAATATTTTTCAAAACTCAAAAAAAAGGTATGGGCCCTAAGGCTTGAGTCCTTAGTTTCATAGGGCCACCCATTTTGGAGTCACCCTGGTCCAAATCGAGCGCCCATGCTGTGGATGGTTTCGAAATCCCTTGGTTGAAACCGTAGCGTTTGTTGGTATTTACAGATATTGCCGTTGGGTTCCCAAAAAGGCCCAACTCAATCCCAGAGATAAACACTTATTTCAACATCCATCCTTCAGTTTCCCTCTGAACAGCGCCCCCCCTCCCGCCCCCCCTCAGCCTGACACCCCCCTTTGGGCCCCGAACCCCACTTGGGCCGACACAACCTGCACGGGCTTGCGCGCGCAAGCGCGCGCGCTTGCGCGAAGCGAGCCTGTAGCTCGGGCTGCGAGCTGCGCTAGGCCAAGTCAAAGCAGCTGCAGGGCCTCGCCTGGACCTCGGGAAGACCAGCGGAGTCAGCCGAGTCAACGCCTTTTGGGTAAAAAATGTTGTTTGTAGAATAAGATGGTAGCACAGGTGTCCCTTTTTTGGATAAAATAACTTTGGCAAAATAATGTGGTGAAATCATGTTGTCCTTTTGGTTTTTCAGCTTCCCTCCGATGAAGGTGGTTTGGAGCCGAACCGGTGGTTTGGTGGCCAAGGACAGTTTCCCATTTACCCTCTACGAGAACCAGGGACCCGTTCAATTCCGAATCCAAACCGCCGTCTAGGGGATATTTGGTAGAATAGATGTGTTTCCCGGACAAAGGTTCATAACAGCCATCTAAACCAGCAGAACCCATCTATTTGCAACAAAACTATCCGATCAAAAGGACACTTGTGGTCAACCTCTTTTGGGTTTCCTTTGAAGATGGCTGAGCCCTGCAACCGGCAGAACAAGTCGATGCTCTGGAGTGCAATCGCATGTTCCCTCAATTGGATGTTCACCCCTTTTAAGGGGCAGACAGATGATAAGAAGCGACCGGCGTGGCTGTTCCAAGCGCACATTTCTTTCACTTTGAGCAAGGTGCTTCCACTCTGTGCCGATGAAAGCCTCCCTTGAACAAACTAGTGAGGATTTCCTTTGGCTAGCCTGGCCTGAATCCACCGCGGAGTGTGCGTGGTTCGGCTTGCCTCGCTGGAGTCCCCTGGGCCCCTGAATCTCTTAGAGATGATCTCTGAGCAGATCCTTGGAAGCACTTGTCTGCGCAACACGAAACCAAAACAGCCCATCTTTCTTGGAGTGTCCTCTTGGGAAACCTCTTTCTGCCCCTCTCGGTTACTTCCAATTTCTGAATATGTTTTATCGTCTCCTGGTTTTAAAGGAATCTATCACTACTGGAAGTATTATTTTTTGTCAGGGGACTTGCCCTCCCGTCCAGCATGGAACCCACCAGAAACCAATTTTTCTTTGTGAATATGGTCCAAACCACCAGGACCCGAAAGGTGGTCAGGTTCCATGTCAGATTTTCCTCCTTGCATCTGGATGGACCCGTACCCCCTGGACGCATGCCTTTTCAAGTCTTCGTGGATCGTCGCAAATACGGAGGGTCGCTTCCCCCTGGACTTAAAGTTGGACCCGATTTCACTGGAAACATCTCTTCTCATTGTTCTCCCCGGCGCAAACCGCAAAACGTCCGCGGGCGGGGCCGCGTCGGGACCCACTTCTCGGACGGATTCGCCTAGAGGCAGACGCCTGGGAGAAGGAAGCCAAAGACATGGCCCGAAAGCGCGCGGGGAAAGACGGGGAAAGCATCGGTTGGAGCCCGTAGAAAACCTTCGGGTGTTGGGGTTCCCAAGATAAGTTTTATACCCCTCAAGATGTTTCAAGGGTGGTTTGATGGTCCAGTGTTGTTTCTTTTCTTTTCTTCTTAAGTACTTTGACGCCAGACCATTGTCTCGTGGTTTGAGGGGGGTGGAGGAGGGCTGGTCACAAAATGTGTTTGAACAATACGACGCTGGGCCCTTAACCCACAGAAGGTTTGGTCCGAAGTGCAGAGATACACTTCCAGCTTGAGTGTGCTGGCGCTTGCAGAGACTCGCGCACCATCAAGAGGGCTCCTCAACACATGTTGAAAACGATCGCGGCTGAACCCCGGCCCATCCCCAAACAAAAATATGCGTGAAGCCAGATGGCTTTGGGTTGATACACCTTCACCATCTTTGGCCTCTCAACTTGGTTTAGAACGACTCGTTTGCAACACCGGACGGTCTTTCAGCACCAAGATGGGAGCCCAACCCCAGAAACGGCATGGGAGCCCTTTCTCAGGGCCCAACGCATAAGGCTCGGTTGGGGGAGCCTTTTCGGGGGGCTTGAGGTTTTTCCGTGGGTAGTTTGACCCGACCTCCACATCCAACCAGGGTGCCCACCCGTCACGGGATGTGCTTGGTTCAGGGTTTACAATAGAGCCTCTTATTAACATGGGCGCATGGAATGTTTTAGTTGACCCAACTTTTGTTTTTTCAAGCAAACAGGGAGTATTGCAAACACTTGTTCAACCATGACTACATTGTTTCAAGCAGCAGAACAGAGTCTGCAATCCAAACCACGACGATCATTTGAACCAACACACTCACTCCCCGAGTTGCTCACCTGTAAACACATTTTGGAAGACCATTTCAGAGGCCAACCAGCAGTTTCGACTTTTTTTTGGCACATCCACTCGTTCGCATGTGAGACTTTCATTTTATCCCAAAATGCAAACCCATTGTCGAAAGTTGCGCCAGGAATATTGAGCTGCAGAAGAAGAATAAGGCCTCGATTTTGGGCGAGCGGTCCACGAGACAGAACCATGTCATAAGGCAAGATCGGGGGCCAAATGGCTTTGTGTCAAAAAGCATGGTCGCCCCAATATTGGTGTTTTCTAGTTTTTGATTCCAGCAACGGAGGCCAAAAGGGGATGTTGTCCCGGTAAATGCAAATGAAAGACGACAAGCACCTAGAGGGAGGCCTGAATATGAGAAACGCTGTGCAAACTAGATATTCATATCATTATTGCTATTGGGTTGGATCTTTAGACTTTTTTGGGGGGAAATTGAGGGTTTTCCATTGAACCCACAGAGAGTTGTTTTTAGCAGAGGAGTCAATCGCAACCAAGATGTTTGCTTGCCATGTTACACCAAGGTGGAAGCAGGTGGGGAAACTACCTCGTAGGTAAGGGGGTGACATGCACCAATTTTAGGGAACTGAGTTTGTCATCATTCACCCTTCAAAACGAATGCCAGATTTCAGGCAACTCTTCATTGGTGGTTTGGATTGGTGGTTTGAGGATTTGAACCTCCCCGGAAGACTCGCAGTCCAAAGAAGGCCCATTCAGAAGGAGTCCTACAACGGGTGGCTCGTCCTTTTGTTGGACCCCAAAAAATTGCTCAAAAAAGGGTACTTTCGGGCGAGAAAAAGAACCACATCAATCCGTTTTCGTATGGCGTTGCTCTTTAGATGCTCATCGGACCTGGGATACTCTCGAGCTTGCGATTTGAGTCCAAAACTGCTGCCCAAATGATACGACATGTGGCCATGCAATACCTTGTCGTTTCTACCCAGACCAAAAGGAAACCGCCAACATGGTGGGTACTGTTGAGGTGGATCGCATGTTTGTTGTTTAACATAATGATGTTTATCTCCTTGTTTTATTGTGTTGTTGTTTTATTCAGTTATTTATTCATTTGTTTTGTTTAACAACCATGTCTTATGTATTGGTTAAGCAAGAACAACAGACATCACCTGGCAGAGGCCAGCATAGATACAAGGGCCAGAGTTTTTTTTTGGTGACCTCAACTGAGCAATGACCATCTCCCCAAGCTGGTCCAAGCTGTTTGGAGGGTGAGTCCTATGGCTGTGGTTGTCAAAACCAATGGGATCTGATTTTGGGGTAGGTGCACCAACCCCATTTTATTTTAGTGGGGATTGGGATGTTCACTGGGGGTACGGGATCTTGACCCATGGCAATATGAGTTCCTGGACTGTTTGTATTTGTTTGGGTGTGGACCATATAGAGACCAACACAAAGTTTGGGCAAACTCAGGAAGTGGGATTAGCAGAATTGGTCATGGACCCACAAGACGGAATCTAGACAACCGCACTGGAAGTATAACGAAAGCCTGGGTCGGGAGTGTGGAAGTCACATATGTAACAAGGTGATTCGGTCTTTGGTGTAGCCGGATTGCTCCGTAGGCCTTTTGGAAACAATGTTTTCCTTAAACCTGCAAGAGGTGATCTACCTTTTGCTCAGCTCTAGTTTGACTCTGTTGCTCAGCGGTACCCTGTACCTTTTTTTTTTCTGGTAAGGGTTCCCTTTTTTACTCACCCAACGAAAGAAGGGTGCCCTTTTTTCTCATGGGAATCCACTAGGCATTTGAGTTGAGATATCCAAAGTCTTAGGCGTCGATTTTTAACCGCTCACCCGGACCCTTCGAATGGTAGGGTCTGACCCCTCTGAACGGCACATCCATCCCACCCTCACATAGACCATGTTTGGCCAACAGGGGCAGTGCTCCGGAGCCTTGACGAATTCTTTGGGCATTTTTCGACGCACCAACAAGTTCCAGGAATTGTTTGGCATAAATCCACTCCTTCAGAAGTGAGCAGTCGGGAGCCGCAATCTGGCAGCAATCTGTTGGGAGCAACTTCGAGGATTTCCTTGGATTCAATGCACCGACTTCAGGGTCACCAGTTTCGGGCGTTTTCGCTCGCTTGCGCGAGCAATTCGAGCGCCAGGAGATGGCAAGGATACAGAAGCAGAGAGACATCGCCTTGAAGGACAGCCGACCTTGCAAAAACTGCTTTGGCCGCCTTAGTTCAAACAAAGGTAACGACCCTGGCTACAACACCCCATACCGCCGTGTTTGACTGTTCCTTGTTGTCTTTATTGTTTGTTAAAAAATAGCCAACCGAGCAAAAGGTGTGTTATGTTCCCTTTGGCCACCGGTGGTCTGAGTGTTTCAAGGCAAAGCAAGCAACCAACTCACCCCAGCCCAAAACAAAACCACCCCCAACTGGAGCCCTGCCCGGCTCCGACGGACCGATCCTTGACGGAGGAGGTGAAGAAGGCGAACGAGCAGCGGGAGGTCGTCGAGAAAGAGCTGGCCTGACGCCCTGATTTTGGCGAAAAAAGTCAGAGGTTGGGCCAGATCTCCTCCCATCGTTTTGATATAGGATCTTTGGACTTTACATTTTTGTTGCTTGAAACTTTGTCGATTTTCAGCATGGGACCCACAAGTTACCCTCCCAGCGTTTTTAAACCTGACGTTCGGGACCCAATGCCTTTAAAAGGAACATGGTCCAAGCCAGGACGAACCCGAACGGCAGGTTCCATGTGAAAAGGGTGGGAGGGTATTTCCCAAAGGCATCCCAGGCGTTTCGCCGACTTATTACATTTAGGTACCCTTCCTCCAAACCGAAGGCACCTGTCGGAGGGTACCGGGAAGATCAGGTTTCCTCTTGGAGGGACCCCCTGTGAGGTGCCATGTTAGTGGGAGAGAGGGCAGCCAGTCATTTTCCCTTGGGTGTTTAAAGGCTGGCAAGCTCTTGATTGCCTAAACCGTGGAAATGGAATTGCTGGGTTTGCTTGAAAAAATGTTATTTTCCTGGTTGGCTTTAAAGGGAATCTATCACTACTGGAAATATAGGTTTACTTGTTCCTTGGGCTGAAGCAAATGGAGGTTGAGTGTTTCGGGTCCCTGTTCTGTTCGTCATTTTCGGGGGTCGGGCCAATTTTGGTGGGCCATTTCGCCGTCATTTTCGGCCCCCTGCCATTGAGTCTCAAGCTGTGTTTTGTCATCATAGGCGGTCAAGCGTGACCATGTCACCGGATTTGAAGCTGTAAGACTGGACCACATCGCTGGTTTGGCATCGCATGAAACCAAAGCGCTCATGAGTTCAGTTGGGTCACTGATCTTGAAGATGGTTTGATCACAAAAAGGGCTAGTGGGTTAAACATGTCTAGTCTCCAAAGGCTCACACAACTGTCTCAAAATGTGACCGGCACTGAGAAGCATTCACAGTAACATCCGAAAGAAAGAAGGATTGATACAAATGGACAAATATCAACACAACAGTCATGAAACGTCTTCCTGGTGTTCTCTTAATGAACAGGAATGACATGAGAAAGTTGTCAAACAAACATCGGTCATTTATGTGTCCAATCAAAAAAAGAAACAAAACTGCACATGTTCATGTTTGCCTATCTGGTTCAATCTCAGTGAGGAGGATAAGAAAGTGAATATTGACAATAAAAACAGCTGGGATGAAAACCTTGAGACAGATGTTCATAGTATTGCGATTAAGTGGGAAAGAGATGCCACACCCTTTGATATTGGTGAAAGCGAAGCGCGGGGAACTATAAGGGAAAGTATTATTTTAAGACATGAAGTTCAAATGTTTAAACATTGTTTGAGTAACAAAGACATATAACATATGTCATTGACGGTGTAGATAATGAAATCATGGCAACACAAAGACAAACACGTATTGGACATACTAGAAGGGTTGAACAAGAGAGCAACATACAACAGCCTAACACGAATCAGATCAATGACACAGGCAAGTATAAGAACAAGCAACATATCTACTTGAACAATATTGATAATCACGAAATCAAAGGGCTCAAGCCATCAACATGTGCCGAATAGGGAGACCCCAAAATCGCGGTTTCCTTTTACACCCACGAAAATTGGTAGCTATCCTTCACCAGTCTTCGAGGTGCGTTGCAAGCAGATCATCCTCGAGCTGAAGCAGGCCGGGCCGCTCACGGGGACCTTTGGGAATCACGGGTGAATCAACCTGTTAATCTCAGTTTTTGAACTTCATTCGTTTTGGGTTGGGACTATTTCAGCGGCAAGCAACAGTTTTTTGTTTTTCTTTATTTGGATTTTATTATTCTACTCAGGAAGTAATCTCGCTTCTTGAGTTCATGGTCAACAACAAGTTCATGTTTTGTTTAGTCAGGAAGTGGATAGGGGCGATGTTCCCCTCCAGTCATTACACACCTTATGAAGAAGCTGGCGTGTCTTTTGCGTGACCGCCTTTTGGGTTTATGAACAATCTGTCCATGAAACCTACAGAACGGGATCCACCTTTTGCTCAGAGGCCTATCAACCCTGAGAATGCTTTTCGAGGGGGGTTCAATACTTGGTACCGTTTTGAGGGGTGGTTCAAAGGGAAATTGAAAGGACACAGCTCCTCAACATCTGAGACCACAATTACCAAACACTTCCATTTGCTTAATATGTGTTTTAAGTTATATTTTCCCTTGTTGGTTTTAAAAGGAACTCATTTCACTGGACATATCTTCTCCATTTTTGCTTTGGGGGCGCCATAGGACATTGGGGCAGATTCACTTTGAAGCATGGCCGAGATAATCCGATGTCATTCGGGGACACCAAACATATTGACCCTGGACTTGGCCAAAGGCTATCTAAACCTGTTTATGCTTGGTCTCGAAATGATGGTTCGGTCTATGGCGCGTCGAATAAGGACTTGGTTCTCAATATTGTCAATCACCTTTTGGTTTCCCGTTAAACCAGCCTGAAAAGGGGTACCGAGCCTTAAAAACACCCCCATAGAAACCTTGAGATCCATGTTGGTAGACTTCTCAAACTCGGCGTTTTTAGGTGAGTTCCCCTTTTGGTTTTCCTTTTTAAACACCAAACACTCATCCAACTTCGAGAAAATCCAATGGTTCGAGTCTCTTTTGGTCTGCGGCTCGCCTGTTCTGCTTGTTCATCGATCTGAGGCTTCGGAGGGCACGGCGCAGGAGGGCACGCCGCGAGAGAAAGCGTCGGCCACAGCTCCAAGCAGTCGCCCAGTGGCAACCAGTGGATTTGTTCGCCTCTTTTTTTCCGATTTTTTGTTGGGTCTTTTCCGATTTTTCCGTTTTTTTTTGGTTTTGGGTTCAAGACCAATGCGTCAAGTGAGTCTAGACTTGGTCCGGCCGTCCGGTCCAACTTGGCCTTTTTGTTGTTGAGCTTTTTGATTAGTGGGTAACCATGCAGCTTTTCTTTTCTTTTGCTTTAGTGGGGGCTTCCTTTGAGTGAGGAAACGGTTTGGACTTTTGGCCAATCTGTGGGTCCACCCCTGTAGAATGGCAAAAAGAGCAAAGAGAGGTTAAAGAGGAAGAACTGGTAAAAGCAATATGGGGAAACCACAGAAAGCGCGTCGAATCCTTTCTGGAAGCGAGTCTAGAGTCAAATGGCTTGTCGGTCTTTCCTTTGGCTTTTTCCCTTGGTTAGCCTTTGAAAAGACGGGGCAACTCAAAGACGAGGAAAGCATTCGAGTTATGCGAGGGGAGTAAATACGGAATTGACATGAGTTAGCATCAAAATTACCGTCATTTACTTTATGTAGGAGTGTTTCATGCACGTGTTGTTGTTGTGTGTTTCTCGAAAAACGATACGGGACGTCCAAAAAAGCAAAACCCCAAAAGCTGAGAACACAGCATGAAAAACGATACGGGACGTCCTAACGTCGGAATGAATTCACCCCAAGCAAGTAATTTTGACGCTGGCTCACATCCACTGTGCGCAGCGAAATCAAAATAGACCGTTTTTATGCCAGGTTCTGACTATGATTCACTTGTTGTGCCAAGCTTCATGGGAACTTGGAGCCCACTCCAACCACTATGGCTTTCAACAACTACCTCAGTCACGTCCTCAAAACCCGGGTCATTGGCGGGTAGGGACAATCCCCTTGCCAGAAAGTTGGGTGCGGATCTCCGCCTTTTCAATTCTTGAAGCATGGTTCTGGGGATCGACGGATCGAACATTGATAGGTTTTGAGTAGGACTCAACTGAGTCTAGAGGTCTGGAAATCTTTTTGGCCAGACTTCAAGCTGATCTTTCAATCGTTCCCGACTTGGTGCTTCTTCACCGCTTTTTTCAGGGCGTCGGATCGATGCGTTTGGCCCAGATTGTGGAGGTATCGATACTGCAGTTTGTATTCAGTGATATCATCGTGGCTTCATGCTTCTGTATTGAACAGTAGTGTGGTTGAATGATTTGAGCACTGGATGACAATTCAGCTGCCCAACGTGTATGGCTTTTGCTATGGTTTTTGCTGTCCTGCTGTTATGATCCACAGTGGGCATTGGGGCAAAGGAGTTTTTTTTTTCAATCTACAGCATTTGGAGGAACATACGTTTTTTGCTCATTCGGCTCACTTCGGAAGTGCTGGACTTTCTTCGCAAGTGAGGTGGTGGCACCAGACAGTACCTATTAGCCCAATGCATCTCGGCACGTCAAGAAAGCCTACGCGCTCGGACTGGTTGGCACGAAGGTTGTTTAGTTATTTCCCCTTGCTGGTTTTAAAGGGAATCGATTTCACTATGGGACATGTTTTTTCATTTTTCCAGGGGACGTATTCGCAAATGGAAGAATGGACCAAGACGGCCGTCCAATCTGAAACATGCCCGCTCCCTCTTTGGGACAAGAGGAACTGGGCATGCTTTTCCTGGGCTGGTTGGCATGTCATTGCTAGTGTTTCTTGTTTGAACACTGCCCATAAGTCTTGTTTGTTAAAAAACAAACTCATTCCCTCGTTTTTGAATCGGCAATGAGTTTCTGGAAGCCAGGAGGGCGACTCAGGTGCGCAGGGCTCCCAAGGGTTTCGGTTTCGCAGGAGGATGCGGATGTGTTGTTTAGGGGATCCCCAAAGGTTGTTGTCCTTTTGGCTTTTCCTTGACAACAACCGCAAAAAGGGTACCGCCAAAACCGGCACGCCTTTTGTGGATCCGAAAAGGCGCTTCGCGGTTCTTGGCATGCCTTCTTCTTGTTTTGGGTGTGTTTGGTCCGGTTCATTCTTAGTGGCCAAAGCACGTGACATTTTCATAACATAGAGTTGGAGAGCGCCATCAGAGGAACCTCTTCGGGGACCCTTGTTTTTGGTGTTTGCCCAGGGACAAAGGCTGAATACTGACAGTTATTAATATGATTTAGCAAACTATATACATATATATCCATCCGCACAAACACATTACTAACCCTTCTACTATAATATATTCATGTATGCCAAAGCTGTTCGGGGCCCCCGGCAGTGGCACGTGTTGGGGACCTTAGATTTGTTCTGAAACTATTATTATTGATGCTTCGCCAAAGAAACACAGACTTATTACAATTTTTCGCTATCTACTTGCTGCAATTTGCCGTTTTGGGGACAAACAACAGAGTTGTGCTAAAGCCATGGTCATGCGGCGGATGAGTCGAAACGGGACGGTATCCCTTTAAGTGGACACCAAACAGAGGTTGCGTACAGCATAGTAATTCATGTTGGTAGTCTATGCTTGGTTGAGCCTGGATTCAGCTGAGGACACTGTGGTGCTCAGGGAAGGCGTTTTTTGCAGTTTCAGCATGTCTGCCACGGCATCAAGACCCAATATCTTAGCAATTCCCAAAGCGTAGTTACAATAGATGTTTAAACAAATGATATAATTTCACTAAGACAATGTTGTCTACCTATAATCTACGAGAATCCGGGCCACATAGAGCAGGCAAATTTCGGTCGATCCGGGGAGCTCCGGCTGCTGAAGGTATTGAAACGGATGATGGATTCAAAGCCAACAAGAGAGAGACTCCTTTACTTTCAGGGGAAACACCCAAAAGCAATGTTCACACAATTGCATTCATCCGGGGTTAACTTTGCAACGCCTACTTCTGCCCAAACGGACATTTCCTTGGTCAACATAGAACGACTCCATCGGCCAAGACTGTACAAACCAAACAAAAATCCATTCCAAAGCAAAGAGCTAAGCACAAACTCCCCATGTTTCGGGTGGGGAGAACATACAAAAACAGCAACTTACTTGCTGGTTCGATTGCCAGTGAATGAGTAGACATGGCTCATGACCCTGCGAAAAACCATCCCCGATTTGGTTTCTTATAAGGGACTCCCCAAAACCGGTACATTCAATCTGAACCCGGTCTCGGTCATTCCTGACCTATCGCACCAGCAAGTTGATTGAGCCTGGTATATTTTTTTCAGGGTCAACCTTGCTGAGTCAGTGTGTTTCCCGGTGGGCCAAGGTTGGACCCTTTGTTCTTCCCTGTTTCCAGCTTAAAGTATGGTTTCATAACTTCTACCCCTGAATTGGTGATGTGGCTTGGGGCTTGAGGATTTGAAGCAAGTGTCTTTCGAGACCAAACGGAGCAAGTACCAACGCCCGCTAGCCGAATTTGGGTTCAGTCCCCATCAAAGTAATGGATGACCCCATTTGGATGATGACAATCCTGAACGGTAAACAAAGGCGGTTGTATGAACCCAACCATTGGCTTTAATGGTGGCCTGCCTGAACCCCAAAACACGGGTTTGTCTCAAAATTGGGGGGATGGTTGCGTTCTTGTTCCGTTTCCCCTTGCACAAACCCCAAATAGGCTACCCTCAAAACATGACACCACCAAACCGCGAAGTTAGGACGGTGATGAACTGAGGCCCAGCTCCTTACCGTCCAGGAGGGCGTCTACCGCGCGGTTCCCGGCAATGAAACTAGGAACCCGATTTCGTCTGCGTGAGAGGAAATCGGAAGTCCCGGCCATAACGAGGGTGTGTGTGTGTGTGTGTTGTTAGGGCAGCCACAATCGCACAAAATTGTGGTTTTCATGTTGGTTTTGCTTTAATCCCACAAAAAAAGGTGTATACCCTCAAAAAGACACCCAATTAGGTGGGTGTGTTTGTATCCAGCAGGCTATGGTCCATTTCGGAGGGAAGGCGAAACACTCTAAATGTCCAACAAAATCAGGCGCCGGGCCGCAATTGTCCAAATTGTCTTTTGGACCCTAAACCCTAAACATCCCTAAACCCAAGTAGTGAAGGTTTGTAGAGGACATTCCCAGCTCGTTATAGGTGCGGTCTCCCTTCTGGTTCTTTGCATAGTAGAAGAGTGGGTCCTTGTAGATGTTCGTTTTCTTCCATATAAGGGAACCCAGAATCAGGCAACGCTTAGTTGGTGGTTTTTGTAGAGAGTACGTAGGAAGCTATCCCTGACCTGCAAACCACCAATCCAAACCACCCGTTAGAGGGAAGCTGACCAAAAAGGGGTGGGCTGCATGTTATTTTTCATATGAGAGAAACGAAAAGAGTCGGTTTCCCTCCAATTCGTGGGGTTTCCAATCTACCCTCTACAAAAGGCGGGAGTTCAAATCCGATCCAAACCACCACTCCAAGCCACAAATTAAGGGTTATTGGAAAGAGGATGTTTCTGTTGTTTTTTGCTAAATAATTGACCCACCTAAAATGGGGAGCCCCGCCCAAAAAGGGGACCGAGCCTGTAAAACTAGATAAAGACCTGTATAGCCATGTTGGTAGAAGCACCAGGGTGCTTCTTAGAATCCCGGGTCCCAAAGAAGGCTTGGTTTCCTTTTGGTTCCCCTCACCAAACCAAGGGGGATGAGCCACCTCTTTGTGTCAGTGTCTTGTGAGGGTCCCCTTCTCTTGGTCCCAGCCATCCGGTTCCTTAGGTGTTTAGGTGAGTTGGTTCAGAGAAGTGAATCACTTTCCGCAGAGCTGAAAACGGGCTGGAAGAGTTCCCTTTGATCTCCATGCCCAAGTACCGAAGTCAACAGCTTTTCAGGGGGAATCTGAGAATTGCCCAGTTGTCTGGTTGAATTTCAGAAGGGAATAGAAGGAACAACCACAAGCTTCCTTTTGGTTCCCCTTGCCAACCGGGATGTGACACCCCTCTTCCGTTTGCTTAAGACTGTTCTTTATGTTCGTCTGTCGGTTTTGACGGCACCAAGCAATCGATTTCACTACTGGACCTATTTCTTTCCAGGGGGCTCTACTGCAAATGGAGGCTCTTGTTTGTCCTGTCTGACCAAACTCTCCAGACCTCTCGCCCCCTCGCACACAAGAAGAAGAAAACAACATTTCCGAGGTGCGGCAAGACCTGAAGGAGCAGCTGGACATGGTCCGGGAGATCGGCAGCAAGGAGCGGATTGGGTCCGTCCGTTTCGAGAAACGGGGAGATGCAAAGGAAGCCTTGGGCCTAAGGAAGCACAAGGCGGGGGGTGTTTCATTGTGGGGAGTTGTGTGTTGTTTTGTGTTGTCTGGTTTTGTGTTGGCTTGCTTTGTTTTGGTGTTTTGGTCGGCTTCCTTTTTTTGAAGTTTGGTTTCGATTGTTCCACCGCTTCTGTACGGGCTCATCTAAATCGTATGGTTGTGGCGTGGATGCCTCCTGGGGCAAAGCTTGCTGTGCTGTGTGATCCGTGTGCTGGGTGATCCGTGTGTTGGTTTACATGGTGTTGTTTTCGGCGAGCCCCAACATGGCTTCGGTTTTCCTTCCAGTTTCTCAATCGAAACCCACAAAAAAACAGTACCAGACACACAGACACTGCCTGGTGCTCAGACATGGACACAAACGCTGATGTGGACTTTGACATGGATTTAGTTGAATTGTGAGTTGGTTCGTATTCGAAACAATACTTCTTGCCAACCTCACTAAATAGCGCGGCACCCTTCGGCAGCCTCTTGGATGTTTCTAGAGTGTGACACCCTGAGACCCTGCAAACATTTTGGATAGGGCAGTCCTGGCCAGACATCACCCTGCGGTGCAAAGCGGATGGCACGTTGTTTGCATGGGTAATGGGTTTGTGTTCCCATGGGGGGGGTGACCCCCCAAAAAAAAAGAAAGGAAAGAACTGTTGCTTGGCTCTACTTTGAAGCCACCCCGAAATGGGTGAGTGATCTCGATGAAGGTCTCGCACGGGGCGTTAGCTGGGAAGAGTCGAACAGAGTTCGCACCCAAAGCGAGTTGGTTTCCTTCAGGTTTGCCTTTGAAACCAACCAAAGGGGGTACTCACAGAAAAAGACAGACCCACATTGCCACATGTTATTTCGGCGGGAGCAAAAGCTGAGGTCTGAGGGCAGGGGAAAAGGGGAAAGAAAGAAGCATTAAAAAAACAGAAAAAACACATTGAGCCCCTTGCACAGTGATGGGTTTGACCCCCCCAAAAAGTGAAATTTGGCACACGCAGAAACAACTAAACCTGATGAACAGGTTCACCAACCGGCCTCTCACGCCAGGGCCGGTTGAACCTGCCAACGGCCCCACAGGCGCCGCTGTCTTGGTTGGCAGGGCCTCGTTTTTTTTTTTTTTGCGTTGGGCCGTGGGGTTTTTGGTTGTATAGCAACTTGCTGTCGCAACTTCTTGTTGCTTTTTGTTCTGTGGGGAAGCTCTCGTCTGATATTTGCGACTGGTTTACAACCTAGAAGTCCATGAAGGCACCTTCGGGGGTGCTTGTGTGAGTTGCGATGCATATTAGAGGGGGCTTGTTTCAGGCTGGTTGTGTTCCATGAGCATGCAGATCAAATAGTCCCCTGAAGCAAACATGGCCGTGTTTGAAGCATGGTTAAACGCGACCCGTGTGGATGTCGCAGCTCGCCTTTGGAACTGCCAGGTGCAAACGCAAACTTTGCAAACTGGCGCATTTGCTCCTTGGTTGTAGCAACATGATGTACAATGCCCATCCATCTGCTCATCCTCCCCAGCAGCCAGCCAGGGGAGCGGAAGCATTGACCGGTGAACTTCTGGGTGCTAGCGCAGAGCGTTTGTTTCATGTCCCAAAAAGATAGCCAACCGGGGATGGATGGTGATTCATTTTTGCAGCCCCCTATTTTCAGCACCCTGCTCAAGTGTCAAAACCCATTTGGTTGGGCTCCGCGACACCCGAAAGACCGCCTCTCAATTTGGGTGTGCACTCGATCGTGAGCGCCTGGGTTAAGATGGAGTGCGTTTCGGATCCTCAGGAGAGTACTTCGGGAATCCAGCGGAACCTTGCCTTAGGCCTTCTGTCCAGCAGAAAGTGAAGCCTCAACAATGGGTGGTCTCCTAGGGAGTCAGTTGCTCTAAGGATTTGTCGTAGTTTTCCACTTTATTGGTATGCATCCCTTTGCACCATGGCCACTGACCTTGGCAACTGTTCATTCTTTCCATGTATCCTTTTTCCAGAGAAGCACCACGCACCCAGGGGAAACGATGGGTAGATTTGGACCAGTTAAGAAATCACATGTACACGCAGATTTAGCGGATCCGAAGATTGTGAAGCAGGTGGTGTTTGGGTGTCTTGAAACGTGTTGGTTCTCCACGAACAAGCCTCGCTTTTTGGAAGGGTTGGAGGGTGAAAGAAATAGTTGGAGGTCTTTTCGGGACTGTTTGGCTCCCAGAAAGGTGTAAAGGTGTTGAACCCTTGTATGCATGAGGAAAATCTGGTGGTGACGCAACCCCAAGGGTTGGAAGGTTGGACGACTCAGTTGCCTAAAGCAAATCGACCTTTTGACCTTTTGGTTTTCCACTGTTGTACCATATCGGTGTCCTTGTTTAGGGGACCCCTAAGAAGGTGGTTGTCCTTTTGGTTTGTCTAAAAACCAACCCCCAAGAAGGATGCCCTCAAGCAAAGGCACACATATTCAGTCGATCGCTCATTTTCAACCCTCGTTGCTATGTGAATTCTCAAAGCTCGTGTTTCCGATATCCAAAACCTAGGTCCCCCAGTAGTGCCCTTTTGCCCTTTTTTTTGAGGAGACCAAACTAGACTCCAGAAAAACAAAAGAAATGGTACCAACTTCTTCTAACCTCTCAAATCTGGAGGACCTAGAAACGTAACAACATTCCAATATCCTTCTCGGAGAGTCGGAGAGCGAGGCGCCTGGCCAATCAAAGTTATGCCTTGAGATTTTGCTGGGTTCATTATTCCCCATCAAAGTCATCCCTCAAGTGGTAGGCTATCAAAGTTATGCCTTAAGTGGTAGGCTGAAGGGGAACGACCGCCACATTTTCCTGACGTTGATAACCCCGAAGCAGTCGAAATCCAGTCATCCGGTTCCTTAGCTTTCTAGATCTTGTTAGTTGGTGTAGTGGTTGGGTTTCCCTATTTAACCCACCGTGTTGCTTTCTAGTTGCTCTAGTGGCTGGGTTTCCCTGTTTCAGTCGGTTTAGTGGCCGGGTGTCCCGATTTAAATTTAGCCTTCCAGTCGGTTTCGAGGTTGTTTCGTGCTTGCCAATGAAAACCAACTGGAAACAAGAGAAGTTGTCTCGTGCTTCGTCCTTGGTGGGCGTTTAGAGGTTTTTTTTTCGGTCTTCGCATCTCACCCCACGCAAAAAAATCGTCGGGCTCGATCGCTCGATCGCTCGATCGCTCGATCGCCAGTCGCGGCACCTGGCGTCGCCCACCTCCGGCTCCCAGTCCAGGGCCCGCCCGGGGGGAACCCGGATCCGGTTGAAGCCTCGGGTTTTTGTTTCACCCGGAGACCCGGTGTGTTTGGGTTAGAGGTGGGTTCGGTCGTAAGGCGGCCAAGTTTGGAATGTTTCTGGTATTTGTGGTCGTATGTGTGTTGTGTCTTTGTTGTATGTTGTATCTTTGAGCCTGGGGTTCTTTTTCCTTCATTCCGGCTGAAGGTATGCCTGGACACGAAGAAACTATAAGAAACTACCCTAACAAGTGGGAGATTGACCCAAACTTGTGGGTGCGCAGGTTGGTATGGGTTTGCCTCAAAATGTGGACATCGGGACCCACAATGACATGGGTTTTGTGTTTTTTTGTCTTTTGGCTTCCCCCTTAAAGTTATATAACCAAACAGGAGTTCCCCTCAAAAACAAGCGCTCCTGTATCCCGTTACATGGGGTGGGTTTCTCAAAATGGATTTGGACCTCCGTTTCAAGAACCCCACATAGTCGCTATCTGGAGTCTCCAAGCCATGTTGTATTTTTGGGGAACTCTGAAACAGAATCTCAAAGTGTTTCTCTGTAGATGTGGGCTAGGGTATACACTGTACCCGTTACATACTGGCGTAGTGGCTGTATCTCCTATTAAACCTTTGGGTCCCGGCAGTGGCTTTGGGGTCTCCTCCAAAAAAGGAGGATATTCTGAGTAAGCACAAGCACCAAGCCTCTTTTCAGGTACCCAAAGGGAAGCCGAAGCTGGGGTATCCAGCGCATGTTTATTGTATTTTAGGGTGCTTCCCGGAGTTCCTTGGTAGCACGAACTCGTTCTTGGTTCTTTGAGAAACTGAAAGTGTTGTTCTCTTGAACCTGCCGCAACGTAACTGATCTTTGGGATTGACAAAAAGACCGACGACTGGCCGACGACCCACTCAGTCGTGAGATGCTGAGGCTTGTAGAAGGCTCACAATTGCCTTCTGTTTGGACGAGTCTGTAGACTTGTCGCTATTTGCCAATGTTGTTGCAGTAGGTCATCATGATGTGCACATCGACAAAGTGTGGACTACCACCCAACGACCGCCCTGAAAGATGCAAGGAGTTTTTGTCATATCATTGTTTTATGTGGTGAACCGCCCAACAGGCCATCGTCTAATTCACCTTCTCCATCAAGGTTTCAAGGCTAATATAAGGGCCTAAACTATTCCCAGTTTGATCCCAGTTGCCTGTATAGGAGGTAACCAGCCATTTTGTGTTGGTTTGTAAAGGCGAATTCCCTCGGTTATCTACTGCACAGGGAAATGGAATCACCGGGGTTGCTGCGAGTTTTCTCCCACGGCGAAGCTTGGTCTAAAGGACCCCCAAGGCCGTTTCTACTTCTCTCTGTGGCAATTTGGTTGGACCTTTGGAGTTTGACTGATTGGTTGAAACAGTGGAGTTTCCATTTTTACCCAGAAGAGCTCCCGAACTGTTCGAAAGGAACCCGAAGAGCTAACCCCTTGCAGGAGGAATTCCCAACTCTTAGGCACAATGATCATTCACCCAAGTTTCAGGCAAGCGAGTATTGCGAAGAGTTTGTTGTGGCTGGCAGCTGATCATAGCATCACCGGAAGTGCGCGGTTTTGCCACTAAATACGCCTGTGTGGGGGCCCCCTCAAGGAGGATTCTACGAGCCTCCTCCTGCTCGCGATGACCCATTCGCCACGGTTTCTCTCCGGATCAATTGGGCAAACCCCAAAAACCATCCGACCTGCTTTAGCTTAGCTTTAATGAGCATACCTTTACTCTCAAACTACCCATAAAAAAGGACCGGGAGTTTTACTTAAGGTAAGTATTTTTCATGACCGTGCAGTGCAGCTGGTTCAGCTGGTTCAGGACCCCACCAAAGACAACCCACGTGGCCGGCGGGCGTCAACAAAGGAGGCACGGCACGGGCGACCCTTTTTTGTGGGGAGAGGACTGTGTCACCCAAACAATGTCCACCAGATTGCAAATCCAATACGGTATGGATGTGTTTGGTTGAAACATACATATGCATCGGAAGACCATTTAGTAGCAAGCGTTTTGAGGAAGCCATTTGGGATGGGCTTAAAGGAAAACCACAAGGCAAGCCAACATATCTCGCGCCCCATATTGGCATGCCTACTCAATGTCATTCTTCTTCCCCCTCGGGTAGGCAATGGTAGGTAAGACTGGCCTTGCCAGCATCCGCAATTCAATATGGGCGTCCATTGTTGGAAGATACCATCATGGCATGGATCAGATGGACGCTTCCAATAATGGCGGAGCTCTACCTGGATGTTCGGCCAGGTAAGTAAGTGGTTAGCCACTTGGGAAATAGCACCCTCATAACGGGGTTAACCCCACTTAGGGGGACACATAAGTGGATTTTAACCTAGGTTACCAACGCGTACTAGCTTAGCCGAAGACCCAAGTAGCCACGGCGATATTTCTGGGTGTTCTCTTCACCACCCAACCGGGGGCGCGACTTCCAGGACGAAAGTCTGCAAAGACCTATTTGCATCCAATCAAGTTTGTCACCCAGGACGAAGCTGGTTTTTGTTTTGGGTTTCGTCCGTGGCAACTTGGCCCGATAGCTTGGCAAAAGGCTCGGAGTGCAAGGGGAAGGGTTTGCATAGATTCCAGGGAAGTGGTTCCCCGGTTGTTCAGATCCCTGTTTCCCTTTGTCTTTGGCGGCCCCACTAAAACTGATCAAATTCAAGAAGGGTACCCTCTAGCCGCTCTGGCTCAGGCGCCATTGAGGCCTAGGGGTAGCGGGCCGTTGGCATGGGAGATCTGAGCAGCCCTCAGACGCCATTGTCCACCAAGCCATGGCATGGCATTGCAGTGTGCATGGCTTATGGCAACCCCTCCAGTGGAACGCCGTGCGTGATTGGATGCTGCAGATCCTGCATTGGTCATCGACGCCCTTCCCAGTCTCCTATTCATTGAGGATGTGACTGCCAGCTGCTACCCTTCGCTGGATATACGCCGGTTGAACCCTGCATGGTGCTGCATCGTGGTCTTCGGCTTCTGCCGCCCAATGGTCTCAGCCTGGACCTGTGCTTCAGAGCCCGCTGGTGAGTGAGGGAGGGAATGGGCGAGCTGTGCTTCGCAGTTGCCGCAGGCTGCTTTGGGCTCAGGGAAAGGCAGTAGAGCTGCAGGCGTCTCCCGCTTCAAGCCATGACGACGTGAAGGAGAATGCGGCGCGCCCTGATCGGCTTGAGTTGCAGCTACGGCGTGAATTGAGCTTGCCTTCGGTGTAGCTTGAGCGTTCTTGGGCCTTAACCAAGTCTGGGGGCCGTCCACTTGTATTTTGTGCTGAGGGATTTCGTTGATTTCCCGAGTGTGTGTGCGCACCCCCGGCGCCGCAGGTTGACTTGGTGGACCGCCTCGGGCCAAAACGGTTCCTTGATTTGGCACAACGCGGTCACTCTTTAGCTTTTTCATCGCTTCGGCGACAGGTTTGGCTCCAACACGTTGGCTGTGCGAGAGCAGGCAGGGCAGGAGCCTGAGGCTCCAGCCCAGTGGCAGCGTAGAACAAAATTGCAAGTTCCATCAGGGACGTACTGGGCCCCTCGCTCGCCATTTCACTCCGGCCCAAATACTGCAATTCTCGCTGCGCCGGAAGATGCGCCTGCTGTGTCTCCTCAGCAGGACTCTGCCCTGCTCGGGAACGATGGCGACCATGTCAGCGCCCGGTGCCGCAATTGCTCAAGTGGTGTCGGAGCGCTTTGAGAATCACTGCCCAAGGCTATGGTCACCCTGCCCCTTTTCCCTGGGAGTGGTTGGCCCTGAGCCAGTCATTTTTGATGATGACCGCAAGGTTTTAGATGAGTGTGTTGCTCGAATTCAGGATTGGGGCCTTCCGCGGGCACATGCTGGGGGGAGAGGTTGCTGCACAAAAGGGTTCTCTTTTCCTATCGGGTCACTGACGCCTTCCTTCCATGCAAATTGCAGGGCAACCATGAGAGACACACTTTTGGTTGGCTTTCATGGGACGCCACGAGGAAAACCATGGGGACCCCCTATTTGACATGCATTCATAGGTTCCTTTTGAACGGAGCCCGAGTTGCGCAGACGAGGAGACAGACCCGCCTGATAATTAGTGTTTGGCATTAACCAATTTTTGGGGTTGGTGGCATTCAACATGGAGCCAAAAGTGGATTAAGTTGGTGCTTCCGTTGTTGATGGTTACGTTTCCTTCCCATTCAACGTTTACACTTGGCCAGGAGACGACCCCCCGACGCCGTGCGTCGGAGGCAGGGGGGGGGAGGTGATCGAAGATGAGTGGCATAGAGTTGGCTCCCGTGCTAGTTGCTCGGTTGATTGATGGATTATTTGTTTCGTTTGACATGGTTGTGCGTGTGTGTGTGTGTGTGCGTAGGTGTGTGGGTGGGCGCGGGCGCGGGCGGGTGCAGGTGCAGGTGCAGGTGCAGGTGCAGGTGCAGGTGCAGGTGCAGGTGCAGGTGCAGGTGCAGGTGCAGGTGCGGGTGCGGGTGCGGGTGCGGGTGCGTGGGTGTGTGTGTGTGTGTCTGTGTCTGTGTCTGTGTCTGTGTCTGTGTCTGTGTCTGTGTCTGTGTCTGTGTCTGTGTCTGTGTCTGTGTCTGTGTCTGTGTCTGTGTCTGTGTCTGTGTCTGTGTCTGTGTCTGTGTCTGTGTCTGTGTCTGTGTCTGTGTCTGTGTCTGTGTCTGTGTCTGTGTCTGTGTCTGTGTCTGTGTCTGTGTCTGTGTCTGTGTCTGTGTCTGTGTCTGTGTGTGTTGTGTGTGTGTGTTTGTGTGTCTGTGTGTGTGTGTTTGTGTGTGTGTCTGTGTGTGTGTGTTTGTGTGTTTGTGTGTTTGTGTGTTTGTGTGTTTGTGTGTTTGTGTGTTTGTGTGTTTGTGTGTTTGTGTGTTTGTGTGTTTGTGTGTTTGTGTGTTTGTGTGTTTGTGTGTTTGTGTGTTTGTGTGTGTGTGTGTGTGTTTGTGTGTTTGTGTGTTTGTGTGTTTGTGTGTTTGTGTGTTTGTGTGTTTGTGTGTTTGTGTGTTTGTGTGTTTGTGTGTTGTTTGTGTGTTTGTGTGTTTGTGTGTTTGTGTGTTTGTGTGTTTGTGTGTTTGTGTGTTTGTGTGTTTGTGTGTTTGTGTGTTTGTGTGTTTGTGTGTTTGTGTGTTTGTGTGTTTGTGTGTTTGTGTGTTTGTGTGTTTGTGTGTTTGTGTGTTTGTGTGTTTGTGTGTTTGTGTGTTTGTGTGTTTGTGTGTTTGTGTGTTTGTGTGTTTGTGTGTTTGTGTGTTTGTGTGTGTGTGTTTGTTTGTTTGTTTGTTTGTTTGTTTGTTTGTTTGTTTTTTTTGTGTGTTTGTGTGTGTGTTTTTGTGTTTTTGTGTTTTTGTGTTTTGTGTTTGAGTTTGTTTGTTTGATTGTTTGTTTGTGTTTGTGTGTGTTTGTGTGTCTTGTGCGTGTATCTCTCACTCTGCGGGGCTCTCCGCGTATTTACTTGTTGCGCTCTTGTTTGTGTGCTTGTGTGTGTGCGTGATCACAAAGGGGTTGCCGAAACACAAAGGGGCTGGCTTTGTGGGCCTACAACAGCAATGCCTACAACAATGCAACAATGCAATTTATAGTGAGAGTTTCCCAATATTCATGGGTTTCGGGCAATGTTCGTGGCTTGGAAGGTAGGCCATTGTCAGTTTGTGGCAGCTTTCCACATTCACACCTTGAGCTGGCTGGGCCATCCCATCCTCCCATGTCTTTAAGGGGAACACGTCCAGATTCGCCCGAACTAGCGGCAACCCACCCCAAAGAGACTTCCCAGGGATCCCTTTTGAACGAGATTAAAGTACTTTGCGGGATTATGTACTTTTGGGGGTTTCACTTGAAACCCCAATTCGGTTTAGAGTGCGACTTTGATGCACTGAAACGGACCCAGACGTCCCCAGCAAGACGCCAGCTTTCGCTCCGGGCTTCCAAACATCAAGGGTGCGTATCGGCGTTCCGTTTCAAGGGTCGTTTCTGAGTATCCTGAGGTTGCTTTTCATTTGGAACCCAAAGGAAACCACGCGAGTTGGGGGTCCATTTGGAGACTAAACTTGGCGACAAACTTGGCGATGTGTGTGTGAACGATTTGGCTACTCTTGTGGCAGGGATGTCAGAGCAGCAAGCGTGCGACTGGTTGTCAAGACCAGGATCTTTGTGAGTTTTCCGTTGGCGTCCCAACATGTAGCATAGTCCCACAAATGACGGTCTCTAATTTCGACGTCCTCTATGCAACATTTTGACTGATTTGCCGACAGGACGCAGTACAACACGGCAACTTCATGCAAAGGATGGTGTGTTTTAAGAGGGTTTAGGACCCTTCTGAGATGCTTCAACTATGATAACCACCCCGGAATAGTCAACCTATTGGATTGGCTCCCGGCAAGATGATCCATGTTTAACATGCCGACTCCCCTACACAGTAACGACTTTATCCAAATTAACATCTGGGTTTAAAAGGATGCAAAGCGGACAATCATTTCGGGTTCGCTCAGAGGCAGACACCACCCATCAACCAGGTTTTTGCTTCGTGCAAGCAACCCGCAACCCTGCATCATGTCAGCTTTCCTCAGTTTGGATTGCTAGAAACTGGGGGTTTGAACCCCTGGTTCTTGTAGAGGTAAACGGGAACTCCGAACCACCGGGCTTCAAACCAGCAACCAGAGCTGACAATGAGCTGGTGATTGCCCTTCTTTGTGATTTTCTTCTCAGTTGTTCAAAGCCAATCGACCTTTTGATTTTCCAATTTTGGTCCATGTTTAGTCCTGGCCCCGAAAGGTTAACCTTTGGTTCCGGGTCCTTTGGGCAACTGAGTCTTGGGTTCCGGTTCATGCTCAGGGCCCTTGAGATTTGTTCCCTAGATTTCCCTCGAAACATCACCGAATCACCAGTGAAATATAGCCGACCTTAACTCTTGATGGCTATTTGGTTGGATCGTTGGACTTTAACTGCTTGGGAAACAGATAATTGTCCATTGCACCCACAAAAAGTCATAAAGCTAATCCTTTGCAGGGGTCGTTACAGCAACCAAGTTATGTTGGCCCCTTTGATATGGTGTCTCACCCAAAGTAGGAATGGAGCTGGATTTCTGTTCTCGCCGTTCGTTTTTGGGTGTGTTCTTCGTGAAATCGAGGCGGGCAATGCGTCCCAGTCCCAGTCTCCAGCAGCAGCCCCGGGAGTTCTGTTCGACCTCCAGGTTTGCTCCACTCGACGCGTGTCTGCCCGGAAAACTGATGGGTGTCTTTTCTAACTTCTTGTTAGGTGGATTGTAGCTTGGTGGTTAAGGAGGAGGTTCCCATTTACCGTGTACAACTGCCAGGGGTTGAATTCCGAACCCAAACCACCGATCCAAACCACCAACTAAGGCAAATGTGGAGACGGTCCTTGAAGCCCAGCATTTGGATGATGGTGGCATGATTTTCGTCAGACCACCCGTTACTGGGGAGCCTAAAAAAACGGTTACCCTCCTTTCCACCAACAACATGGCAACTGACAGGGGGTCCCTTCAAAAGGAACTTCATTTTCGAGGTACCTCCCCACACATGCCATGTTTGTTGGAGGAAGGGTAGTCCCCTGTCCATGGTTGTTGTTGGGAAACATTTTACATTTTTGCTTATTGTGGTTTAGTGGGATTTCTTCACTTAACTGCTGAATCCTAATTTTTGGCTCCCCTTCCATCGTCAACCAAGTGTCGATTTCCGCGTTTCAGAGACCACCGGAAACCTGCGGGGCCACCGAGCCTCGAAAAGCAGTGGCTGTCCTTTTGGTTTCCCGGTGAAACCACCGCAAAAAAGGCCGCCTTCAAAAAATAAAGCCACGACCAGCGCTTGCGAGCACAAAGCAACTGCAAATGCGAGAGGCAAGCAGGCAAGCAACTTGATTGCCAGACTTGACTGGGGCCTCTTGTGGTTGTCAGATGGAACATTTACAAACTGACCTGAGCAGCGATCAAGATTTACTCATTTTCTGTAGTTAAGGGGATGATTCGGCTGTGGGTCAAAGCCAATGGTACCATTTTGGGGTAGGTGAATTCACCCCCCATTTTAGTCTATTTTAGTGAGGATTGGGATGTTCACTGGGGGTGCGATTTGGATTTTGACCCATGGCCATTTGGTACACTCACCACACTGCCATCAGGACATGGAGGGTACTCACCAATATCCAACGTCATGCGGGGACATATCTGGAGGCTTTCCGAAAATGGTAAGCTGCCATTTGCTTAAGTTTTTTTTGTTCCCCATTGTTGGTATTTCTTCCAGGGGTCTTAATCAAATGGAAGAAAATGGCAGCCTATCATTTGCAAAAATCTGGCCAGACTCTGTTGCTTTCAACTCACAGGTGAAGCGGCGGTCGTCGACCGTCCAGGCCGGGCAAGTCACCTGGGTGTGCCTTCTTTGAAGGTACCTGGACCCTCAAACTACCCTTTACACAGGGGGATCACCCCATTATTTGGGGGCAACAAGCCATTTTTTATGGGTAGTTTGGAGTGTAGGTGGTGTTTCCCTCCTAAGGGTGACTGAAGCCAGGGTCGTTGCGTAAAACCTCTAGGTCTGCACGTTAATGTGAAACAGAATCTGAAGATATGTTTTTTGGTGTACCCCTGTGGGCCAAAATGTTGTTGGGTCAAAGAGGTCTTCGACTTTTTGTGGCGGACATGTGCAGTTGTGCCCACTCGCCCGCGATTGTTGTTTTCTTTTGAGCAAGCTAGGTTCCTTTTGTGCAAGCGTTGGTTGTTTGCAAAGTTTGAGCCAGGCCTGGTCACGTTTTCTGCCTGGGCCCCTTTTTCATTGGCACCAGGTGAAGGACTCGCCGAAATACCGTTACAGGGCGTATGCGTGAAATTTAATCGTTGGGGACGCACTGACATTAGAATGCGTGTCAAAATATGACCCCCCTAAAGTGGTTGCGTTCTTGTTGGCTTCCCTTGAAATCAACAGGCACACACCGTATATGACTATGGGTCGAAATTAAACCACTAGAAGACCGCAGGTTTAGTCCCATTTACCATGGTTCCATTTGGGGCACACATGTTTGACCCGCAGCCATATCATCTCAGTGGCGGGGGCACGGGTTGCTGGGACTGCCAGGACCTGTCCACCTCGGAAAAAGCCGCGGCAGCGCCGCAGGTGGGGCGGTGATGGATGCGGCCTCCAGTTGCGAGGGTGGATCCCTTGTCCGTCTGTTCAATCATTGTTTTTTTGTTTCTTTTTCAACAACCGATGGTCGTTTTCCCAACGGCTTTCTGGAGGCAGGTTCCCCTAAAAACTCCTGGGTGTCTCACTACGTGGGTTTGCTTGTGGCTTGGCTGTTGCTTGGAAGCTCACTCCTGGAAGTCCTGGACGTGAGTCACTTTTTTTGGTTTGGACCGGTCTTGTGGTAACGAACAAGCTTGGACTTGTTTCTTACCAATCAACTCAGGCAGGGACGAAGGGAGCTGTTAGGGAGCTGTTAGGAGCTGTTAGGGAGCTGTTAGGGAGCTGTTAGGGAGCCGGGGGTGTTCAATTTTGTTTCTACATCAGCCTCTCGGAGCTATCGGACGCCTGTAAGGACATGACTTTGGCTACCAAAAAGCATTTCTTGTTTTTCCTCTATGAGCCAAGTCACTTGGGTATGTCTTTAGACCTTCCAACCACCCACGTGGCCCTGAGTATCGTTTCGGAGTCGTGTGAATATGGTGCGTTTGTTCGGCTCACACATCCCGGGCACCGCGTGTTTCACCGTTTCTTGAAAGGCACCCCCATAATGTTGACCGCAGAAAAAATAATGGAAAACAACTGCTTGATGAATAGGGTGGTGTCCCGTTTTAGTGGGAATTATTCACTTTTGGGGGAGGACACCGCTATGAATAGGAGGGACATCCCTTTCTGTTCATTTGGGGGCACATTAAGCTGGTATGTCCTTTGGTAGGGATCAGAGTCTCTTCCTCTGGTCCCCCCAGCCCCAGCCATTGAGACCTTTGTCAGATGCTTTCACCCACCCGGCGAGCATCGAAGACTATGAAGGCGACCTGCGGGAGAGTCATTTTGCGGGGAGGAGAGTTACTTGAGGCATGCGATGGATGATAACCCAAAAGCATCGGCTACCGCATGTAGAGGAGGCCACAATGATTTGTCCTTGCTGTCTGGTTACCCTCTAACTCTAGCATCTGGGGGTATATCTGACGAACCCGTCAATCAAGTTCGGCGTGAGCCACTGATGGATTTTCCCGAAACCAGAAACCAACCGAGGTGATGAAGGATGCAGAGAGTGTATGCTTGCCAAGCCCAGGCAGACTTTTGTCATCATCATGCGTTAAACACATGGGCGTGGATGTAGATGCCCCCGCGCTCAACTCATAGTTTTCTTGCGAGCGACCGAAAAGACCGGGGAAGGCAACAAAGAATCAATTTGTCCATGTCAATGATGAAAACAACAACGAATACTCATGGAAAGTTCACGTGAATCTGAATATGGTTATGTTTGTCTTCGCGGTGATTCATTGACCGCCGTTCCGCCTTTCCCCCTTTTCTTGGGTGGGAACAGCACAACGGAGTTCCTTTTATGTTCACCAGAAACGTGTCAGACTCATCGCGGGAGGTTCTGCCCCAAACAAGATGTGTTCCCCCCTTCTAATTCATCGACCAATGGGGTCGTACAACCTTTTGGAGGTCCCTTGTTTCGGGTGCGTTTTTTTGAGGGTACTCTTTTTTGGTGGTTTTGAAGGGAAAACAATACACAACCTCCATTTTGGGGTGCCCCCATTTGTTGACAAAGGGGAGGGCGGAACATGTTGCCAGGAAGTCCGCAAGCTGCGCAAACGGTGCCCGAAAGGGGGCGGTTCACTCTTAGGGGACGGGATTCTCTAAAGAGAAGCTCGTTTGTACCTGGAGCCTCCATGACTAAAAATAGGTCCATGAATATCATGATTTAGGGTGACCAACCATTTTAAGAGGGTCATGGAGAGACTAGGTCGGGGCTTGCCACTCAAGTGTACCGAGCAAACCATTCCTCACACCGTGCCAAGCCGGCGCAGGCAGAGTCTCCTGAGAGAACGCCGCAGGCTGGCAGGGCAGGGACCCGAACCCCTCAAAAGGCCCCTAGGTGTTGGGCGGCGTTGGGGCCGTATTTGCTCCTTCTGGGGCATTCGTGAGGGGCTTATTACTCCCTATCCTATCCTGCAAAGAAAAAAGTTTGGACTTTTTTTGGGCCATCCACTTGGGAAGTGAGTTGGTAGAGGACAGTTCCGTTTTATTCTTCACGCGTTGCCAAGTGTTTACTCTGGCTTGTGAGTTTGACCTTCTCACTCCCCGGGTTCCTGGATTCCGCGTACTTTTTGGAAAGCTTGGGCCAATTACGCAGGAAGTAGCCAAGCCCGCTGCCCATGTTGGCAACATGGAATATCAGCTGAGCCGTGGCCTGGTGGCAACTCTAACGCTTTGAGGTCATCGAAGTGACCGAGTCCAATCAGGAGCAGGAGGACGACAAGGAGGTGCGGAGCGATTCGTAGTTTGCAGACCGAAGACAGAGAGAGAGAGAGAACAGGAGCTGTCAACGTACTTCCACATATGCATACACAATATATTAATGTTATTTCGTATGCTATACGCACATATATGTATGATGTTGATTGATAAACATCGCGATCGCTGACACCATTGAATTTATATTGCATGTGTATGTATATACACATAGTTCTATCTCGCCATCAAAGGTCTTACCATCATTACCATTGCTGTCGCTTCATTTTTGCTTGAACACAAAGTTAGTTGGACCCTCTTTTGTAATCGTGCACCCTCCAGAGGAGGCATTGTAGTTCCTTCAAAGAAAGCTGGCCGCACAGTGCTGCCATGTTTAGCTCCTGAAGTGGTAGCAAGGGAAGCAGCCAGGAGCTATTAGGCTCCCTCCCAAGAAAGCTTTTCAGGAACCTTTGAAGAGCCCCTTCTTCGAGGCTTCTCGGGGGGGGTGGCCTTTGGTATGGCAAACTTGAGTTACAGGATTTGCGCTGTAAAATGATCACCCCAAAAGTACACTCATTTTTAACCCGTCCAAGAGCTGAGGTTTGAATCCGCCTTCCACCGCTCTAACATGGAAGCTCCCAGGCTGCAAATGAACCTCCAGTCTTCCAAAAGGGTATTTCCCTTAAAGATCACCCCGAATCCACCAAGGTCCCAGGCTGCAATTAGAGCTTCAAGTCTTTCATTCTGGGAGCTTCCCTGAAATCACCTGGATAGGGAGCCCATCCCGGCCCTTCCAAAGCTGTCGAATACCTCAACACAGTACCCTCCCATGCTAAAAATTGCCAGGAGATCTATCTGCAGCAGGTCCTGTGGGAGTTTCGTAGCGTGTCGACATCTATGCGGGTGTGTCTTTCTTGGGTACTCCCAAACTGGTTGGTGTTTCCTTTTGAACAAAGGTACTCTCAAAACACATGCATTACATGTAGCCTCTTCATCTTCGGGTTAAGGATAGTCAATCGCTGAATAGGCATCTTAGGCAGTTCACTTGAATTTGCCTCGAGCTTCACTTGGATCTCTTCATTCCAGTTCTGGGATGATTTTACAACTTGCAGAATTGCAAGAAGGCTTCTATGGGAGCTGAGACCATGTCAACCACAGACTCAGAGATTTGATCCGGTCTCAGATGGCCGCTTTTTCGGCACCCTCCAAGGACGTTGGTGGCATGAGCTTAGATAATTCTGCCCTGTCGGGGTCATAGAACAATCCACACCCGCCCTAGTTGGAAGGCGAGCCTAATCTCAGTCGTTCAGTGGCACCAATTATTTTCCCTTTGTTTTGGGTGGCTGCCCCACTAGAAATGGAAACTTCCTCAAAAAGGGTTCCCTTTTTTTCCAGGGTCACTGAACAACTGAGCTGTGCTCAGTAAAGCTTCACCGAGGGAGGGTTCTCACGCAAGGTTTTTTTTAGCTGGGGGCAACCTAAAGCTTACCAACGATATTGGTCCATTTTTCCGGACAAGGAAGTATTTCAAGACCCGTTGAGAACCTGGTGTTCAACGCACATGTCCAAGAACCAGTGGATCTTTGGGTTAGGTAGATTGAGAACCTTCGGTTTCCAAGTGTTGCAAAGGAGATCGGCAGATCACGCATCAGTGGGGTTGTATTATTATTATTATTATTATTATTATTATTATTATTATTATTGTTATTATTGTTATTGTTATTGTTATTATTATTATTATTGTTATTAGTATTATTATTATTGTTATTAGTATTATTATTATTATTATTATTATTATTATTATTATTATTATTATTATTATTATTATTATTATTATTATTATTATTATTATTATTATTATTATTATTAGTGTTATTACTATTTTTGTATTATTAATATTATTATTATTATTACTATCATTTATTAGTATTATTATTATTAGTATTATTATTATTATGTTTATTATTATTATTATTGTTATTATTATTGTTGGTATTACTATTATTGTTATTATTATTGTTATTTTTATTATTATTGTTGTTATTACTATTATTGTTATTGTTATTGTTATTAGTAGCATTATTATGATGATTATTATTATCATTTTGGGGACGATTTGAGTGGAATCCACGGCTCAAGGAAAACAAAGGTCCAAATCTTCAGTGCATGTCCTTATTTCTGGAAGGGTTTACCCTGAAATTCGACTACCCCCGGTGTCCCTTTCTTTTCATGGCCCATGGAACATCTGCTGATAATTCTTGCGGAATCCCGTCTACCATCGTCGGTACAAATTTGCTTCTAGATGATGTCCACGGGTCTGATAGCGTCCAAGTGGTCAACATTGCCGTGGTTTTTGTCAGGTCTTGTTCGACGCCAGGTGAACTCGCCGGAGGCTGGAGTCGGGAAGATTTGGACCAATGCAGTGTGTCATTTGCTTGGGAACCGTGTTTTGCTTCGTCTTAGAGGGAAGCCAATGGGAAACCACCATTTTTGGGGGTCCCCCAAAAATGGACACCCCCATGTATAGCCGATTCTGTACGGATTCTGATTCTTTAATACATACATATTTATGTATATCTTGGGTGAGCAAGGCTCCGGAGCATTTGCTGATTCTCAGTCTGTCTCAACATGGGGGACTCTTTAGTGATCTCCTTGAGTTTCCCTTTCAACACCCAACTTTTGGGGGTCCAAGACGACACATCACCCGCAAAGGGAGTTTGCCCATCATTTTGGGGCAAGACCAGGGTTTTGAGGGTAGTTGAGGAAGGCATCCAAGTCTTGCTTGTTCCCTGTGCAGCGTTGAAGTGGCCAACTGGAGATCGGGGGAAATCCAATGTTGCTGATGTGGGCCTGTTCTTTTTTTACTCGCAGGCCTGCAAAGGACAAAATGGGTGTGTTTCAAATTTAAGGCACCCCTAGAATGCTTATTGTCCTTTCCACTTTAAAACCAACCAATAATTACAGATGTCCCATGTTTTGCTAGCGGGTGGAAAGATCGGAAGTCCCGTCCCCGCTGCATGTTGACCCTTTTCTCCACTGCTCAATAGCCACTAGTTGTATTTGAATTCACAAAAAGGACTCCGAAGGGATGCGTATTTTTCAGAAGTTGCGGTCCCTTGTTTGTCTCGGTGAATTCTAACGACCTCACACGACCTCACCCCAAATGGTGGTTTATGTGGGGAGTAGGGAGTAGCCCCCCAACCACCTTGTTTCAGGAAGCGCGCTGATAAACGACCGCTGTGTTGCGAGCACTTTCACTGTTTTCGCTTAGGTTTCGTGACATGCGAGGCCTTTTTCCAGGTTGCCGGTGGACCTTTTGCTTGTTTCGTGGGGGGTGGGGGGGGGGTGTTTGCGGCATCAGCAGGCGCCCTTTAGTTTTCCAGCATGGAGGAGTTTCGGGAGCACCTCACCTTAGTGTTGCTCCTTCGGGTGGCGCTTGTGCGTTTGCCGCCTCTCTTGCGTGACTGGGCGTCCTATGATCCTGTGCAGCTAGCTGAATGGCATTCAGTGTTTCGGCAGACTGGCATTTGCTTTCTTCTGTTTCCGTAGATTTGGTTTTGGATGTTTTTTGGCTTGTTGATTCGTGCACAGTAGCTCGTCGTCTCGTTGCCAGCAAGGTGGCCTGTGGTCTTCGTGCCGATGCAGCTGTGAACATTTACGGCTTCGTGCTGTGCCCCGTGGACTCTTCCGCATGGGACGCTCTGCGGCGTGGTTTTCCTTGACCTGGTCTACGCTACAGGAATCGATGCCTGCTCAATTGCCAGCCGAAGCAGTAAATTTGTGTGTCCTGGCCCAGCGACCTCTGGCCACGCAAGTTGTATCCAGTGACTGGGACCTGCTGCGCGAGGTCACGTTCTATGGCCGCAGCTCTTTGTTGAAAGCTCCTCGTGTTGCCGATGCTACGGCGCACTTGAAGCTCAGGAGGACGCAGGTGGAGCACATTTATTGCAGCCTCTTGGCTGTGGAAGAGGCTGCGGGCCAGAAGCATTCCGCAAGGAATCACAGAATGTCGGGCCCGGCGGAGGCCGACTCGCGTGGCTTGACACGGCTCTTCAGTAGCAAAACAATCCAGCACTTTGCCAAGGAGGTGCGCCAAGCTGAGGAGCGATTCAAGCTCCGGATGTCGAAATATTATAATTCATTCAGATTTGTCACCTACCATTTGCCTACTGATATTTTCCCTTGTTGGTGTTAAAGGGAATCTTTCTTTCACTAGAAGTATGTTTCTTTTTCCAGGTTGCTTAAGGCAATGGAACACTTTAGTTTTGGCGTAATCATATCATCGCCGTGACAATCGTCGTGGAGAGCTTGTTTGCGCAAATGGTTGGCCAGCCGGGGGGCCTCTTACGCAGAATACAACCACGTTGGCGGTTGGTTTTATCCCAGTTCAGTGGCTTTGTTTTCCCCTTTTTCTTGAGAGGCTTTCCCATGAAAAAGATCAATCCCAAAAAGGGTCTTCAGTGGATGTGTTTTCCCCTCTTTCTTTGGCGTCTTCCCTATGGAAAAATGCTCAATCCCAAAAAAGGGTTCCCCTGTATTATGGGGGCTGGGGGGGTGGGAGGGCCAAATGCCCCCTGTTCAGCCCTAAATAAGGCCTTATTGCGGCTTATTTGGGCTCCCCTCCCTCCACCCCCAGCCCCCATGATTTTACCTTTGATTCGCGCGGAACTCCAGATCAGCCTGTGGCCAGGTTTCGTCGACCCTAGACCCTAGACCCTTGTCCCCGGACCCTAGACCCTAGACCCTAGACCCTAGACCCTAGACACACTTGGGCCTTACGCCAAGGCGTCCTTTGCCCCATGCCAATGCTACGCGGCTGCGCTTCACTTCTATCCCCAAGCGCTCGTTTTCCTCGCTTCGGAGCTTGCCAGTGTTTCCTGCCGCCCTGCACGGCGCTCTCGTGAGGCTTCTCCTTGCGGGGTTTCCGTGGGCACCTTGTCCGCCTTGCCGTACGCCTTGCCGTACCGTGCCCTCAATCTGGCTGCCCACCAGCGCTCTGAGGCCTTTTCCCTTCAATGGCGCATTGCGTTGACCAAGCCTCGTATTCCTCCTTCCATTCTGGCGCCCAACTCGCTGTATGCCAACTGTATCTGCCTTTGTTTTTTCCCCCGTGGGTGCCCATGTTTGGTTGTTTTAAAGGAGTGCCACGATTTGGGCGGAGCCCCTAAATACAAAGATACATAATTTCAAATACATTGTATATGTGTTCATGTCCTTGTCCCTTATACTGCCAGTTGTATAGTTCAATCAAGTATGTACATGTTTCACTGAATACATGTCCAATACTAACATATGCAATGAGACAATGAGACAATAGATAGATAGAGAAACCTCGTAGACAAATTAGTGATGAGGAAACTTCACAATAAGCAAAGACACTGCTAGTCAAATTTACGTCAAGCTGTTTACATGTATTGCATATGTAATTTATATATATATACGCCAACCCCCCCCCCCCCCCCACCCCCTCCAAAACCTACCTTTTCCACACTCAAAACGACCAAGAGGAACATTTTGTTTGGGCCTACCATATATATATATACTCCCTTACGTATCCCTTCCCCAACGGGTTGGTTTCTGGGTCTCCGCTTGGTTTGCCAGGGCTCCCCTGGCTCGGGCGACTCCAAGGAGGCGCGCTCAGGTTAGTGGGCCCCTGGAAACCCACATGGCGATTCCTCCCGTCTAGAGACGCAAGTGACCCTCCAGATTGACTCTCTCCCTGAGCTCTTGGACTTTGAGTTTTGTGGAAGACCATAGTGGCACACAAAAAGTTCAGACGTTGTCTGTCCACTCAGGACGTGAGTCAACACGGAACTCAGAAAACCAGCATGTTTAGAGGAACCTCCTCTTGAGCCCCTTTTTTGGGTTCCCAGTTAATTTGCACGGGAGTCGTAGGGAACCACCTCCAAAGTGGTTGTGGGTCACAGGGAGCGGGACCCGCTGAATTCTGATGTGCATTTAGGGCTCCCGATTCGAATTCCGATTCAAGGGAAGCCATCGGATCTGGGAATAAAGGTGGAGGGGTGGATTGTCATCTACTGATCCAGAGCTTGTTGGGTTCCGGTTTGCGAAGTACTTACTCAGTGGTGGAAGGAAAGCGGCCCTTAGGATTGAGTTTGAAGGGACGCCCAATCATGTCACTGATTTAGAGCAGCAAGGGGTGCAGCTTAGTAGCCACAAAAAGTCAGAACCTGCCCTTTGGCTCCCTTCATATCTCTGAAGCAACAATGGAAATAAGGCCAAACCACTCAAAACGAGCAGAGGGCAGTGCCGATCCCGGATTGACCAACCTGGCGTTTCAAAGAGTGAAGGTTTGCCTCTTACATGGAGCACTCCCGTATGAATCATCTGGGGGGTTAGGAAGGAATATGTGTGTTTCCCTTTTGGGTGTCAAAGGGAATCTATCACTATTGGAAGTATCTTGTTTCCCGAGGCGGCTTAAGCAAATGGAAGTGAGTCATGGGTCATAATTAAGTGGTACAAGGGATCTTCGCCTGCCCAGTGTTCCAGGCAATTCACTGAGGATAAACCTGGAATTCTAGCTGAACTTCCCCCATGCTTTCCAGTGTTCAAAGCCATGGAATGTGCAGTCTGAGCGATGGGTGAAATGAGGGGATCAACCTGCATGAAGGCAAATGCATGGACAGGGAGTTGGATTTGCTGTCTTGCTGGAAGCTCCTTAGAAGCACCTCAGCACACAAACGCGTTTCCCGCCTCCTTGAAGAATGCTTGCAGGCTCCTTCTAGCAATGCACCTCCAGTTGTTTAGTGGACTCCACCCTGGAGGTCCCTGTTTTCATTAGGCTCCCCACCAATTCAGCATGGTTAGCCCCGCAAAAGCGCTGGTTCCAAGTGTCTCGAGGCACTTGGGCACCGAGTCCATTCAAGAAGGGCGTGTTCGCTTGGACCTTTGCGGTAGGTCTTGCCACTGAGCCAACTCCCGGACCAGCTTGGTAATTCAGTGCTCAGATCAGCTGGTTGACCATGGATTCCACTGGTTTCAGTGTGGCGTGACTGTCGTGTTGTCCTTGGAATCCATCCGTTTTTGCCAAAACGCCTAGGCCGAGGCCTTCTTCTCGGGTCGGACATTTTCAGGTTGCCCTAGGGTGTAAAAGAGTGGCTTGAGTGGGGCCTGGGAGGTAGCTCTGGCATAGCAAGAAAACACCCAGCCTCCGGCTGGTCCGACCCGCGAGCTGCCTCCCTTGCATTCCATTGCCCAAGCGAGCCGACCTCGTATTCTCGAGTCGACGAGAGCGACAACTGGACGAACCCCCCTGGAACAAAAAAATCCCAAACAATTGAAAGCCGCAAAAAGCGCAAACACCCAAAGGCGGCAGGTAATACTGGGATATACTGGGTACTCGGACTCTCTGGGATTGCGATGTCACCTCTGCCTCCCTTTGGAGAATGACTCGACTCAGATTTTCGGCCAGGAGCTTCTTTCCGCGGACTCCGAGGCCGCCGAGGCGCGGGTCTTTCCGTGGATTCCAGGGGCCTGCCATGCCTCCCATGGCTTTCTTGGTGAACCGCGGCCACACAAACGAAGATCCTGGACCCTCAGAAACTTCCCTGAAACAGGGGCGATAGCTCACCCCCATGATGTTGGGGCAATGATCTGTTGTTTTTGGTTTTCTATTTTTGTTTTGTTCGGCATTCTGTGAGGGTCTAGGATGTTGGCTTGAGTTTCCGTTTGGTGTGATGTTTGAAAGGATATGTCAGGGACCCCCCCACCGTTCAGCTCAAACCAGCAGGCCTCATTTCTTCGTGGAGCAACCTTTAGTAAGCCAATCGACTCGGCATACATATCCCTACCCCCTTAAAAAATGGAGTTGGGGAGGGTGAGTCACCCTGGAATTCCATTTCAGGTTCCATTTTCTCTTTGGGCAAGACTAGATCAACGGATTGGGACTTAACCCCAGCGCCGTCTTCGCATCTCTTCGCGGTAGGGATTCATGTCACATCCGCCGCTCCAATGCCAGGCTGACCTTCCAGGCGGCCCAGGCGATGGAACCGAGTCGTTACCGTTTTGGGCCGTGGGTTATAAGTCCGGATTTTTTGTTGACAAGCCTCCAACTTGCTAGTGTGAGAGATGCAGGGAATCAGAATTGGAATGACCCCAGTAAGCCATCCAACTTGTGTGGTTTCCTCTAAGGTAATCCCCGAAAAACCGGGTGACCGCGGGATCGCGGGGGGTGTTGGGGGATCTGTGGCTGTCTCGTCACGTGTTGGGTTTGGGAAGACCATGTTAGTGGTCAAGGAATAGTTTGGTTGCTTTATTTGGCCAGTCCACTCAGGAAGTGAAAATTGCGGGGCCCCCTTGGGGGATTTGTGGTTTGGATCTGTTGTGTGGGTGTGTAAATGTGTGTCGATATCCTTTGGTTTCAACATCATGTTTGGGAGTACCCTAAAGACAAATGCAAGTATGGTCCACTACAGTATGGTTTTATATTTTTGGGAGGTGCACGAAATATTGACCTGAATATGAACATATGTCTCGTTTCGTGAAATGCGCGCTTGCCTAATTGGCCGTTTTGAACTTGTGGTTTACCATGGCCAATTTGTGTCGGTCAATATCGTCGCTGTTGTGGGCAAGTTGTTTTAGTTTGAGTTAAATTCAAGCAGGGGCTCCAAAGAGGACAAGTCACAATCTGGACAGGCAGCAGCGGTTGCTCAGGTCATATCTCAGGGGCCTGGAAACCTCATGATCAAACATGGCGCAAATGAAATTATGGTTTGAGTCTTGTTCTAGGTGTGTTCCTCCCTTGTTATTTGACAAGTTCGGCTGTGAGTGACTTGATGTTTGGGTGAATGTGCGCAAGCTTCATGCGTTGGGTGATTTTGACTCCGCTTTTTTGCGCGGCTCTCTCAGACGTGGCACAGGGTATCAACTCAATGGCAGGACCTTTTGTTCTCATTGATAGGGTAAACATCTGCTCCCTCGCCCAATGACCTTGCGACCTTGTGGTTTTGGTCCATCCGCCCCCTTCCCTGGGGTTCTAAGAACCTTCCTTTCGGTAGGGTTGGCAAGCCCTGGGTTACCTAAACCAGGGAAATGGAATCACTAATACAACCTTGAGCCATCTTAGTGCCAAGCGTCAGCTCGGTGTCCAAAAACGTCCCCGCTCACAGGCGCGGTTGGCGTGGTTCCCTACGGGTTCCCTACGGGTTGCCGTGCTGGGAGGTTGGCACCTGGCACGGCATGTCTTTGGTTCTTCTGTTTTTCAGGAAACCCCAAAGTCCCCTCGTTCCCAAGTGATGGGGCGCGAGGCCGGCCGAAATCGACGGCCGCGGTGGACATGAGGGGGGACCAATGGCATGCGTCGAGGGCTACCGCTCTTTGCGGCAGAGGGATTGCCTTTGTCAAGCGGGTGGACACCGCCTTCGCCAAAAAGGCACCCCGTTCAATCAGCCAAGGTGATCTCGATCGGCCCGATGCGGCTGGAGCTGGTGGAGCTCATCAGCATGATGGTACCTTGCCTTCCGCCGCCTCAACTTCCACCGCCGCAATACGATACTGAGCGGAATCGTTGGGATCCAAAATAGCCAGTAATTCAATTCAACTGCAGTTGAAGCACCATGGGCTATCCAATATTCATGTTTTCCGGACACGGGTGTGTCTTTTGTTTAGGTGGCACCCTTGTTGGGGTTGGTTTAAGGGAAACTACAGGGAAACCAACCATTTTGGAGGGAGCACCCCGACAGAAAAATACGAGCCGCCCACATCACACTCCATGGGTTTCCATCGATTCAACGCCAGGCCCGCCAGAGGAGAGCATTCATCTCCCGACCGAGGAGCCCGGCGAGGGCCTGAAGGTTACCTGGTTGAACGGGGATGGCCTATATGGGGGTTGATCCATATTCCATTTAGGGCACCTGGCCATGACCATGGGTAAGTATTCCCACGCTATCATATATGTTTAACGTGCGTGTGTCCAAACAATGATGATCTCATGTAAAGGATCTTTTGATCAGCCCACATATGATGGGTTGAAATTAAACTAGGGGACCACAGGTGTTACTCCACGATTCAATTTTGACGGTTCGCTTTTTGGGCACCTTTATTGACCCACAGGCATATAAACCTTGAGCGGTCGAACTTAAAACCGTTTTGGTAGAACCTGGGTTTTGGGGTGTCTGCTGCTTTGTCGTTCCTGACTTCCTGTCACTCTCAAATCGTAGGCAGTGTGACTCCCGCCTGTTTGAGAGTAAGGCTACAATTCTGACTTGAGTTGGCTTTGAAGTAGTCAAGTAATTGCCCCACGGCTCGATTCTGTTTAGGCCCTTCTCGCAACCCAGCTGTTGAGTGGGTTCCTTGTCGAGACTGGAATGAAGTCCGCCCTGTTGCGATTGGGGTCACCACAAGAGGGTGTGGTTCAAATTGGGAACCCATGCCGGGTGTGTTGAATCTAGACTTGGAGACACTTTCCGCCTGCCGGGCTGATTCTGACACCGAGCTGACTGGGATCCTACACGATGCTGATTGGTCAGACATGGCGAGGCCGCTGCCCCTCGTTTACTGGATGGGACTGCCTGTTCGGTCACGTCACGTCCCAGAAATCTCCCCGGCTGAGTTGAGGAGGTGAGTCATGGAGTCCAGCTCGCTGTTGGGCACCCCGCATGAAAGCGACCTTGCCACTGAGCTTGTTCAGCACACGCAAGAAGCGTTGACCTAGTTGAGCGTCTGCAATTGTGTGTTTTCTTGGGGGGGAGGTATTACTCTTTATTTTTATTTTGAAGGGACTCCAAAACAGGGCTCCTTAAAAGATTCATTTTGCCAATTTGAAGCATGGCTTTTTCCACCCAAATAAAGGGAAACCACCATTTACAAGGCAATGTTCAGGTGTATAATGTAAGGATCCCTGCAAAAGCAAACACTTTTTGGGGGGTCCCTTAAACAAATCACATCCTTTCAAAGCAGCACTCGGGGGGTCCATCTCTTTGTCTATCTTGTTTTTGCATCCCTCATTCGCGATTGACTTCATCCCAGCGTAGACAACACTTATATACGTAGTAATTGCCAGGCTCAGCTTACCTTGTTATTGTTTCGTTGCCTCTTCGGGGTTTCCTTTATTATTCCTTTCATCAGCGAACCCGTACTTGATGGTTTGGGTTGGTGGCTTTGGGATTTGAGCCCCTGGTTCTTGTAGAGGGTAAATGTGAATTTCACCAAACCGCCGGTCTCCAAATCACCAATTGGAGGGACGCTGAGTTATCCTTTCAACCAAGACGTTTTTCACCGTGAAGTCCCCAGATCGGAGTTTCATTCTGGGCTGACCAGCTTTGCACGGAAGTGAATCCGGAAGTTCAGCGGAGTCCTAAGCTGGAAGCCCTGGGAAGACCCTTTCCGTGAGCCGGCGCGTGCTGGTTTGGAGTCCGTGTGAAAGATGCCAAAAGCAGATTAATGATATTGCTCATTTACGCGCTAACTAACACCCATAAGTTGACCATTTCTGGGATGGGATGCCCAGGAATGGAGCTATATAAGGGTACAAGGCCTATTTTATGTTTCATTTGCGCAAAACGCTTTAAAGATGTTAAAGCGTTTCTGACTAAAGCGCACTAACGCGTTTTGTTTAAAACCCTACCGAACATCAGCATCCTGAGAGTCTTGAATCTTGACCTAGTGTCAGAGAACGCGTGACATCTTAGGGCTTTAGAGTTTGGAAGGAAGATTTATCTGATGAATGATATATATACAATAAATATATATTTTTTTTTTTTAAAGAAGATTCTATTTGTGTTTTGAGCAAATGCATAGACGAAGGCTGACAAATTGCTGGATGCTCGCGTTGACTGCCGTGTGGCAGCACAAGCATCAGCCTTGGAGCGCTTCTCTGAGAGAGAGAGAGGGGGCTTATTGCAAAGTTACATTCAGAATTCAAGTCTGGATTCCAGAAAATTGTCGGCTCTGGATCAGTCAGTAAGGCTACTGGGCGGCTGCCTGCTTCAACAATCCATTCAGGTACTTCTTGAGACTGCTTCTCGGCATGCCGCCCGTGAGAACCTCTTAGATTGGCGAAAAAAGCTACTGAAAACAATAGTAGCTTGAAGGCCCCTTGCAGAATCTTGCGAAGTGATCTCTTCCCTTGCAAGCCATGCAGGAAATCCGCCAGCTCGCGATTGCTGGGGAGCTTTGAAGCACGACCACGCTGCCTGCCAACAAATGATGTGGACAGGGGCTAAACTCACAAGTGTTCCAGAAAGGACCTCTGGATGTTTAAATTCAACACGTCACCTCTTTGGCCAGGTTTTCATTATTCTCAGACCTAAATTATGGCGAGCTCACCTGGGGGTATAACGAGCCCACCATGATAAAGGTCCTTTGCTTGGGGGCCCAATTCTTAATTCAGCTTTTGGCATCATGATTTGCAGAAATTGTTCCGACTCACCTTTGAATCGCAGGAGCCGCCGACCGCCCATTCTTTCAGGACTGATCCGACTCGCGGATCGATGTACTTGACTTTACTGTCTGAATGACGCGTGTCGAAACGTCAGGTACACTGGGCATTGTCTTCAAAGGAAAGGCATCTCCAAAATGCAACCCCCAAAACATATTTTTTTGACAAATCTGACAAATCAGAATCTGTTCTATTGTCTACATTTCAACTGTTCTTTTGACAAATTTGAAATGGTTCTCCCGAAACAGACACAACCATATATCCGTAAATGAAGGCTCTTTCCGGCTTTCTCGCATCTCCCCTGGTCCAGGTGCAATGATTTTGGGCAACGGCGACTGACCTCACAGGTCGACACAAGCTCACAAACCTTGGATGGACAAAATCCGTCACCAGGTTTGCAAGGTTGGCGACTCATTTTGCCTCATCCTCTTCTCCGCCAACAGCATTTCACGCGCAGGAACATCACCCCTGCGAAGATGTCTTTGGAGGCACCGGGATTTCGGCGCTTGGTGCGAGGTGTGAGCCCCGAGTCTTTTTGTTAAGGCCGACCTATTGGCCTTTTTGCCCGTTTGTGTCACAGGTTGCCAGCACACCTTCGTGAGGTTTGGCATACATAGCTGTCAAGGAGTTATCATGGGCTTGTCCTGGGCCAACCTATAGATGGTCCATGGATCTTCGTGACCCGGCAAAAGTCCCAAAAGTGTGGGGCTCTCTGCTCCAGAGTCTGGAGCGCTGAGATTCCTTTCCACAGTTCCATGGTTTCGCAGGGTCTCTGTATTTCCTTTGTTGCGTTACTTGGAGTGATTCTAGCTGAGTTTCCTCTGCGATCCAGGAAGCCCTGCTTTGCTCCTTTCAGACTCGAGCGTTGCCGCCAGAAACGTTGCTAAGTCCCTGGATTCAGGGCGCAGGGGTTGACTTGCCAGATCGGGATGAATGCGCAGGTGTCTCTTAACATCATTGCATTGGTTTGCCTTGAAAACACTCCTTACCTTCAAGATAAGAGAGACAACTAGAGAAGTTGGTACTAGAATAGAATCTGCCGAATTGGCTTCATGGAACGCGCTTCAGACAACACACCTACCACCGCGCAGGTTGGCTTGCTCACTAACCGACAGGTTTGTGGCGAAAGAAGCTATTAATTGTTGCGGGTCGTTTCGGGTCAGCTGGCAGCCCCCCGAGTAATTAAGTGTGCAGTCACTGTCTCCGGCTGCCTATGACAATATGCAGAGCAAAGACTTGATGCCAGAAACAAGACAAACGTCATGTGCCGTGCAGTAAGTCCAAGACGCACCCCTCGCCTTTGCAACAACGATGCAACACCTCCCGCGGTCTTCTCATAACGCACCCTAAGACCAAGTTCAGGTTCGCTGAGAGGTGCTTGGCCAGAGCTGCTGCCTGCTTATGGGCTGCATCATACCTCGCATCAAGGATTGACAATATTGCTCTTTGTCCCGGTTCCTCTTGTATTGGACCTGCCTGAATCATGTTGGTTGCAAATGCTATGTACCGCACAAGCCATCAAGCGGTTGAAGCAAAGATGAAACCAAGGGTTTAAGTATTAGTTGGCCATTATACAGTGCCTGCTTCAAGTATATTTGTATGAAACTAACCTGCCAAACCGACAGTAGTTTGTTTATGCATGTGAATGTGTATAACTAATACATATATATATATATGTATAAATAGTATATATATATATATACATGTGTTGTATTGGCTCAGATGCTGCCAACTACGTGTTTTTTGAGACAAGAACATCCAAAGACTCAAGTTGTGCACACAAAGGGTGCTTGAGCGTGGTGGCATCTCGGCATCTCGAATCTGACATGCAAAACTGGGAGGTTTAGCTGCATCTTTGGGCGACAGCTGGGCAAACAACACCGCAGTTTATGCCATCCTGGCAACCTTTGCTTACCTGTCAACATTTCAGCTCCTGCTTAGGTTCTTTTTTCCTGGGGAAGGCCTTCTGTCACGAGGATGACCCTTTTGCCTTCGACCTCTCAAATGGCGTTCCGGTTTCCATTTGGCTTCCCTTTACCTGCTGGTGCGAAAGGGGAATGAGAAAATGGGACGACCCCGGGAAGAACCTGACTGGTGGTTTCCTTTATTCGGGAATCCCAAAACGGTTCATTCCATTTCTCATTCCCTGCCTATCGACCAGCCCACCCCACCCCACCCCACCCCACCCCCCCTTCCAAGCCCACCCCCCCCAAGCCCACCCCACCCCCGCACCACCCCCGCACCACCCCCACCCCACCCCCCCACCCCACCCCCCCACCCCCACTCGCCCACCCCCCATCCCACCCCCCCACCACACACGCAGTTCTCCTTGGGCCTGGGCGACTTCACGCACTTCAACTCCCAAGAAGGCAGCGCTGGGCGCCATGTGCGTGGACATGCTTTGTGTACGCTTAGTCCTGGTGAAAACTGGGTTGACTGTTTGGTTGGTTAGATATGTGTTCCTTCTGCATTGTTTTTCTTTCTTTATGTCTTTCTTTCTGTTTTCTTTCTTTCTTTCTTTCTTTCTTTCTTTCTTTCTTTCCTTCCTTCCTTCCTTCCTTCCTTCCTTCCTTCCTTCCTTCCTTCCTTCCTTCCTTCTTTCCTTCTTTGTCTCTGTGTGTATGTGTGTCGTGGTGCCATGGTACACGTCCCCGTCAGGGACAGGTGAACACAGATGTGGCCATATATGTTTTCTTTCGATAAATGTTTGTCCTGATGGATGGCTCTTTTTGATATGTTCCAATGACCTCCCAAGTAAAAGTATGAACATGAGTGGAACAACTTGTTTTTCTTGTGTACGTCAGTTCACAAGGGGACAATCATGTTGTTTCTGTGTATGACACATTTATGTAGGGATGAATGAGAGGTCAGCATTTTGCGTCCGTGGCACCTGAAAGAAGATGCCCTACCTCCCCCAATTCCAGCCTTACTTTTCTTTCCTCTACAGCTTATGGAATATGAGACAGGAAAATCCTACGGCTCTGGGGCGCACCACTGCTTAGCGGCCCTTTGACCCGGCCACTCTTTAAAAAAGAAAGGGCTCCACAAGTCGCCCGCAGGGTCCTTCATATCTACCACGGGGCTCAACAGGTAAACCCGCCTTCGGAACCTCTCGTTTGTTTTATTAGGTTTTTTGCTTTTTCACGCACGTCCCGCGCAGTTTCCAGCGATATGAGGGACGCCAGTCGCGGGCTTAGTTTGGTGCCGGCGGCAGTGGGAACGCCTCTGGTGCCATGTGCATTTTCGTCGTTGATTTTCTGAGCTGAGACACTTTTCGGATTGGAGAATTTGAGTGGCAAGCAGAAAGTTTAGCTTTCTTTGGCAAATCATTCAGGAAGTCAGCCTTGATGGGGAGGGTATGCTTCCTCCGGCAAGGGACAGAAATCGTGGGTGCAAGACAGATGTGGCGTTCTCACTTCTCCCGGTGGTTTGCGCGTCACATCCATGGACCGACAGAGTCCAGTTGAGGTCCAAGATACAAAAGGCCCGCAGCTTCTGGCTGGTTTGGGCTGCTGTGTTTTTGAGTTATGTTGTTTGTTTTGCGTTTTTGCATGATACTGTAGTTTGTTTCACACAACCAGCGGGCACGCCGGCAGCCAGGGGTTTGGGTTCCCCTTCGTGTTTTGTCCTGCTTCTTTGAACCAAAACTTGGCGACGAGCAGCTTGGCTCCCCAAGAGCTCGAAGAAGAACCAGGCAAACGACCCATTTGGTGTGTCCGAATCCAGTGGGGTTTGCTGCTGTTTTCCTGTTTTCGTTGATTAAACTTGTGGATTTTTTGGTGGTGCGGTCAAAGCTATTTGTAGTCTGAGGTCGTTTTGGGATATATGGTCGGTAAAAGCAAAGCAGCACAAACAGTTGGGACTCACAGAGTTTCCTATATCTTGGGGGAACCTGCGTTCGGACCAAACCTCAAGCCTAAGGCTTCGGGGGCAACACACATTGCCACATCCCAGGCCTTTGGTACCGAATCAGGCTTTGTGATTATCTTCGAGACTCCCCTCGACAGCGTCGTATGCGCGGCTCAAGATTCCGGCCTTTTATGTCTGGTCTCCTGATCTCAACCTGGATTCAGCCAACATTGTCGAACTTTATGCTGGCGGGTATGGAGAGTGGTCCCGTGCTTTCAATTCCTGAGCCAAGAAACTGGTACCATTTGGAAGCCGGTTTTGGCTTTTGAGCATCAGAAGCTGATTGCTGAGCAGCGCCTACTTACTGACCCTTGGGCGCTGGATAGTATATAAATCTGAATTTACCCAAAGGGAAACACAAAGCGGAGGTGTACTTGTTGAAAATAATGTCCAGCCCCCTTGGACTGAGAAGATGAGGACCCATGTCACATATTTGTTGCTTTGGTTGGTGCATAGAACACAAGCTGTTTCAGGGGTACAGCTGTCCCACTTATCAACCTCCCACCAATTATCATGGAACCTGACGCTCGGGGGGGGTCCTGGTTTGGATCATTTCCTTTTACGGCCGTAAAGATACATGGTCCCTGTCAGTCTCCATGTGAAGAACGGTAGGAGCTTTGTTGTTCCCCGCCAAACGTGACAATTCCCCACTAAACCCAGGGCCACCCGGTATTAATGAACAGGGGTTGATTCATATGGGGTCACCCTTACAGCTGTTCAACTTATTACACCCAGAAGCGTTGCCTCACTGTTCTTGGCATGTATTTGTTTTTTGGTTGGTTCTGTTATGAGCAGTTTATTTTTACTAGGTCCCCCAGTAGTGCGCTTTTACCCTTTTTGTGGGGAGGATTCCCCTACTACAATAGACTACAGAAAAAAAAGGGTACCCTTATCCAACCTCTCTGCCCTCCCACCAGCTAACATGGAAGTGCACAGACCCCTGGAGAAAGACTACTTTCCTCTTGGAAAGGGCCTTTTTGCACTCTCATGTTAGTTGGTGCGAGGGTACCAAGGGTTGGGAAGAGGCCCTCCGCAGCAACTCCCCCGTCGGCTCACCCTTCGAGGTGTGCAGACGCTGATCACCGTGGGGGTGATGCCGCCGCGCTGGGTGGCATCGGCCTCGAGTCGACCGGAGCCGTCGAATCCTGAACAAAACTCACTCGACGGTGCCGGGAATTTATATTTTCACTTGCCGAAAGCGAATCAACCCTTTTGGTGGGTGGATCAAACAGTTTTGAAATTTGGACCCCTTTTAAGTGAGTGCCCCGAAAAAAAGAGTGCTTCCGAGGGCGATCAAAGCCAAGTGGTTGGTTGTTTCTCTTTTGCCAGGCTAGTTTTGTGGGTGGCTTTGATAAGGAAGTACTCTGACTCTCTGAACTGCCCAAAGCGAATCGACCTTTTGGCCAGGTTTTCCAGTCCATATTTTGTCAAGGTCCCAAAGGATAAGCCTTCGGTTTGCAGGTCCTTTGGGCGGGTGAATATATACATTTTGGGACGACCATTTAAGCGGTATGCTTCCAAAGTTCAAGTCCAAAGGGTAGTTCATACCTTCGGGTACACTAAATATACTGAATTGTTTCACTTTCTGTGTACCTCTTTTTTGGTTGGCCAAGTGTTCTGTTAGGTCGCCCTTCGCCATTGTCCTTTTGGTTGTAAAGGCTGGCAAGCCCTTGGATACCATTGCTATTGGGCAACAGATCCGACTTGAACTTTTTGCTTGCACTCCAAGGGGTTTTCCGGATTGAACCAATAAAACGTTGAACACTTTTTTAGGGGTCGTCACAGCAACCCAGATAGGGAAATGGAGTCACAGGGTTGCACCAAGGTGAATCCCAGTTCATTTTCCAAGGTCCGGGTTTCAGTCTACTTGCTGGAAGTTTTCCATGGGTAGTACAGTGGGCAATTCCCGCAAATCTGGAAGGTGACCGGCGGGCTCGCAGTAACTTAGCAACCGGGCTCGCAGCCACTTCTCTCAGCGGAAATACCTCGAAGGGGCTTCGGCAGGCGCGAAAGTTGGACTGCCACCTCAGTGTGCTCTAGAAATTTCCCTAGGCGTCACCCCAGCCGATACGTTGGCTCCGGCGATGCTACCCTTGTCCATTGGGTCGAGGTTCTGTGGATGGTTGCACGACATCAGCAAGTCTCGCCACCAAATTGGTGTTTGTTTTTAGGGAATCATTCTGTTGGGCTTCTGAACTGTGCGAAGGGATTTTTTCCATCCACAGTACCCCTGACCATTGGAAAGCTTCCATTGGCTTTAGAATATGTTCCATTTTCCATTTGAGTTGAAAGGCAATCTATCACTAGTGGACTTTGTTTTTCCAAAACCTCAAGCAGGCCTCTTTCACCAAGTTTTTGAACGTTAGTCACTTTTCTTGGGTTGCCGGTTTCGCCAAGTCTGCGCGAACTTGTTTGGGCCAATCCGCGAGGTGAGAGCCGCAATCCACACCTTGTGCGTCTTTTAGAAAACCTTCTGTTTATATGATATTCACTAGTGTTGCATGTTTTTTTGTTTGTTAAACAAAAACACTCTTTTGTTTAGCTTTAAGATACATCTTCATTTTTTGTGGGCTGCTGAAAACCCTTTGGTCTCCTTTGCAAGCCCATACCAAGGGTTGGATTCGACGCCAAGGTCTGGCCAGGCTACGGCGATGATCCGGAGGATGCGAGCTGGAGCATGGATTCGGTGAGTCTTGCCCAACGATCCTCTTTCTCATATAAATGTTTTGTTCTCCCCCCCCCCAGAAATACTGACATATATATATATATGTTTTTCATGCCATCCAATAAATACTTACTTCCTGAGTTCCGTTTCGCACTTTGGTCGCTTTTTGGGTTTGGACCATGTTAGTGGCAAACAGAAAAATCGACTCGTTGGGCCAATCCACTCAGGAAGTGAAGGCCGGTGACCGCTTTCTGATATCTGTTTTTCTCCCACCTTGTTTGCGGGCTGCCAGGGGTGGGGTGAAAACCAAGTCCAAAATCGGCCCCCTGTAAAAATGGAATTTGGGGAGGGGGGCGACCCCTGAAGTTTGGTGGTCGGGTAATTTTCCTCTCCAGTCACAAGTACTTTATTGGAGAGGGGGTGTATTTTGAAAATCAGCCGAGAACAAGTGCCCTTTGTCCGCAGTGCAATATTCCCTTGCAGAACCATGGAATCAAACATAGGGCCCCCCTCAAAGGGGAGTTCTCCAAAAGCCGTGGTTTGTTGGTGAACCTCTTGATCCCACACACACACACACACCTTGGCTCTCCTGGGGCCCGTCGGTTGCCGGCTGGATGAAGCCAATAACATTCGGGGTTGCACGTGTCGGTCGTCCCTTGGTACCGAAACGATATGTGCCCAAAAGAGGGAAAGCACAACAAGGCTTGATCAAAACAAAACAATGGTTTTCTGTCAACAGCTGGGAAAGTGAAAGCTGTAGCCCGGGGTGCCGTTGGCTGTGGCAACGGTGGCCGCAGAGCGTATGATTTGGCTGATCCGCTGGCATGGGCAGGTTGCTATGACTCAAGGATACAGCTCTCCAAGTTTGGTACTTTGAAGCAGCAAAAGCTGACTTGAGTGCCCTCCCAGGTATCTTAGTTGCTTTTAGTGCACTAGACACCAGACACACTTTGAAAAGTGGACTATGGAATGCCTAAAAAAGGGTGATCCACGGCGGGGAGGGATCTTAGCGAATCCTGAAAACAAAACAAGAGGAACCCGAAGCGGGCTCTCAACTACCCACTCGCAACGTACCTACCCCCTCAGGGATTCCAGAAGTGGGATTGGGGGACTTTTTTTTCAAAGACAGGGTTGGGGATACCACTTTTGATGTTGAACCAGTGGCTTTGCACTTCGGTTGCTATGTCAATACTTGCGGTTTCTCTTTGGTTCTTGTTTGTCTTGAGGCATGCCTTGCACGTGCGTAAGGCTGGCAAGTTCCGGGGAGTTCTTCACATGCTTGGTCTCGTTGAAGGGAAGCTCGCTGAGGTTTTGCCCTCAGAGAAGGGCACCACACGCGTTGCGTGGACTGTTGGAGTGGGAAGCGCCATCCATGTAATGCTTTCCCTAAGAAATGCACATATACATATTGACCTAATATCTCTATATAAGATGGTATATATTTATATATATCTAATGCATAAATATGGTTTATCCCCAATTAAAACATTGGCCTGGGCGAATCGTGTGAAACTTGCAAAATCGGGTTCCCAGGGTTAAATCAAGATTGCAACTGGTCGGGCCCATGAATGGCATTGGGATTTGCGCTGGTTTCAACTTGGTATAGTATCGGTTGAGTATTCGTTCAGTATCTTGCCTTAACCGAGCAGAACATGTGCCGGGTTAGAATTGGTCAGCATTTGGCAAGTCCAATTGAGTTCAGGGTGGTTTGGGTTTGAAAGGATCGTACCCGTTAACTGGGCGTTGTTGTTTTTTTCTTGTGAAGGGGAGCAGCTTGCCGGGTGGCTATTCTGAAAAGCATTGCATGATGTTGTCAGATTCAAACTATATACAGAGATGCAATGGGTGTTGTAAGTATCCCCATTCAATCAAAGGTTGGCCCAGATTGGATGATGAACAATCCTTAGATGATTGGGGTTATATGAACAAATTAGCAAATTAGAATGAATAATCCTTAGATAATTGTTTAATCATCTTCACCATTGGATGATGAACAAACCATGGTGGTTATATGAACCCCGTTACGCTCAAATGGTTTGAACCCCAGAGGCGGGGCATGAAATCTGCTCCCAGACGCGCCGGCTTCAAATGGTAGGGTCCGACAAGGCCGCGAGAATAGCACCTTGAACAGTCCGACGGTGTGCCGGAACGTAAGTCACCTTGCCATGGAATGAATGTGCAACTGGGATGCTCATCGCAGTTGCAATGCTTTAAAGGGATTTTCAGCTACAAGAAGTTTTGGCACATTGTCGCTCTTAGCATCACAGTCGGCCTCTATGGAAGGGCATTAATTGTCGTGGATGGCTCCAGGAGCTTCACCACTGCCGCGTGGCAGCAGATCCTGGACAATCTTTTTCCGGACGAGTCGAGCGATGCTATGCGTTTGGCGGAGCGCGAAGTTGTACCTGCTTGGCAGATCACCATGCAAGCAGATGACGTCACCAAAGCTTTGAACGCCTTTCAGACATTTTGCTGGTTTAAGCATGGGATGGATGACCATCTGGGCTTCGTTTGGAGTTGCGACATCAAGGGTGTTGGAGTGGTTCTCTCGAAGGACGATAGGTCCTTGGGCTCCATGAACTGTTCCAAGGATTTTGTGGATCGTCATCTCCGAGAAGCTCGGTTCAAAGCGAATCGACCTCTTTGTAGGTAACCAAGGGCTTGCTAGGCTTAAAAAACCCAAAGGAAAATGGATCGAAGCGAAGGCTCGGTTGCCCAAAGCGAATCGTTCTTTTGGTTTGGTTTCCTTTTGGTTTCCTTTTTGGGTCCATTAGTCCCGGGCCCGAAGGTCAACATCTTTTACTTGGGTCAAAAGTGGCTGCCCAAATTGGAACCCTGGTAAATGCCCACAAAGACTAAAACTGCGTAACCCTAGCTCTTTAATTTTGAGCCACACACAACTGAGAACTGAGAACTCCTGTGGTTTGTTTTGGGTCCTTTGAGGACGGCGATGATCCGCGTTGTGTGCCATGGGGAGCTGACTCCATTCCCTCCTTAGGCAGGGGTCGATTCCTATATGGCTGTGGGTCAGAACCAATGGGGATCCCATTTTGTTTGGTAGGTGAATTCACCACCCACATTTTAGAGCCTATTTTAGTGGTTGGATTGAATCGGATGTTCACTGGGGGTACGATTTGGATTTTGACCCATGGCCGTATTTCCATAAATGTTTGGGAGTCTTCAGCATCACCTTCTTGGCCCATGACATGTTTGAGTGTCCCTTGATCTGACGTTTTTTTTGGGAACTATCGGGAGCCCTGCTAGGCTTGGAGGTGGATCCCAGTTTCGACGAGTACGAGATCCACGGCTCAAGTCCTATGCTGGCGCCGCTTTCGGAGAAGCTCGCGGCGGTGGACCAACGCTTGGCGGCCATTGAGGCCAAATCTGGATTTTGGGTTGTGCTTCGGGATATTTTAGTTTTGTTTCCTTTCTGGTGGCTTTAAAGGATAGCTATCTATACTGCATGGTGTTTTTCCCCAGATAGCTGAAAGCTATAGGGGTTCTAACTTCTAATAAAGAAGGGAAAGTGATTTGCGAGATTGACAGCTGGGTGCTAGGGGGCGTGCAGTTTGGGGTGCTTGTGTAGGTGCTGTTTGGGGTGCTGTTTGGCACATGGGATGCGGTTTGGGGTGCTGGTGATGGTGTGGGCGCATTTTTGCAAGATTGACGGTCGGGGTGCCTGGGGGTGCTAGCTATTTGAGGGTGCTGTTCGGAGTGATGGTGCGGGCACGCTTCTGCGGTTGATATCAGGGGAGTCTTTGCTGTTTGGGGTGTTGGTTGAGTTGCTCTTGGTGCAGTGCTGTTAGAGGTGCTACCGTGCAATCGTTGGCATTTGCTTCGCTATCTGGGGTCTATGCTGGTGTAATTGTTTTTTTTTCCAGGGGCTTGAGCAAATGGAGAGTATCCGTTGCTACAGACTTCACCTAATTCGGCTTTGCATCGTGTTCCCTTTTGGCCAGCGCAAAGTGGTCACTTGGGGGTCGGATCAGTCTGGTGAAGCCGCCAGGCGCGTCTCAACATCTCGGTCAGCGGATCTCAAAGCTCGGACTGCGCTGCCATCGCCAGGGGCTGCCCGAAATCGCAGAAACCCGCGTCGCTTCCGGAGGATTTTCCCTGCTCGTGCTTCCAGGGCAACCAAGTGCTGAGTGCGTGCCGAAATCATCATTGGGGGTTGCTGCACCTCTGCCGTCCGCTGGCGTTTCACGTGAGCTTCTTGATCTTTCATGAATCGACGACCTCTTTCAATGAATATGATCGATTTTTGGAGTGGTTTTTGGTTCGCATGTCCTTCGAAAGAGTCAATGATGGTCACTGGAGTGGATTCTATCGCAGTCGTTTAGAGCTTCACGAAGAGAGGGCATTGGAGACACCTTGGACTCTTGGCTGCTTTCAGTTGTTCAAAGCCAATGGCAACCACCAGGAAAGCCCCCAGAAAGTTAGCGGCCTTCCAGGTCCTTGGGGCAAGTGACACTTGGTTGGATCTTTAATCTGTGAATTACCTGTTGTTTCTCGGAAGTTGAGGGTTTCTGAACGTGGTAGTCCCTATTTCGATAAACGCAAAGGTGTTTGCCCAACCAACACGGAGTTCTCTCAGCCGAGGACAAGAAGCTTCGTGACGGATGGCCTTCTGGCCACGGGGGTCCTTTTGGCGATGACGTGGTTCATTGCACAGTCCTTGGGGACCTTCCTCTTCTTTCTGCCGCAGAACTTGTGTGCTTCTTGCTTGCCCCAAGCGAATCGACCTTGGAGCCTTTTGTCTTTTCCCCAGTTTAGTCCGTGGCAAAGGTCCCAAGAGGTTCACCGGGTCCTCTGGGCAACTGAGGCTTTGGTGGCTTTGAAAAGAGATGAAGAGAATCAGGACCGCCTTGTGCCCTTACATGTCTTTAAAGACCATCTCAGCCGCATTCTCGTTGGGCGAGCCTCACGCTTGAAGTGGGTGAACCATTTCGAAGCGGTCATGGAACTCATCATCAGTGCTATGATGATTGCTGGAGTTCTGCGAAGCATCTTCAACGGTGATGCATGCAGCACCCAACATTGTCGAGTTCATTATGGCCTCAAACAAGCCATTGAGAAGTCATACGTTCTTTTCCTGGATGATGATCCATGCCATGGCACAGCTTGGCTTCTCCTCTATGTCACCATTGTCTTTGCTTCTTTGTCTATGTTTGACCAACTTCGTTGGCTGCCTAGCGTCATTTTGCTTTGCGCCAAGCGGATTCTGATGTTCTTGCTGGCTTATGGTTTGCTGCTGTGCGGCTTCGGCATCGGGATGTACATCGCCTTTGGCCCGCGCTTTGCTCAGTTCGCTACGCCGGTACGTTCCTGTTCTGAACTCTTCTTCCTGACATGTGGGATGCCCATGGCAGTCTTCGACGACCTGCATCCCTTCCAGGATTCGCTGTCCACTGAAGTTGCATTCATGCTCGCCCTCTATGGCTTGTTTATGTCCCTTCACTGTTCTTGGCAAGTTTGTAGTCGCTTTTCGTTTGTTTTTTTTGGTTCAGTTCATGTTTAGGAGGGGGCTACAAAAAACGGTTTCAGTTTGTTGCTAGCCCATACCAAGACATTGTCAAGGTCCATCATCGGCCTCAACTTCTTTACAATGATTATCCTTGATGCCTACGCCCAAGCGCGCGACATTGACTCCGCAGATGCGCAGCTTCAACTCATGGGCGATGATGTTTCTTGGCTCCCAGCCATCCCCTCAGCCTTTTTAGCTTCTTAGCTTTTAGCGGTTTTAGTGGTGGTGGTTTCCGTCTTTCACCCACAAGTTTGTCACTTTTCAGGGATCAGTTTAGTTGGACAGCCCAGGTTTGCCGCACTCTCATGGCCCTTCTTGGCTTGCAGCCCGAGTCTGGAACAGCTTCACCAGCGCTTCTGAGCACCTCCGGAAGCAGCGCCTCCAGCGAGGCTGAACTGCAGGAGACTCTGGTGCCAAGGTGTCAAAGTGTGTGAACGTCCGGAGGTAAAACGAGCTGTGCAGATGTCCGTTCCCCGGACATCTGCAAATGAAAGGACGGATGTGTTCTACGCGAGCAACATGGAGAGTGAGGCAGTTGATGTTGAACGCAAAGGAGATTGCAGCCTTGCTGGCGTGAGCCCCTATCGCAGTCTTGTGGCGAACTTGTTTGTCGCGCTCGGGTCTTTGTGGATTTGAGATTGACCATGTTGGGTGACATCTCCGACACAGCTATTTGGTTTGATTCAGCCGTGCTGCACTTCAGGTCGCGTGGCAGTTTGAAGGCAGGAGCTCGTGGGCGACGCGGGCCGTTGGACAACGCCATCGCAGCCGCGTGGATCGCGCCTGGCCGCGCTGGGGCCAAGCCACTAGAACTGGTTCAGTGGGAAGCCCAGCGGAACTGGCGATCCAAGCCCAGGTTGCAGCTGAGCATTGAGGTCTTCCCTGCACCGGGTTGCGCTCGGAGAAATGGAGCCGCGAGCCGTGCGGGAGGAAACGTGACCAGACCCGGATCCGATATGGAGTTCAGCATGCCCAAAGTCTTGAGGCGATTCCGTAAACCCAGGGATCCGGAGGGTACCAGTCCTTCAGCCGATCGGAGCTTCGCCGAGTTCTTTTGTCCATCCGGGGCCGGACGATGGAGGCCCACGACACATGTCAGGGGCGGGGAGTCGGAAAGCGAAGCCAAACTGATACATTGGGGTGGGCAAGCTCCCACCTAGGGACTCATTGGATGGGTAACCACAGGCAGTCGAAGATGTCTTCCGGTCCCTCACGTTCCCGAACTCACAAGCAAATCCAGCGCATATCATTTTTGTACTTCGTTTTAATGACTCTCTCACCGGGGAAAAAGAAGAAGCTAGAGTCTCCATGATCCTTACACAAGGGTCCATGCCCCTTAATTTTGGGTACTGACCCAATTTGTTAAGGGTCCAGGAACACGTCCGGGAGTGAAGTTTTCATCATTTTGTTCCGCAGGACGGGTCTTTGCAGCAACTCCTCGCGGGGACGAAGTCTAAGGTCCTTCAGTGGCCGCGGTGCCCAGATGCAAAGTGGGATGTGTCTGAAGATGCTGCGGATGGACGAAATCCTGCACCACTTTGAAATCATGAGAAGTCATTGCTTTTTGGTATTGTCAGGGAATCATCTTTCCAGGGTTTCTCAGGTGGTGCCGAATTTCATCCATCCACCGTGGGGGAAGCCACAAAATGAGTGGCTTGGGTTCCCTTTAAACCAACCCAAGGCTTCCTTCCGAAAAAAGGCACTGGCCCGGATGTGTTGGTTTGGCTTAAAGTTAGAGTACCCGAAATGGGTCGGTTCATGTAGGTTTCAATCTTTCAGTACCATCCACAACGGGTTGCACTAATTTCGTCAAGGCCATTCTGGTGTTTGCATGTTGTGTAAGTTTCACTAAGTATGGACCAGAATCAAACATGTGTTTGGGTTGGGGTGCACAAGTGTTGAGGTAAATCTCGTTGATGGTGGCTAAGCTCCGGAGGAGTATTTGGAAATGTGAACCGGTGTCCCAGAACTCGAATCCACCTAGAATTTGGGCCCCCCTCAACAAAAGCACAGAGATTCACAGGCTTAAGTATTTTGAGAACCATCCAAGCAAAACAAAAGCACCAGCCAGAACAAGGTCAGAGTATGCCAAAGCTACAAGCCACCGTCGGGGTCCATTTGGACAGGTTTCTTGTTTATTTTTCCTGCTGATTTTAAAAGGAATCTATCATTACTGAAAATATGATTGTTTTTTTCACTGGATGTCAGCAAGTGGAGGTTGGGGTCCAAACATGTTTTCCCCGACAATAGTGCGCATGACTTGAAGCTTTTCGAATTCGATGCACCAACCCATACCACTGAGGGTTTCTCAAGAGTAGGGGATTCTTTGGGTCCCCATCAAAAGACGGTACAGGTCCCAAAAGGGTCCATATGATCGAAAACACATACCACTCGCAGAAACTGTTTCTTTGCAGATGCCAGTTTTCCCTCCTGCTGTTGGGTGTTTCTATAGCAGGCCCCCCCTCCACTTTACTTGGCTGGTTTTGAAGGAACAGCAAAGGAAGCCGAAAGCCTAGTCAAACATATATATATATATATATACACATATGTTCAACAACAGCAAGCTGGGCACCAAGCAAAACCACAACCAAACCGTAGAAACGCCGAAAAAAACCCACCCGTAAGACTCCCAGAGATTCGCCGTGCCGAGATTCGTGGCTTGGGGTTCCTGGGAACCGGTTGCGGTTGAATCGGTTGCGGTCGCGGTTGCGGTCGGGTGACCTCTCTGAGGTGTGTGCAGTACATCAAGGTCGAGGAGCCCTTTGGATTTCAGCTGGATTTCAATTCGGTTTCACTTGGGCTCATGGAAACTGACTTGCTTTTATCATGGATGAGGAAACGTGGTGGTGTTTTACCAACGCCATTTTCTGTTCTGGCATTTCAGTTGGAGGGGTCAGTTGGAGTTTTTCCTCTGCTCAGAGAGCTTATGGAAATCGATTTGCTTTTTTTCATGGGATGAGGAAACATGGTGGTTACGCCATTCTGGCGTTTCAGTTGGTTGGAAAGTTGGAAAGCCAATTGGAGTTTATCATGTTGGTGCCTGGATCCCCAAGTAGCTACCTTTTTTGCCAGCCACCTTACCCACTAGCCCATAGTCTGGCAAAAGTAGCTGGGGATCCGCGTACCTAGATGGCTCCCAGCCATCCGGTTCCTGATAGCTTTTGAGCCTTTTCGTTGGTTTGTTGGAGTTTTTGTTTTGCTGCGATGAGTGGGGAATGTGGCTGAATGAACCGGTTTTGAGGATTCCCGAGAAAAGGAAGCCAACAGTTGGATGGTTTATTGGGGGCATTCCCTCATTCCCTACTGGCACCAGCAACTTATGCTACTGCTAGTGCTCAGTTGCCCAAAGCGAATCGACCTTTTGACCTTTAAGTTTCTTGTTTTGGTCCATAGTCATGGGCCCAAAAGGTCATTTTTTACCCGTGGGTCCTTTGGGCATCAGAGAATGGGAACCCAGATGAATAAACCCCAGGTTGATTTTGAGAGATGTGTAAATTCGGACCACTTTTGTTGCTTGTGGCTTGGCAATGTCCAAGTCCAAAACAAAAAATGAACATAGATGGCCCTTGACCTGGTTGTTTCATACCAGGGCCACTTTTTTTGTTTCAAAAGGCCACCTATGGTTATGACCTTTTTCTGTTGGGTAACCAGTGGACCAGCCATTCTTGGTTCGGGTCAGAAGGAGACTCCAGGACAGGAGGACTCAAAAGGAGTTTGGAGGTCCCAGTTTCCCTTAAAGCCACCACTTGAAGGGGTTTAGTTGCGGGTGTCACACTTCGTTCTGGGCATAAAACTAAATTCACGAGCTTGTCGAGCGATTTGGGGAAACATGAGCGGTGCAGGCCATGATGAAGGCCCTTTTACAAGGGGAAAACCGATGATTTCGGGTTTGGGAATCGTAATTTACCCAGACTTCATACTTGCTTGAAGATGTTACAGTGGATGCGCATCCGCTTCATGCAAGGGGGTCATCTCAGAGTGTTACACCCACTTGACGCTTGGGTCATGCGAAGTAGCTATGTGGAGGACAAATCCATTGGAGGCACCAGTTGGGAACCCAAATTGAATGCCGTATAAGCCGCCAATCCCAACTGGTGCGAGGTGGAATTTGTTTATTCATAGGGGTCTTCACTTACTCCCCTACAACCTTAGTAGCTTCGTAGTTTGTGGTAAGGGAACTAGCATCCACCCATTCTGAAAGCACCTGGCGTTTAAGCTCTAGCAAGCCCCACCATGTTCCGCCCTTGAGCCCACCCAGAGAACTGCTGAGTCGCCGCTTTTTTTTACAAAACTGCGCAAGGGTCTTTGGACAGCAATTCACTGTTCTCAGTGTACGTGTGTGTGTGTGCGCTTGTGCTTGTGCTTGCGCTTGTGCGTCTGCTTGTGTTCGTGCTTGTGTCTGTGTCTGTCTTAGTGTTTGTGTTTGTGTGCGTGCTTGTTTCGGTTTGCGTTTGTGGTCGTGCTTGTTTGTGCTTGTGCTTGTGTGTGTGTGTGTGTGTGTTTGTGCGCGTGCTCGTGTTTTTGCGCGTGCTTTTGTGTGTGTGTGTGTGTGATTGCACTAGTGCTAGTGCTAGCGCCTGTGCTTGTGCTTGTGCTGATGTGTGTGTGTGTGTGTGCTTGTGCGTGTTTGCGTTTGTGCTTGCGCTTGTGCTTGTGTCCGGGTTTGGGGCTGTGTGTGTGTGTTTGTTTGTGTTTGTGTTTGTGCTCGGGTTGTGTTTGTATGTGTGTTGTGTTTGTGTGTGTGTGACTGTTCCTTTTGTGTGTGTGTGTGTGTGTGTTCGTTTGTGTTTGTGTTTAAGTTGGTATGTGTGTTTGATTTTGTGCACGTGCAAGTGCCGTCTGTTTGTTTTGTTGTTTGTATGTTTGTCTTCTGTTTGTTGGGCTTCTTTGCGTTGTTTCTTTGGTCTGTTTGCTTCGTCGTGTCTTTGCTTCGTCGTGTCTTTGTTTCGCTTTGCCCTGGTTCTGTTCGTTGTCTTCAGCTGTCCGTTGGTTTTGGAGCTCAGGCCAGACATCCTGAAGAGCGCAGCAGCAATGGCCAGCTCCTTACACAAGCAATTGACACTGTGAAAGGCCCTCATGGCGTCATGTTTGTATTTTTTCCCAACATGACACCCAAAGGGGATCGGTATTTGCGTGGTTGTTAAAATTTGGGGCCCTTGTTGGTATCCCCTGCAACAGGCAGCATGAATCCTCGGCACCAGGGTCCAAAACGGGGCGATATTTTGACAACTCCCCATTAGTTGATTGTTACGGACCCCCATCGTTAGTTTGTTTCCCGAATCAGACCCCCAAAGCAGGGAAAACAACAACATGACACCCACAAGAAACAGGGGGGTATGTCACCAAAGCTAGGTGTGCTACTGTGGATGGACAAAATCCTGCACCACCAAAGCAGCTTTGGCATGATGATTCCTCTGCAACAAACTATGGTTTTCCATGGTTTCAACGTTGTGCAGGACTTTGTCCCTCCACAGTAGCACTGAGTTTGCCTTGCAGTTGCGATTTCGGAGCATGCATCGCCGCCGTACGAAGGGTTCCATCCCAGCACGCCGAAGAACTGGTCAGCACATTCTCAGAATCCAGTCCGCATGTTTGCGAGTGTTTGCGGCTAGGGGTGTTTTGGTCATAAGGACCTGGTCCCAGTTGGGGTTTATGTCCTTTCCGGGGTTCAAAAAAGGTTGGCGTTCTTAATGTCTTGGAAACGTTGGTTTTGAACTGGCTAGTGGTTCGTTCACCCATCTCTTAAGATGCTTGTTTTCAATACGCAGCAAAGAATTATTTCACTGTACTCCTTTTGTTACATTCCCAGCCGCAGATGTGGCTTCACCCGGCGTCTCCTCCGTTGAAGCTTCCCCCTGTTTTGTTTCGAACCAGTGAGATGCCTCAGATGCTTGCTGTTCAACAAAGCCGGATGATTTCATGATTTCCCTTCAAGCGGATGTTGCATGCCTGTGCTCGTTTGGGGGCAGCTGGAATTGCAGGCTCAAAGGTTTGCAAGGCCCGCCCGCACAATGGGGCTCGACCTACCGTGCCTGAACTATCAGCCTCGATTCTTGCGCAAGTTTCCGCCTCCAATCGCCAGCTGCGTTCTTTTGGACACCAAGATGTTCGAACTTTTGAGTCGCTCATAAACAACTTGCTTAGCCAAAGTAAGAATTCTATTTCCTGAAGGTTTTATGTGTTTCACCGGGAATCAATTGCACCGCTGTAGGTCGTTCTTTGACGCTCGATGGCTATTTGGTTGGATCTTTGGAATTTACAGCTTTGGGAAACAGTGGATTTTCCGGATTCGACCCACAAAATGTTGAACACTTTGTCCAGAAAGCTCGGCAACCCAGGAAGCGTTCCTTTGGTGCATGTTGCTTGGATGTTAGGGTTTTCCATTAGCCCACTACAAGTAAAAAAAATAATAGCAGGGGAGCAGAAAGCAACTGAGGTTCCCTTGTTCCAGACTGCGGCTAGGGCAAAAACGGAGACCCGCCAGGCCGCGGTGGAGAAACGCGCTGCGGCAGTCAGGAGGCGCGGTCTGCGAGTCTGCGGTCATGACTCATTTGCTCACAAGGGGTCGGGATCATGGACTTCCATTTGCTTAAGAATATGTTTATTTTCCCCTGTTGGTTTTAATGGGAATCTATCACTATTGGATATTTTTTCCCCAGGGACTTAAGCACATGGAAGTGGACTGGCTTCAAAACCATGCTGCAATCGTCGTTTTGGGACAATTGAGGATTGGTGATGCTTTGGTCTTCACAGCCATTGTTCTACCCAGTGGATCCCGGCTACCACGATAGTGGGTAACACACACTTTGCGTTTGGGGCTGTAAAGGGTGGTTCCCTTGTTTACCTGCTACACATGTAGTTCGAATCTTTGCGCTATGGGTTGATTCCGATTCAATTCTCTTCACCCCTCAATTTCTTTAGAAACCACCAATTCTCCCAGAAAAAACTTTCGCAGAACTTGGTTGTTTCGCCAGGTTGGTTGGTTGGTCGAAACAAGATTTAGATGTGTATGTCATGGCTTTACTTTGCCGGCCATTCAAATCCCATGCCGTTTTCGCGGGATGAGAGTTCTTGATTGCATTGCTGGCTAAGGCATGCACAGGGGCTCCAGTGTGCTCGCAACTGCGGGATGGACCTGGCTGTCGATCAGGCAAAGCTCAGTGAGGAACACAGGCGGCGGATCTGCAATGATCAGCAATTCTTTCGGCGAGGAATTTGGCTGGCAGGCCAGAAAGTTTTCGGCGAGAAATCCAACGGGCAGGCTTGATAGTTTTCGGCGAGTTCCTCAGCGAGGGGCTCTCCCAAAAGTCAGGATCTCGGCGAGCAATCTCGGCGAGTTGTGCTGAGCGGCTTGGCTCCTCACTGAGCTTCGCCTGATCGACAGCCAGGTCCATCCCGCAGTTGCGAGCACACTGGAGCCCCGGTGCATGCCCTAGCCAGCAACGCAATCAAGAACTCTCATCCCGCGAAAACGGCATGGGATTTGAATGGCCGGCAAAGTAAAGCCATGACATACACATCTAAGTCTTGTTTCGACCAAACAACCAACCTGCGAAACAACCAAGTTCTGCGAAAGTTTTTTCCAGGAGAATTGCCAATCTTTTGAAGAGAAGGATCCGTGAATGGTGAAGGTCGTCTAGAATTGCGTCTGGTCGCAAAGGCGTCCGTTACCTGTCACTCTGTGTCCTTTCCACATTCCATGGCCTAGAAATCATGGGTGCGGGCAATGGGCACCAATATCACCAGCCCAAATGCGGGTGATGCAATTCGATACTGGCTGTTTTGCGCTGTTGCACGTTCCGTGCCCGGGGTACCGACTCTGGACGAGTTGGGTGTGTCGGTTGAGGGGTTTTTCAGGGGCTACCCTCAACAAAAGACGCACCCATATGTTTCTTTGCAAATATGGACGTTCAGGGGTTGAATCCCCATTCCTGCGCATCTTTTGCCACCCCCCCGACAGATCCCCCCACACCGGCAGACCAGAAGTCGAAACCAGACCTTGCCACGGAGCACACCTTTCCAATTCTAGCAAGGCAAGCTGTCCCCGCTAATTGGAAAAGGAATTGGCATTAGTTGACTCAAGGCCTGGATTCTTTATGCCTCTTGAAAACTCCGGCAACTCCATGACCCCAGCAAACGTCCCATGTTTGGCACCGTTTTTCTTGGAGAATCGTGGAATCTCCGTTTTGCAAGGAAGGCCAAGCCTTGTCTCAGATGTTGGGGTTCCGATCGGGGCTTGGTACACAGACCGGGAGTTGCCGTACCACACGTTGTTGCTACTTCGGGGTCTAAACAAAAGTGATTTTAGGAATAGAAGGATAGATGATGGCTTAAGTTATTTTAGGTAACCAGTACTATTCCTTACGAAAAGATGTAAAATAGTCATCTATCCTTCATCGCGGGTTAGCGTGTTTTATCTCTATCGGTGAGCTGGTTGCGGCTCCGATCCAGAATGACTCGAGAAAAAGCGGAGTTTCGACCGCTTACATGCCTGTTCCCATCACGTGCCAGGGCCGCCTCTCCTCCTGCACCCAAGCCAAAAGAAGGCCGGCCGCCGGGAACAGGGGAGCGTGTCAGAGACACAAAAATACCTATTAACTATCTGAACGGTGTTGCTGGTATGTGACAAAATCCATCTGAAACGGGTACTTGCTTGGCCTTTTGGCATAGTTACCCTTCCACCAAGAAACATGGAAGTGGGCACCTTGTTCCCTTGCTCAAATGGGTGTGGCTCAAAATTAAACGGGTTGGGTTACGGAGGTTTTGGTCCATGTTTCCACTTACCAGGGTTCCATTCTGGGTACTGGTTTTTTGAGCCACAGCCAAATGGGAGTTGTTTGTGGGGCTCTTGGTGTTTGGCTTCTCCCAAGGCCCAACATTCCGCTGAAGCACGCGAACTGTGTACATATTTGTATGGTGATACGATGCTGAGTGTACGATATGAGCAGTTTTGCACAACTAGGTCCCCCAGTAGTGCCCTTTCTCACCCCTTTTTCTGGGGAGTGTTCCCCTACTAAAAAAGACTACCGAAAAAAGTTGGTACCCTTATTCTAACCTCTCTACTGGAGGACCTAGACAACAATGGCTACATCTGGGATTATTGCATTGAAGGCGCAGAGGGTTACACCGAAATTTGGCCCGAAGACACGAAGACACGAAGACACGCATCTTCAGGGCGTCAGGCGGAGACGCGAAGACACGAAGACACGAAGACACGCATCTTCAGGGCTTCAGGTCTTCAGGGAGTCAGCAAGGCTTGGGCGGAGACGCGAAGACACGAAGACGCGCGTCTTCAGGGCTTCAGGGCTTCAGGGAGTCAGCAGGGCTTGGGCGAAGACACGAAGACGTGAAGACGCGAAGGCTGGTTCGCTACCACTACCACTACCACTACCACTACCACTACCACCACTACTACTCCTACTACGACTACTACTTCTACCGCTACTACAACCACGACCACTACCGCTACCGCTACCAATACCACTACCACCACCGCTGCTACTACGACTACGACTACTTAGTAGTGCTGCTGCTGCTACTACTACTATTACTACTACACTACTACTACTACTACTACTACTACCACTACTACTACTACTACTACTACTCCTCCTACTACTCCTATTACTGCTACTGCTGTCCCACTTGACAGGAGTAGCCTGCATTGACGCGTGAAAGCGCTAGGAGTTAGCTGGTCTACTTGGCCTACTGTAGCTGCCCACGCGTGAAATCACACTTAACGCCTAGGTTTTATTGTTCGCTTCAAAAAGGCCAGTTAAGGAGCTATATACGGTATGTGCGTAATTCATGTTGCGTCTTGTTTTTTCCTTCGGGTGAATCATGCAAATCCCACTGGCAGCGCAAGCTTCTCGCTAGCTCGGCGCTAGGGCGGGACTGTGTGAGGGACATGGAATGTGAGATGCGGATGTTTTCATGCATCCTGCGCACTGGCCCCTTCTGCAACACAACTAGAGCGGCGGCAGAAAGCTGAGCGCATAGACAATTCCGCGCGCTAGCGCCGCGTTAGCAGGCAGTTGCCAAACTTAACACTAGAGCACGTGCCTTGTTGGGGCAACATCCAGCCACGGCTTGCATGTTTCTTGGCTATGGTTGTAAGTCAGGTTGCGTAGATACTGGGCGCCATGTCGCCAAAGCTCTCCAAATGAAAAAAACAAATCTGAAAGCATCTCGTCAGGTAGTTCATCCGAAAGCAGCTAAGAGAAGGCCCGCGCCAGTGCGCGTGTCAGTTATTGTACATTGCTTAAGGCAAGCCTATTGTGCCGCAATAGTTACGTACTCATATTGCCCGAATGATACGGGCCTGCATGGAATGGCGATTTACGCTACAAAACCCGGAGCTAACAGCCACAGGTTTCAGAGTTCCAGTTTGGGCCACGACCCCCAACTTATAACCAGGCTGCAAGTCCCCTAACGTATAGCCAGGTTTACTAGCCACCTACTAAGCACCCTGCCCGCCGTGGGGGCACAGACGGCTCCAGTGGCACTGGGGGGGGCGCGGGCATGGCTCCTGGCGAAAACGCAAAGCTGCAAAGAATCAGGGCCGCATAGCTGCGGCGAAGACACGAAGACACGAAGACACGCCTCTCCTAAACGTCACAAGCGAAGACACAAAGACAAAAGGATACGCATTTTCACGGAGTCGAGCAAAGACGAAGTCGCGGGTCTGCGTGGCTTCCGAGCGAACTTAGGCGAAGACACAAAGACAGGAAGCGCATCTTCAGACCCTTACAGAGGCAGCAGACCTGGGACGAAGACGCGAAGACACAAAGACGCGCGTCTTCAGATCACAGGGCTTCAGAGACTCAACAGGGCTGGCGCGAAGACACTAAGGCGCGAAGACACAAAGACAAACGTCTTCAGAGCTTCAAGGCTTCAGGGAGTCAGCAGGGCTTCGGCGAAGACATGCAGACGCGAAGCCACGAAGACACGCGTCTTCAGGGCTTCGGGTTTTCAGGGAGTCAGCAGGGCTTGGGCGGAGACGCGAAGACGCGAAGACACGAAGACACGCATCTTCAAGGCTTCAGGTCTTCAGGGAGTCAGCAAGGCTTGGGCGAAGACACGAAGACACGAAGACACGAAGATTCAGGGCTTCAGGTCTTCAGGGAGTCAGCAAGGCCTGGGCAAAGACGCGAGGACGCGAAGACACGAAGACACGAGTCTTCAGGGCTTCAAGGCGTCAGGCTAAAAACGTAACCCGCGCACCTGCTCTGAAGGATTATTGGTTGATTTTATTTTACATCGAAAGGTTTACTAAATATGGACAAGAATGAATGATATTGGACTGTTATGAATGAGGTTTGGGCCAAACTGAGCTCAGTTGGAAGCCTTACCGGAGATTCCTTACTGGTGAATTGTCGTAGTTTGCCAAGATGCCTGTTTGACTTGCATGTCCTGGTTCCATCCCTCAAAGAACGTGTCTGGATGGGTCTCAACCTCACCTCGGGGCAAGGTGGTTTCTCTACAGCGAGATCTATGGCGCCCTGTGCTGTTTGTGGTCCAATCTGGGGTTTCGCTTTATAGTCAGCTACCCAAAAAACGGTGCTTGCTTTTCCCCGAGAACCACTGGGGTTTTGGGACCTGTCCAAGACCCGTGCAAGTGAACATGATGGTTTTGGAAGACTACCATCCGCGTGAAGCCGCTCTTTGTCCACTTTCATGGTTGCTAGAACAGGAGTACAGAAAAGTATCGTTTTTTCTTAAACGAACACGAACGGAACGCAGCCAAACTAGGTGGGGCGGCTGATTATGCAACACCCATTTCAAGACAATTGCTCACAGGCGGTGCTGCTATGGTTTCCCTTGCCGTGGCTCCAGAGATCCTCCAAACACTTGGTTTTGTTGGATTTGTCCTCGGAGGTTTATGTTCCTTGTGGATCATTCCCAGGCATATCCTGAGCATAGGTCTTTTGTTTGGGTTAGCTTGGCTGGAAATAGATGGCACTGGGGATCAGTGAGCCAAACATCTACAGGTCTCCCGCATCCCGAAGAATACCTTGTTTCATTGTTGAGAACGCCAAACAAAATGCGGTTGTTGCCTTTCTTTGAGGGAACCCCCCAAAACTGGCTTCGGTCTCCTTTGGTTTGCCATTCAGAAGCGTTCCAAATCAGGGGTTACCTTCCAAACAGAGACCCATTGGAGCGGCGGTGTTTGCGTTGGCCGCAAGCTAACGTAATGACAAAAAACATGTTTCTATAAGCTGCGCACCGAGCGGAAGCATGCAGAAGGCTTTGCGGAAGGGATTCCTTGCGCGGAAGCTTTGCGGAGGCTTTTTGGTTAAATATGAACTGTTTCAGTGTGTGCGCATGGAAAAGCACGGGAAAAGGGCACAGTAGAAGCAGAAACGTAGAAAGGTGTTGCTGCATACAAGAAGCGCAACGCAGGCAAATGCCCACCTCGCACAGGTAGCCCAAAAGCACCCAATGTTGACCCAGAATCTAAGTGGAACCCCCGTTCCTTTATCAGGGGGGGTGTTCGGTGTTCCCTGCAAAAGTGGTCCGAATCCCCACTAATAATTGGACACCGCCCGATCAAAACCAACCAGGGGTGTATTAAACCGGGGTTAACATTACTTTCCTTGCTTGCGAAAGCTGACTTGCCTTTCTGCTGCAATCCCCGCCAGGGCCTCACCCTTATAATGCAACCCGTGTTTCCACTTTGGGGTCCCTATCTTGTTTTTGTTCCTGGCTGTAGTGGTTCATAGGTTTCTATTGAACCCACGGCCTATTTGCAAAGGGCCTGCTCCAATGCTCGCGGAAGCACATCTTGTAAAACATCCGCTCCGCGGAAGGGATCCCGACGGACGGAAAGGATGCAGAAGTTTTCCAGTAGGAAGCTTGAAGAAGTACCTTACCGACTAGCATTCAAGTGCACAGATTCCTGCGGAAAGCCTACTTTGCTCTTGGGCAGGGGCTTTGTGCACTTCCATGTTAGTTGGGGAGGGTAATGTCCAATCAAGTTGAAGGGGAATGTCTCCAAATAGGCGAACCCCAAAAATGGTCGGTTTCCGTTGGGCGCCCCAAACCAACCGAAAAAGGGTAGCCTCAGAATACATCACACATTTACGCAGGAGTTTAAACCACCAACAACAATGGGCGTAAATACACCCACCAGTCTTTTTCCTCATCACGTGCATCATCCAAATGGCTGTGGCTCAAAATTCAAGAGCTAGGGTTACGCGGTTTTAGTCTTTGGTTCCATTTAGCAAGGTATCATTTTGTTACATTTCTTTGAGCCACAGCCAAATCGGGTCCCCTTGGGCCATTTCTTCGTGAGGCGAAGGCAGCAAGTGGAGCAAGGCGGTGCAGCGCATGAACACGCTGAGGCGCGGAAGCGGCCGCTGCCGCTGCCGCGGCCGAGTTGGGCAAGAAAGTCAGGGTACCTGGAGTCTCCTTCTGACCTATTAAGGGGTCATGGACCCATTTTTTCAGGGTCATGGAGACTCTAGGTAGGGGGGGGCAAGAAAGTCAGGCTGGGGGCCCTTCTTAAAGGGGCGATCAATTCGGTACCTCAGGTAAGTGGTTCGTAAGCCTGGTGAGATAGCCCACTGAATGGAGACTTATAACCATGGCTTTGTGGGTTACAGCCAGCCTTTCTGACCACTTACTAAGTACCCTGCCGTTAAGCAGGGGTGCTTCATACGTTTCAACGAACCGTCATTTGGCTTACAGCTGACCGCCCCCAAGACCAGTTTACAGTCTGGATGGGTCGATGTATCCAACCATCCCAGTTTGGTGGGGCGCAAAAGTAAAGAGTTGGGGCAAACCGCAGGTTTTGGTCTTTGTTTCGGAGCCCAACAATTGGCACCACTTTTTTGAGCCACAGCCAGTTGGGTGGGGCAATAATTTATTGGTCAGTGTAGGGGTATGACAAGGGGCGAACTCATATTTTCGTCAGGAGCCCCTTTGACCGAATTTTGAGGCCTTGGGTTCAAGGCACTCATATCTAGGGCTTTCTATTAGTCGCTCCGAACCCGAGTTGACGGCTATCTTGACAACATGTGGTGACACGTGTGCCTGATTGATTAAACACTGTTTAGGCGACTTGTGGTACCTTCCCCACCCCCCAAGTCATTCAAAGAACTATTGCACATCCCTTTTTGCATCCCCAACAGGAACATGCATTTTTCCATGATGTCCTTCACCTTGTCAAAATCACATTCCAAAAAATGGACCCGGGGATGTGAAAAGGGATATGAATCAGTTCCTTGACTAGGTCCCCCAGTAGTGCCCTTTTACTCTTTTTGGGTGGAGGGTTCCCCCACTAAAATAGACTACAGAACAAAGGGGGCCCTTATTCTAACCTCTCAAATCTGGAGGACCTAGTTGAGTCATGTTACAGAAACACAACATTCGGTCGACTCGACTCGACTCGCGGAAGCTGGCCAGTGACCCATTCGAGAGCCGGATCGATCGGCTCTCAGGCTCAGGGAGTTCCGCACATGGGTGTTGTAAACGTATTGGATTGGAGCCTCGTTCTTGTTGCTTCTTGGTCAAGCAACATAGGCAATGTTGTTCTTGGTCCGTGGGTGTTCTTATGCTTTTCTGTTTGGTCTTTCAATCACTAAATATAGCCTCAAAGACTGGACCACCATGTTTTTTGTTGTTGTTTTGGTTGTCCTTTTGGCCTTGCTTGAAAATCACCAGCGCAAATAAATGTGCCCTCAAAGGCTGACACAAGCAGAAATAACCTTCCGTCATTCACAGGCGTCGAGGCTTCTTCGCGCAGCTCGCAGTTGGTTTGTCACGCAGCTGTCTGGTTTGAGTGTGGCCTTGCCGGTGCTCAGTAGGGAATGAGAATTGGAATGACCGTGAGAAAAACCATCCCAACGGGAATCCCCAAACGGTTCATTCCCTCATTTCCTACTGAGCACCAGCAAGAACCAGCGGGATGACGCGTCTTGAAAGTAGAGCATATGGCTCCGTGAAAAAAAAACAGGGGCGGCACGCAACTACCGGGTCCCCTCCAGTTTGGCATCTGCTCCAAGGATCAGAAGGGCGATTTCAGGTACCCTAAGCCACTGGCAAAATCTGCGGGGTACGTGTAACTCTCCGAAAGAAGTGTGAGAAACAAGAAAACCTAGATAGAGGAAGGGTTAGTAAGAGTATAGTCCCTTTGCCAGCAAAGTGTGCGGCAAACATTTGTTGATTCTACCGTGGTTGTTTTCGGGCTCATCCTTCCAATTTTGATCGCGGCAAAGAACTTGTGGGAGCCGCTAGGAGCTTGAGGATGTGGAGGCAGCAATGATAGAGGGGGGTCAGAGGATACTTCGTTGATTTTCTTGTTTCCTGCAGCTTGTGTAGTGAATGGGTTGATGACCGACGAGCAAAGGAGGTGCGTTGCCGATATTTCCTCCCAGCTGCCGACGTGGGAACCGAGCTGTTCACAAGGGGGATGTTGTATCATTGTGGCTCTTGAACCGAACATGATGCTGTTTCTCCTGAATTGCATGGGTTTCCTTTAGGATGTTACAAACATCCTTGGCTCCCTTTCAAACATTTGCTCCAACCATTATCATGTGGCGATAGAGGGCTTATACTTTGCAAAAGTTGTCTTTGTCATACATGGCAGGCGACCAACATAATCTAAGACAGCAGGCAGCTCACAGGACATTCGCCTGAGCAGTTTTTGTTGGTTGGTGGTTCGGCTCGCTCTTTTGTCAGGCTTGCCCCAAAGCCATCCTTAATTATTGTGTCCAGGTCCAACTTGGCTCATCAAGCAGATATCTTGGTGACAGAGGTTTGCATTTGTTTGTACCGAACATTGGCGCGATTGGGGGTAGATTCTCGTAGGGATAGATCAATTCCCTTAGGCCGGGAGCCATTGTTGATCAGCACGCCTCATAGATCCGAAGCGAAGATTGTCGAAATATCAGGTGAGCCGCGCCCACCACATCAAAGGGCCGTGTATCTTAGTGGGTGGTTCCATTGCCTGGTTTCAGAGGGGGTGTGTAAGGCCTCCATCATTTGCTGAAATGATTATGTGCTGTTTTCCCTTGTTGGCTTCAAAGGGAATCTCTCACGTATCACTAAAAAGACTTCATTTGCCCAAGCGGCGCAAAAGCAGATAAACAATAAATCAACCCAAGCTTCCATTTGCTCAAGACTGTTTTCTAGTTTCCCCTGTTGGTTTCAAAGAGAATCTATCACTACCGGAGATCTTTATATTTTTTCCAGGGGGCGAACACGCAAATGGCAGCAAGGCGTTAATTAAAACCCCGGGCGTTTGATCTCAACGGGGCGTGCTTCGTCGCCTCTCCGCAGGCTCGGCAAGCTGCAGAAGATCTCGGCCATGGACGAGGCGCGCGCCCCAAAGAAATCCCTCCACCTCACGCCCTGAGCTTCGTGCCCTTGACTTGATCGTCACTTTTTGGGTTTGGGAAGGCCATTTGAGTGGTACACACAAAGTTGAGTTTTACTTTTTCTGGCCAATCCACGCAAAAAATAAATGCGTTCCTTTGGTTTTTCTATTGAACCCTCCACTGATTGGGTCAGAACCCCTGGAAGGTTGTGGACCTTCAAGCAGGCGCTTTTTGGATGCGGCCAGGCCCAAGATACCTCGGGTGGCCATTTTCTGGGGATCCTGAATGGAAAGAGTACAGCTGAGTGTGCCTTGAGTACATTGCATCCAGGAACCAACTTGGAGACGGCCTAGGGCTCGGTTACTTGGTGGTTAGTACCATAACCATGGTAAGTGCCCGCGAGCCATCTTAAGCCCAGTAATGTTGACCCCATGAATTTCAACCAACCTCAATTGTTTTTCATATGGGGGTGGGGGCCCTTCCAAAAGTGGTCTGACTCCCCACTTAACCCGGGGACCACCCCCTATGAAAAAACTGGGTTTAATAATATGGGGTCAAGATTAGGTGCTTCCCCGCATCGACCCGAGCGAAATCACGGCAAACACCGTCCGGACAGAGGTCAACCTGTGAGAGAAAATATTGAGCAGTTTTTGCCCATTGCAGTATACAATGACAGGCTCCAATGGGAAGCCGTTCCAATGTCCAAAGAAAAGGCATGGGACTGCAGCGACTGGGCAGAAGTACGCCCAAATTTCCGCAAAGTATCTGCCATTTGCTGAAATGAATGCTTGTTATTTTCCCCTGGCTTTGAAAGGAATCGATTTCAGTATCGGACATATGTTCTCTTTTTTGCCTCGGGACTTAAGCAAATGGAGCATATATCTCCCGGTGGCAAGCCAGGCAAGCCTAGGTATATAACCCTTCGCCATTTTCCCTTTGGTGTTAAAACGGCTCAGGTCATTCAGAACTCACTACCAAGGTCTAAAGCAAGGTCCCAAGCAAGGTCCAATGGAGCTGAAATTGCAAGGGTTCAAATCAATCAGCAGACTGTCTGCATTTGGAGCCCCTAACAGGATGAGCTGAGCAAAGACATTGGAGTGGTTGACAAACCTGCAGCGAGGCGTTCCAAACAACGGAAAGTCGGCATACAACAGGCTTGCTACAGTCTCCTGCACTGAGGTAAGAAGATCTCGTCGTTTTTGTTGAACGTCTGCAGGGGGTCAGTTGGCAGCATCGGGGTGGTCTTTACATGATGCTGCAAGTCCAGGCCAAGGCTACCAATCAGACCCGATGTGGCTTCGATGTTTTCAGGTCGCTGCTGCGTTGAGTGTTTGCTCGGACTTGATGCAGGGCTCTCCAGATGTTTGTGTTTATGCCTCACTTACGCCTCGAAACCTCTCCGGGAGAGTGGCAGATTGAGGCTGTGCTACATGCTGGGATGTTTTTGGAGGAGATCAGGATGCGCAGCCTCTTCTGCCACTCATCTTTCCCGATGTTTTGGGCGCTTACGTGTTCCCGCAGATTCTGTGTCGAGCCCTGGGGCAGAATTTGAGCCCATACCCAAGCACCATGTCTTTCGGGTCAGAAAGATCATTTGCACCAAGCTGAAAACGGACTGGGAAGCTGCGGTATTCGTCGACTGTCCTTGCAGCAGCTCCTGGTGCAACGACATGTAGTCGATGAACGCAGCGGCTTTCGGAGAGTCGAGACACAAGAATCAACAGCCGCACAACGCCGTCAAATGCCATGTAGCATATGCAATCTGCATTTGAAGCCTCTAACCCGAGGGGCTGATGGGTTCTGTCGGTATGGCCTTTTAAGATGCCCATATTGAGACTTATTTTGTCGTTTTGTTGAACGACACGGGGTCAGTTGGCAGCGTTGCAGGGGGTCAGTTGGCAGCGTCGGGCTGGGCTTTACATGATGCTTTGTGTCCAGGCCGCGGGTGGCAATCTGACCCGTTGTGGCTTCGATGTTTTCAGGTCGCTGCTGTGTTGAGTGTTTGCTCGGGCTTGATGCAGGGCTCTCTGCAGGAGTTTGTGTTTTTGCCTCACTTGCGCCTCGAAACACTTGCGGGAGGGCGGCAGGTTGAGGTTGTGCTGCATGCTGAGATGTTCTGGAGAAGCCAAAGGATGCGCAGCCTCTTCTGCCACTCATCTTGGGTCAGTTTTCTTGGGCACTTACGTATTCCCGCAGATTCTGTGTCGAGCCTTGGAGAATTTGAGCCCATACCCAAGCACCATGTCTTTCGGGCCAGAGAGATCATTGGCACCAAGCTGGAAACGGACTGGGAAGCTGCGGTATTCGTCGACTGCGTGTCCTTGCGCCAGCTCATGGTGCAAGGACACATAGTCGATGATTGCAGCGGCTTTCGGAGAGCCGAGGCGCGAAAATCAACAGCCAAGCCTGCTGGCTTCGATGCTTGCGGGCACTGGGTTACGTATGCCGGCAGTTCTGTATCAAGCCTAGAGAATTGGAGCCCGTACCCAAGCATAATGCCTTTCGGGTTGGAGAGATCATTGGCACCAAGCTGGAAACGGACTGGGAAGCTGCGGTATTCGTCGACTGCGTGTCCTTGCGCCAGCTCCTGGTGCAAGGACACATAGTCGATGATTGCAGCGGCTTTCGGAGAGCCGAGGCGCGAAAATCAACAGCCAAGCCTGCTGGCTTCGATGCTTGCGGGCACTGGGTTACGTATGCCGGCAGTTCTGTATCAAGCCTAGAGAATTGGAGCCCGTACCCAAGCATAATGCCTTTCGGGTTGGAGAGATCATTGGCCTCAAGCTGGAAACGGACTGGGAAGCTGCGGTATTCGTCGACTGCGTGTCCTTGCGCCAGCTCCTGGTGCAAGGACACATAGTCGATGATTGCAGCGGCTTTCGGAGAGCCGAGGCGCGAAAATCAACAGCCAAGCCTGCTGGCTTCGATGCTTGCGGGCACTGGGTTACGTATGCCGGCAGTTCTGTATCAAGCCTAGAGAATTGGAGCCCGTACCCAAGCATAATGCCTTTCGGGTTGGAGAGATCATTGGCGGCAAGCTGGAAACCGCGGTATTCGCCGACTAGCTCCTGGCGCAACGACCTATAGTCGATGAACGCAGCGGATTCCTGAAAGTCGACGCGCGAATCAACAGCCAACCGCACACCTTCAATCGCCGCGCGTGTGCAATCTGTTTTTTTCCCCAACCCGAGGAGCTGAGCAAAGACGTTGGAATCGTGGACAAACCAGTCAGGCATTGTCCAAAGGGAAGTCTGCTTGCCACATATTCTGCACTGAGGAAAGAAGATCTGGTCGTGTTTGTTGAATGCCGCAAGGGCTTAGTTGGCAGCATCGGGGTGGGCTTTACATGATGCCGCATATCAGGGTAGCAATCTGACCCGATGTGGCTTCGATGCTTTCAGGTCGCTGCGTTGAGTGTTGGATGTTGTCTCGGACCTGACGCAGGGCTCTCTGCAGGAGTTTGTGTTTATGCCTGACTTATGCCTCGAAACACCTTCGGGAGAGCGGCAGGTTGAGGTTGTGCTGCATGCTGAGATGTTCTGGAGAAGCCAAAGGATGCGCAGCCTCTTCTGCCACTCATCTTGGGTCAGTTTTCTTGGGCACTTACGTATTCCCGCAGATTCTGTGTCGAGCCTTGGAGAATTTGAGCTCATACCCAAGCACCATGTCTTTCGGGCCAGAGAGATCATTGGCACCAAGCTGGAAACGGACTGGGAAGCTGCGGTATTCGTCGACTGCGTGTCCTTGCGCCAGCTCCTGGTGCAAGGACACATAGTCGATGATTGCAGCGGCTTTCGGAGAGCCGAGGCGCGAAAATCAACAGCCAAGCCTGCTGGCTTCGATGCTTGCGGGCACTGGGTTACGTATGCCGGCAGTTCTGTATCAAGCCTAGAGAATTGGAGCCCGTACCCAAGCATAATGCCTTTCGAAGCTGGAAACGGACTGGGAAGCTGCGGTATTCGTCGACTGCGTGTCCTTGCGCCAGCTCCTGGTGCAAGGACACATAGTCGATGATTGCAGCGGCTTTCGGAGAGCCGAGGCGCGAAAATCAACAGCCAAGCCTGCTGGCTTCGGTGCTTGCGGGCACTGGGTTACGTATGCCGGCAGTTCTGTATCAAGCCTAGAGAATTGGAGCCCGTACCCAAGCATACTGCCTTGCGGGTTGGAGAGATCATTGGCGGCAAGCTGGAAACCGCGGTATTCGCCGACTAGCTCCTGGCGCAACGACCTATAGTCGATGAACGCAGCGGATTCCTGAAAGTCGACGCGCGAATCAACAGCCAACCGCACACCTTCAATCGCCGCGCGTGTGCAATCTGTTTTTTTTCCCCAACCCGAGGAGCTGAGCAAAGACGTTGGAATCGTGGACAAACCAGTCAGGCATTGTCCAAAGGGAAGTCTGCTTGCCACATATTCTGCACAGAGGAAAGAAGATCTGGTCGTGTTTGTTGAATGCCGCAAGGGCTTAGTTGGCAGCATCGGGGTGGGCTTTACATGATGCCGCATATCAGGGTAGCAATCTGACCCGATGTGGCTTCGATGCTTTCAGGTCGCTGCGTTGAGTGTTGGATGTTGTCTCGGACCTGACGCAGGGCTCTCTGCAGGAGTTTGTGTTTATGCCTGACTTATGCCTCGAAACACCTTCGGGAGAGCGGCAGGTTGAGGTTGTGCTGCATGCTGAGATGTTTCTGGAGAAGCCAAAGGATGCGCAGCCTCTTCTGCCCATCTTGGGTCAGTCTCGGCGCTTGCGTGTTCCCGCAAATGCAGTGTCGAGCCTATGGACCCAAGTACAATGTCGTGGGGCTCGAAGAGATCCTTGGCACCAAGCTGGAAACGGACTGGGAAGCTGCGGGATTCGCCGGCTACGTGTTCTTGCACCAGCTGATGCAAAGACATGTAGTCGACGAACGCAGCGGCTTTCTGAAAGTCGAGACGCAAGAATCGGCAGTCAGCCGCGCAACACCTTCAAATGCCACGTGCAATCTGTATTTGACGCCCCTAACCCGAGGAGTTGACAAGCTTGCAGTTAGGCATTGTCCAAACAAGAGAAGTCTGCTTGCCACAGTGTCTGCACCGAGGTAAGAAGATCTGGTAGCTTTTGTTGTGATAAGGTCAGTTAGCAGTTCGAAAAAGCCAAGGCGGAGAAGATGGCAGGGAATCGGGGCCTGGGAGGGCTTGTGTGTGTGGAATTAGGGGACAACATTTCCTTATTGTCTTCCATGAAAGCCAGCCCGAAAACAGGCCACACACTCCTCGGACCACAGAAACCCGGAGTTGACGTGTTCCATCACCATGTTTGCTTGGATGCAAAGCGAGCCACATACAACGTGTTTCCCCCAAAAAGCTTGTGTTTATCTAGAGTAAGAAGGACCACAAGTCAATGGTATTGGACACTCGAATGACCTTCTTTGGCCTTGGCCTTAACCGCAACCCACACCGCCCAGATCGACCTTGAGGGCATGCGCTCTTGTGTTTTTTTGTTTTTTTTTCTTCCGGGGGCGTTTATCTTCAAAAGGACATGCCGGGAAAGAGGTACCAGTTTTTTTGCGACGAGAGGAACATAGGGAAGGCCCGGTTATTCCCAATGATTCAATCTTCCTCGTATAGGCAACCAAGGCAACAAACCATCGAACTAAAGTTCACAAAATTCAAGCCCTTGCTTTTGTAGCCAGTTGCTTTAGCCACCCTTGCGGCCAAAACGCAAGCGTTTTGTTGGAGTGGGTGAAGACTTTCTTTTGGCTTCCACCTTTCAAGGGGTCAACATTCCCATAGGGGCAAAAATACCCCACCATAGAAACGTGGCCAGTGAAAGAAACATGTTCGGAGTTTTGACCATGCCGCTGATGCTCATCACCTGCTTGCCAGCTGCACACCGTCACCCCATATACATGATGGACGAAACCCTCCTACTCTAAAGGGACACAAAGACCAAGCGGTGTAGAATTTCGTGCAGAAGGCTTCATCTTGATTCCCTTGCCATCCGAGAGGCCAGTGCAGATCAATTCGTAGAATCGCCCACCCCCAAGCACCGGAACAAAGCTTGTTGGGGGCCAGTTTCCGACTGTCGTGCACTTGGTTACGTACCGCAGATTCTGTGTCAAACCATTTTGAGAGAATGTGAGTCCGCATCCAAGGGCAACACCAAATT